ACGATATCTTAGTCTATACTAAGGGAGCTCTCGCGGACTATATACGAATAGTGTAGGACGTCTTTAAACGATTTACTTAAGTAGGATTTAAGACTGCACCTAAGAAATGCGAATTCTATAAGAAGGAAGTTAAGTTCCTAGGATTTACTATTAGCACTATAGGAATTAGGACTGATCTAGAAAAAACTAAGTTAATATAGGAATAGCTAACGCCTATATATATTAAAGACGTACAATCATTCCTAGGATTAGCTAACTATAATAGGAAATTCATCGAGGGCTACTCTAAGATAGCGGCACCCCTTACGGAGCTTACGAAGAAAGATAAGAAATAGAACTAGAGTACGAAGGAAGACGAAGCGTTTAGGCAGCTAAAGAAGCAATGCGTTTCTACGCTAACGCTACGATTATTCGATAGGAATAAGGCGGTCTAGATAGAAACAGACGCGTCGGATAGGGCTATAGGAGCATACCTTATATAGGAGTATAACGGGAAACGATACCCGGTAGCCTATTACTCGAAAAAGATATTATCCGTAGAATAGAACTACGATATCTATAATAAGGAGCTACTTATAATAGTTGTATTACTGCAATACTAGCGAGTATACGCGGAAGGAGTACTAAGTCTTACGATTCTTTCTAATTATAAGAATCTAACTTACTTTACTACGACTAAAGTACTAACCCGAAGATAGGCCCGCTAGTCGGAGCTACTAGGACAGTACAAGTTCGAAATCCGCTATACCCTAGAACGCGAGAACGGACGAGCCGACGTACTAAGCCGCCGTAGCGACTATATAGAGGGTTACGAACTAGTATAGTAGCAGATATTAAAGGCAAACTAAGATAGAAGCCTTAGTGCTAATATAAAAGAATTTAACTATATTATACGAGTTCTTTAGGATATAGAAGAACAGTTTCTAATCGAATATAGGAAATACTAAGTACCTAAGGAACGAGTTACAGAGTATATACGACAACACTACGACGGACTAGAAATTAGACACCCTAGAGTTTTAAAAACAATAGAACTAGTTAAGCGAAGCTTCGGATTCCTATATATACGACAACGAGTTCTAGAATATATTAAGAAATGTCTACAATGTTAGCGTAATAAGGCTAATAGACACGCTAGATATAGATATATCTAATTTAGGACGCTACTAGATAAACTATAGGACGAAGTTATAATAGACTTTATTACGAAACTACCGAAGTCTAAGGATCCGGTTATAGGATATAGCTACGACATAATACTTATTATAGTCGATAGGCTTACGAAATATATATACTTCATTCCTACTAACGAAGCAAGTACGGTAGAGTAACTCGGATACCTCGTACTAGATAGACTTGTACGATACTACGGATTTCTAAAGACCTATATTACGGATAGAGACAAGCTCTTTACGTTAAACTACTAGAAGACGCTTATAGCGATACTTAGAATTAAGCACAAGCTATTAACGGCATACTATCTATAGATAGACGGCTAAACGGAAGTCAAGAATTAGGCCTTAGAGGTATACTTACGGCACTACGTTAATTACGTACAAAACAATTAGGCATCGCTATTGCCTATAGCCCAACTTGCACTAAACAACTAACAATCTAAGACTACGAAAGAGACACTATTCTTCGCTAATTTTAGGAAACATCTATAGCTATTCGGGGAATAGTATTTATAGTATCTATACGCGGATAAAGCGATAGTCGCTTTAGAAGACTTAAAGTAGGTATATAAAGAATTGCAAAGGGCAATTGCCGAGTCTTAAGAAAAGATTACGGGACTATATAATGCTAAACGAAAAATAGTACCTTAGCTAAAAAAGGGGGATAAGGTCTACCTTCTAACAAAGAATCTAAAAACCCGGAGATCGACTAAGAAACTAGACTACGTTAAAGTCGGGCTATTTTTAATTAATAAGCCTAAAGGACTAGTTAATTACCGACTTAAACTACCGGACGATGCGAAAATCTACCTAGTATTCTATATCTCTATACTAGAACCTATAGACGCCGAAACACTATATTAAGAAATATTTCACTTCTAACCTAAGGAAGAAAATAAGTTTAAAGTCGAGAAGATCCTAGATTAGCAAAGTTAGAAATACCTTATTAAATAGAAAGGATACCTATATTTAGAAAACACTTAGGAACTAAAAGAAAACCTGCAGAACTGTTAGTAGATAATTAAAAAATATTAAAACTAGATAAAAAGGAAATAACTAGTATAGGAATTAAACCTACGACCTCTTAGACCCTATCGATTATAGCGCCTTAGAGTTCTTAACGACCTAGGGTAGTATAGCTCGAGGAGCGGGGACTCTAATAGCGTACCTAGCAACTATGTCTTTTATAGCTAAGAATTATACTACTAGACTAACTAGCTAGAAGATAAAATAGATAGGAAACATTAAAAATATATACCTTTAGGATACTAGACTCTCGGCACTCCTACTAGGGATTTTAGAGATAGGCTAGGATATCCTATCTAGACGACTCTAGTTATAAGGCGATATCTATAATCGGCTATCTAGGGGAAACGGCTCGTTAGTAGGTAATAAGAATAATATCGGCTCTATAGGCGAAGAGCCTAGCTCTCTTTCGAGCTCCTCCGCCTATTAAATAGAGGCTTCCTCTATCTTAAGAGCTTGTACCTCCCGATCTTCCTTTATACGTAGCGACTTACGTAAGCGACGGACCTTTACGCGATACTCGAAAAGCTTCCGTATAAGGAGGTCCTCCTCCTCTTCGGCCGCTTCGAGATCTTTAGCTATCTTTAGGCGCGCCTTCCGGATTTTTTTATACTCTATACGAGTAACTTGTATATTATAGGACTAGCCGTATAGGGCGTACTCGGAGTAGCGACCGGAACGAAGATCGACTTTATAGGGTTTACCGGCCTATTCGTAATAAAAGTAGCGGATTAGTATTTCGAGATAGTCGGCGAGGATATTATTTACGATATTTTCCTTACGCTAGCGAGAAGACAAGTCCTTCGATAACTTTAGTATAATAAAGAAGTTAGAATTAGAAAGTTCCGGAATAAGGGACTATTCCGCTTAAGGAGGGGGATAGTATTACGGATCTAATTAGTTAGAGTCCTTATATAATCTTAGAGCGACGCTAAGACTAGTAGGCTAAGCTATCGCTCTATCTTACTAGGAGCGATAGGAGCGGTCGAGAGCGATAGCGTCGCTTACGTCGCTTACGACTATAGACAAGATATCTCCTTTATATTTAGGAACGCCGGAATGCCCTTATAGCTCGAGGCGTTTAACTTATATTACCTACTTACTAATTAGAATTACCTTTATACTAATTATTCTATCTCTACCTCCCGCTTATATTAGCCTCTCTAAAGAAGCCTCGGCTTGTACGTAATAAGAAGTTACCTAACGATCTGTCGCGAGTAACCGTAATAGCTAAGTAGTAGGTTAGAGTCGCGTAGGCCGAATACCTAAGGCTAGCGCTTTCTACCTAGGGCGTAGCTCTTTATAAAAACTAATATAGTCTCTAGTTTAAACTAGGAATCTATATAGTTCGAAAAAACCAAACCGGAACTAGGGAGCTAGTTCGCCGCTAAGAAACTAAACTATATACGTTTAGTAGTTCGGAAACCGAACTACTATAGAGTCTATATAAAGGAGAGAGAGAAAGGTTAGGAGTTAGGCTAGCGCTAGGCGCTAAGCCCTACCTAAGGCACTAGGGCCCTAGCTTTACTTAGCTAGTTATATATCTTTTATATACCCTCTCTCTAAATTAGGCTCTAGTATAGGCTTTCCTTATAAAGGCTACGCCCTCGTAGCTATTTCCTATTATTTCCTTACTAAGTTATTAATCTAATAAGCCGCGCTTCTTACGCGCTAGGCTAGACGCTTAGCTAGCTAGTTACGTTACTATTAGGCTTATTATTAAATCTTGCTTTAGTATCTACTATATAATAGCTACTCTAGCCTATTATTAGCTAGTAACTAGCCCTATACCCTTAGGCTAAGTATTAAGCCTATAAAAGAGGCCTCTTTCTATAGAATAGATAGATTATTAACCTCGTTTAGTAGACTACTCCTATTATACTTTAATAGTACCTATATTATAGGACTCTAATTACTATAACCTAAATAATAAGTTTACTATCCTATCTTGCTAAGTATAGCTGCCTATATTGCTATAGGTTATACTATCTTCGGAGGCTTATACTATTACTATTAGTAGTAGTAGTAGTAGTAAAGACCCTAGCTTTACTTAGCCGGTTACATGCCTTTTACATGCCCTCTAACAGTGCGCCAGGTAGGGAAGACTTCTACATTGTACACCCTGTGTACGTCCACAAGACACAGCTTGGTCACCTTCGGGCCTACACCAGACCTCGAGGCATTACGAAGGATATCCGCCCAGCTGACCCAGCATAATTATCCCGCTGTATTCCAATTCCAGCTATATCAACCGCCGTGTTCATAAGGAAGGATCTCAGAATGGGCCGAATGGCACACCTTGCAATCACCGTGTACACCATGCTTGTGTCCTTGTGTCTAACATCTCTAGATGCAAGACAGGCGACAAGCTGAATTCTCAGCGGGTCGAGACGTTCTAGAAAGCAAACGGATCCTGCAGAAGACCACCATCACTTCTCTCGCCTTGCCGACAGAGCCTTATTAGTTGCAACACAAACGCGATACGACAGACTGACATACACAATGCACGATCAAGCACGCTACGGCTATGTCACGTCTTGTACCAGATCATCTTTTCGCTATTCGACTTTTGCGATGCCCTCATCGAGCGAGTCGAGCGGTTCAATATCGATCACTGGCCATAGCCAAGCAGTTCCCTTAGATCTCAAGCATAACGCCGAAGAAGAAAGATCCTTGCTGGCAGCTTTCTATTTGCCCGTTGACTAATTGTCACACCACTGAGTACCTTTCGGGGGGGTTGTGCCAACTTAAGTAGGGCGAAGAATCAACACACTTACCTGGATGAAGTCAAAAGTGGGTGGGAGCTGAGAATAATGGTGCAGCTATGTGCTGCTAGTGTGTGCATTGAGAGGCGTGTGCTGTCGTCCTGCTCACGATGCCGACTCCTCGTCATCCTCGTCGTCGCCGCCAGGCACATCTAGCACACGCTCTCCTGCATTCTGCAGGGTTCTTCTACTCCACGCTCTGACGCCTTTCCAGACAGCATAGAGAAAAGTAACAATACCAATGATGATGGTAATCCAGCTCAACTGCTGTAATCGGTCCCTGCCGGTACCGCCGACTGTGCTGCGGCCACCACCCATAATACCTCCAGTGCGGACGTTGAACCATTGGAAGGGAGATAGCGTAAGCATGAACTTGGCGAAGCCGAGCAGTCCCAGCGAAGCTAAACCTTTCACGATGTGCTCGGTCCATGTTGCAGGTTCGTCCTCAAAGATGAGTGATCCTCGTGGGCCTCCGACGGTCGCAATGGTTGAGACAGGATCGAGGTACATGTTGATGATGGGATCGGCAACAAAGCCAAGAACGAATATGGCAGTCAGAAAGATGAACAGAGTAAGGCCAATCTGCGCGGCGGTACTACTGATCCAGGACGACCAGGTCAATCTTTGTAGCTTGTATCTGTAGCGGCAGGTAGGGCACTCCCAATAATTACGCTTCTGGTTCGGATCTGCCTTTCGCCAGGCATCGAGACAGCCTTCATGCACGTATTTCTGACTGCCCTTGCATTTGCATGGCGATAGCAAGCGGCCACCATCTTCGCTTTCATATGTCACCTTCGGAGGTGGTTGCAGTGCGGCAGGGAGTGTAGACTCGGTATCGTAGTGGAAAGTGGGCTGGACCTCTTCGAGGCATATGCGGCAATTGCGAGGCGGGTAGTGTGTTCTGCGGCGCTTCGGTGGGTGTTCGTAGGCAGTGGATTCTGGTTCTGGTTCTGCCTGTGAAGGTGAATGGGTCGATGTCGTGCTCTCGTGTTCTGGCTCCTGCTTCCAGCCACCTGGTAGATCAGCCGCATGGGGGAGGTCCGCTGGGAATGACCAGTCAGCGCCGGAGGTGAAGGCGGCCATGGCAACAGTAATGTGATGTTCGAAGCGAAGGGAGGCAGGTCAACAAGATGTCTTCTTGTACAGCGAGCGTTCAGCCCACATCGGAGTCACGGAGAGTGAATGGCAGCAGACGGGTCTTTGTCCTTGCATTCGCCAGCATGCTCCAGCTCAATCTCATGCTGGGCTGGGCGCGGCGCCACTGAGCTTGGAAGATTCCAGGCCGCGGATGTTTCGCGAGTGTGCTGAGAGCAGAAGAGTGCTGATGCTGAGCTGTCTGTCTTTCCCTCAGCCAACGTTTTGCCGATGCGGCCGCGTATGATGAAATGAGCTTGGCGTTGGGGGCCTTGTTGCCTGACTGTGGGCCTGCGCGTTGCTCGTCGCCTGGAGCTTCATTGCAAGCTCCATATCGAAACATCCATCGACATACACAACTCCACTGCTGCTGAACAACATCATCACACCGCCACGTATACAAGACACTTTGAGTCCGCGCATCCTCTCTGCATAAAAGTCACCACTCCAGCCACCTGCGCAGGCCACCATGGCCGACAGATACTCCTTCTCTCTCACCACCTTCTCGCCCAGGTATGTTTCATTACTCCTCTATGCTGCTGATATATGCTAATTGAAAGTAGTGGAAAGCTGGTGCAGATTGGTATGACAGCTCATCTTCACTGTCGCCACAGCCAAGACTAACACATCTCAGAATATGCGCTCAATGCAGTCAACCAAGGTGTCACATCACTGGGCATCAAAGCAGCCAACGGCGTCGTCCTCGCAACCGAAAAGAAGTCCTCTACACCGCTTATCGATGCATCATCGTCCTCCAAAGTCTCGCTCATCACACCCAACATCGGCATGGTCTACTCAGGCATGGGCCCAGACTACCGCGTGTTAGTCGACAAGGCGCGCAAGGTCAGCCACACAGGTTACAAGCGGATATACAACGAGTACCCACCCACGCGGATATTGGTGCAGGATGTAGCGCGTGTCATGCAGGAGGCAACTCAGAGTGGTGGCGTGCGGCCGTATGGTGTGAGTCTGCTCATTGCGGGCTGGGATGATGGCATTCTGCCGGAGCAAGAGAAAGAAGAGGCTGCAGAGGAGATGCAGCTCGATAGCGGCGAGAAGAAGGTCAAGACGGGCAAGACGGGTGGCATTCTGAAAGGTGGTCCCAGTCTGTACCAAGTCGACCCAAGTGGTAGCTACTTCCCGTGGAAGGCGACTGCGATTGGCAAGAGCGCCACCAGCGCGAAGACTTTCTTGGAGAAGAGATATACTGAGGGGCTCGAGCTGGAAGATGCGGTGCACATTGCGCTGCTGACTTTGAAGGAGACGATCGAGGGCGAGATGAATGGCGATACCGTCGAGATTGGTAAGTGCAGAAGACATAGGCATTTCGTTAGGGCAAGATACTAACAATCGACCAGGTATTGTCGGCCCACCAGCAGATCACCTCCTCGGCTACGAAGGTGTAGAAGGCGCCACTGGCCCACGGTTCAGGAAGCTCAGTCCGCAGGAGATCGAGGACTACCTCACCAACTTGTAGAATATCCCCTGGGAAGCATAGCTGGCGTTCTGGAGCAAAGGAAGCGCACAACGCTGGCCTCATAAAGAACCTGTATGAAATAGGTACATGACTGAAGAAGCTCATACCATGCTCTCAATCCTCATCTCATATGTTCGGCTTGCAAACTGTATGTCGACCTGGGTCAAAAAGAAAAGGCTTGGCTCCACTGCGACTCGAACGCAGTTCTTCTCAATTTGGGTGAGGATGGATGATCGAAACCAAAGCCTGCGATAGTGGTCGAGACTATAAGCCTGCGACAGGTGGTTGAGACCGAAGCCTGCAACAAGTGGTCGAGACAAAAGCCTGCGACATGATCGAGACACAAGGCCTGCGACGCATCCTCATGCTCATCAGATGTGCTAGCTACTGCACCACAGAATCGAAAGCACACGGAATGGGCGATACGCCGTATTTGTACCAGAAGCAAGCAGGGACCCAGCGTCCAAGCAAGGCTTGCAGAAGCACGTATTGCCACTGCCAAGTCATGTTCCATACCGCCTCTCAAGTATCATTACATCTTCATTTAGTCAGAACGCCACCACTCCTCCCTCACTCAGCAATTCCTTCCACAATGAAAAGCTACCCACTCCCCTCCACCCTCACAATCTCATCCGCAACCTTCCCACTCTCCTCCAAAATCTCCGCATACTCCCTCGCCATTCCCCGAATCCCACTTTCCTCCCTATACTCCTCCAGCACCCCCTCAACTTCCCGAATCCTCCGTTTAAGCACCACACTCTCCCGCTCCAGACCCTCAAAATCCTGAAACTCCGTCCGACCCAAAAGCTGCTGGAACTGCACCTGCAATTTCCTCTCCATCCCCTCCGCCACAATCGCAAGATACTCGGCTTTGGCTTTCGTACCCCTCGCCACACTCCCATGAACCGTCTGCTCGAGAATTTTGATACAGGTTTCTATAGCTTTGCGGGAAAGTTTTTGGAGAGATGCGGTTTCGTGGGAAATTTGGAGGCGTAGGGAACGGAGAGTTTCGGTTTGGGATTCCAGGTCGGATTTTTGGGTGGTGAGGAGGGAAGGTAAGTTGTCGGCGGCATTTGCGGTGCTGACATCGTCGGGGGAGGCGATGCGGGCTAGAGTTAGGAGGTGGTCGAGGGCGAGTTTCCAGATGCTTTTGGAGATGGGGTGGAGGTTTTCCTTTGGGGGGTGATGGAATTAGTATAAGTAGGGATACGATGGAGCCTTGTGGAATAACAATGCTTATTTACCTTGAACCTTGCAATGTCATCGCGAAGCAGACTGGAATCTTCTCGAGAAATTTGTGCGTCTAATGTGGCAGCGATGATGGTGACGAGTTCTTGTAGCTTTTCTCTTGTCAGCGAGAATTCGCGGAAAGATTCATGTGCATGCAGCAGACTCACGTCTTCGGGTAACTCATCACTTCGATACGAGACAGAGTGCAGGTAGGATTTCAGGAGATCTCTTTTCGCAGCGGCAATTCGTGCCTTTCGAAGATCCTGTACGAATGACAAGGTCAGCTCGATAGCGCCATCGCGAGGGAGGGATGGTGAGGATACCTGCTGGAAGACATCAACGTCCTTTTGAGCCTTGACGTCCAATTTCGTGGTTCCATCGGGATTTAGCTTGTTAATACACAGATCGCGATACAAGGCTTGGAATTTGGGGTTTGCTGAGAGAACGTCCGGATCGACGTAAGGATTCATTTGTTTGGTAGGCAAGGGGTGGAAAGAGTCGAGGTGGGATTTGAGATGCAAGCTTGATTCAGATGCGCGAGGCCGGGAAGCCAAGCCTGGCTTCACATTTCTGTCGCATACATGCCGCTCTCTGCAGTACTATTAAAGAAACTCTAAATCTATGTCTATAAGTCTTGCCGTTGCGATTACAATAGACCGAGATACTCGCCGAGGTCGAGCAAGCGGGAGAGAAAGACACCACTAACTCCCACCAGGGATGCAATGATAGGCAAATGGACAAACCACTCCAAAGATCGTATGCAACTCAGCATGACCATGAGGACCAGTCTTAGGAGGTAGTCTTTCCAGATGAGTCTCGGAGCTTGGCCTCTGCTGTAGGTGGAGTCTACAAACTCGAAAGGAAGCTCAGCTCCGAGATACTCAATCGCAACGCGGACGCCGCTACTGAAGCCATCCTCGTGAAAGCCATACTTGGTCCACGCTCCACAATAGCTGACACCTCTGGTATTTTGTATGCTTTCAAGGCGCTTCTGAGCACGTACAGCGTCGGCAGTGTACAGTGGGTGTTGATACGTGAATTTTCCTTGCACTTTCGTGGGATCAGGACTCGACTGTGGGTTCATTGTCACCAGTACTGGGCCATGGTGCTCTTCTGGAAAATGTTGCAGAATGTTCATGCAGTATGTCAGAGTGACTCCGGCCGGGTGAGAGAGCTTTGAGGGTTGGGACTGAACGAGGTAATTCCAGCTTGTCCACACTTTCCTTCGCGTAGGCATCAGAGCTAGGTCGGAGTGCAAGTAGCAAATGTTCTCGGTTGTTTTGAAGGTCGAGAAGATATCGAACTCCTCCTGTGACACTTGTTGTCCACCGCTTGGTGACTTGACGAAGCTGCTGGATTTGGACGAGCTACTTTTTGATTTGCTCCCAGAAGATACCAGATTGTTGCGCGCTCCATGTTTCGACAGCAGTGGGAGCACTTCATCCCCATGGCAGCCAAGTATCACATGGTCGAATGCATCGCCGTCGATACGTCCTGATGCTCCGTCTATCCATGATAATGTCACCAAGCCTTTCGCGCCTGGCTCAGGCCTTACCACATTCGCTACCTCACACGAAGGATGAATGTGCAGTCGATCCTTTGGAAACTGTTTGACGATCGCATCGATGTAGCGCTGTGAGCCGCCAGGTATCGTCATCCAGGCCGGCCGTTCTGCGAGTGTCGAAAGTAAATGATGATTCCACATGAATCGTATCAGCGTTCTTGCTGGAAATTCCAGACTGGCTTTGTCGGGGGACGTGCTCCATACTGCAGCCGTCATCGGAATGAGGTAGTCGTCTCGGAAAGATTGTGAATATCCGTACTTATCGAGGTATTCACCAATACTCATGTCGATAGCATGCGTTCCGCCATAAGTCGATGACGAGCGAGTCCCGTCGAAAGCATCCTCTGGCTCGCTGAGAAGATCGAGGGCGTATTGATTGAAGCGAACTATGTCGTATATCATGCGCCAGTGCCTTGGTCTGAAAAGATTCCGCCTTTGAGCAAAGATACCACGAGTCTCTCCGGACCATTCAAAAGCGCCATGATCTCTTGAGACACCAAAGGTCATTTCAGTATTGACAGGATCGACTCCGACATGCTGGAGAAAGCGAATGAAATTAGGATAGGTTGCAGTATTCATGACAATGAAGCCGGTATCCACTTGAATCGTCTCATCGTTGCGGCCCCGGAAGGATTGAGTATTCGTATGGCCTCCAAGTTTGCTCGATTTTTCGAAGATGTGTATTTCATAGTCGGTGTTGTTGAGTGCCCATGCCGCCCCCAGCCCTGCACAACCACTGCCGACGATAGCAATCCGCTTCCGTTCCAGCGACCCCATCCTCCTAGCTGAGCTGTTTGCTTCCGGCTGCTGTTTGCGGCCAAATAGATTCATCGGTGATATCCTTCTGGACTATGATGTTGTACATGTGAAACAGGTTGAAGAAAGATAAGAGGCAACCATGGCAGCTGCAACCCACTTTGGGAATGGCCAGGGTAGGAACAGTATTCTAAGCGGTTGGATTGGCCGAGTCCAGTCACCAGTGGCTGCCACGATACCAAGCTGCGTGTTCGTGCCTGAATCTCGCAGGAACAGAGTGCTGTATGGCCAGTGATACTCGTTAGATAGCTCTGTCCTTTGGTGTTGATGCCGAACGAAGCGTGAGAGCAAAGGCGTCACGAGTCCAGCCACGATCGTCGTCTTCCTTCCTTCCTTTGATCTGCCGCCGACATCTCAGCCACACCGTCAACTGACAACGGACATCTTGCGCGAGGCATCAACATATCACCACACTCAGCACGAAATAATCGGCCTGTAGATACCCTCATAGCGTTCCATATCACCAGAACCTCCACGCAGAAAATTTCCGACCACCGCATCTCCTTCTCGGCCTTTTGCGACACCCACATCTCCATCCACGACCATGTCGAACCCACTGGACACCGACGCAGGCTCCGAGCTCTTCAGCAACTACGAAGCAGAGCTCAAGCTCATCCAAGCAGATGTATCGCAGAAGCTGGACCAAATCCCCGAGCTCTCGGGCGAGCCGCGAAAGTCAGCGATAGCCCAAGCCGAACGAGCCTTAGACGAAGCCAAAGAACTCCTCGACTCGATGCGGCTCGAGAAACAAAACATCCCCCAAGCCTCCAAAGTCAAAGTCAACCAACGCTTCCGAAACTACGAAAGCGACGTCGATGCCGCGAAAAGGAAACTCAAGAGTCTGCGAGATGACCGTCAGGCATTATTCGGGAAGCGGTATACAGATAGCCCCACGGAAGACGATCAGCTGGCGCAGCGCCAACAGCTTCTGAGCGGAACGGAGAGATTGGAGCGCTCGAGTGGGAGACTACGAGAGTCGCAGAGAATCGCGCTTGAGACGGAAGATATTGGACGCAATACGCTGGCCGATCTCAGCAGGCAGCGAGAAACGATTGAGCATACGAGGAGTACGTTGTTGGAGAGCGAGGGATATACGGATAGGAGTAACAAGACGCTCAAGGGCATGGCGAGAAGGTATTTTCCTGGTTTATGGTGATGTGAATGGAGGGTGACTTGCTGACTTGTCTTTTCTTAGAATGGCTACGAATAAGATCATCACGGTTGCGATTATTGCGGTGTTGGTCATATTGATTATTGCGGTGATTGTGAGCAAGTTTAGGTAGAATGTACGAGATGGACGGAGACTTTCCAGTCGGAGCATGATGGGGTGTGGTATGATGGAAGGCTTGTATAGAACAGCTAATGTAACAGTTTCAGAATCACGACGGAGTTGTCTTGTTGATGATGTTGATTCTCGAAAGCGTCAGATCAAACGTCTTTCTTCTCCCTTGTGAGCGGACCTGCTGCGTGATGAAGATCCCCTGTGAGACTCCTAACTCGTCCTCATCATTATGCACACTCGTACTCGTTCCCAAGTACGCAAACCTATCGGAACCAACACCTCATTACCTGTTCCTGGTCGCGGTTACATAGAGTTTCGTGTGACTAAGCTTCTATCATGGGTTCGTTGTGGAGGGCGATCAACAACAGCCGCGGCTTTGTTCTCGTTACCCTCTTTTATCACATACTAGCCCGAACGACTACTGCAGTTTCGAAAGCAAGCAAAAAGCAATGAGGGAACCTACACCTTTGGAGAGACTACGAGAAGTCTTTGATGCGAGAGCATTTGCTGAAGACGTACGTTTTGAATTCTTTCTTCCTTTCTGCTTGCAGTAACTAGTGCTGTGCTGTGCTGCGTTTCACGGCATCTGCTTTACTAGCGTCCTGCCGAGGACGAGCTAGTTGAAGTACTTTACTGCTACTACCGCCGCCAGCAATATGACGAAGGGGAACGAGGAAGGGAAATGGATTGATCAGATTCAATAACGATTGAATTTGTTTGTGGTATCTTCACATTCTTCTACATGATTATGCCGAGCAATTGAGTTTGACCTCGGAAGAGCTGGTTGCTGACACTGCACTGCCCCTTCGCATAGGAAGATGAAGATCCCGACAAGAACTTCCTTATACCATGGCTGAAGAAACTCGAGGTTTTGGAAGCCGAGAAGATGTCCAAGACGACTTCGAGGATTGTGTATCGCTTTCCCGTACTCAGGGAGTACCTTAATCCCACCCGGACGTTCCATGGAGGAGCGATCGCTTCGATGATGGATGTTTGCACGACCTGGTGCTTATTCCTGATATGCGATTATGGATTTTGGAGCACAATGGGCATCACAAGGTCGATGCATTGCGTGTACCTCAAGCCGGCCATGGAGGATGACATGCTCTTGTGCGAGTGCCGGGTATGCCTTGTTCACCTCCCTTTTTCCACCTTGCTCTTCACTGACTCTTGACTGCAGATTGTGCATGCCGGCAAGAGGTTGTGTCTGCTTACTGGGAGTATGACTCGAGAAAAGGACGGCGCGGTGGTTGCGACTTGTGAGCACAACAAGTATAATATCGACGCCGATTCGTCACATATGTGATCGGAGAAGTTGCGCTGGATGGGCGATGCTGGATAGATAGACAGGCCTTCTTTCAAGTGTCGTAAAAGCGTCTAAAAGTCGGTGACTCTACCATTGTAGCTCCAATCTCCCTTCCATCTCAGAGGATCGTTCTTCGGACCTCCCACCTCGCCAGTGTTGGGATTGATATCGCCCTCGAACTCAGGCGGCGCACCTCGTCGTACATTCGGATGCAGCTCTTCGCCATCGCCCTTGGCGGCTAGTCGTGCTCGGTCTCGTAGCTGTTCAAGCATCTTGTCGGCTTCGGATGATCTGGGAGCAGCAGCCATGCCATCAGCGCCGGACTCTTCCTTGAGCTCTCGTGGCGTGCTAAAAGCCCCAGTAGACTGCTGCTGTAGTTTCTCAAAGATCTCTTGTTCTTCCTTGGGCAATCGTGGCGGCGAAGGTCCTGTACTCCATGCTGATCTTGCGGGTATGGAGGTTGCGAATGATCGCCGCAGGACGCCAGGACGGATCATGCGTGAGGCTCTGGATACGGACTGCATGCTTTCGATCAGTGATAGAGGGATCCAGAGGGACTTGCAAGTGCTGGAAAGTGTTCGCAGAATATATGCGGCAAGAGGCAGGAGCGAGAGCAATTGCCGGGGTCGGAGCCAGAGCCGCGCCACCGTGAAAATGGACCCTTATAGAAATCTTATTCCCGGCATTCGACTTCACTTTGCTCTTTCACACAACAAACGCTGCTGAAACCTACCTTAACTGCTTTTCTCACCGGACAAAGTGATCAGGCATTTCAATTCACATACCCTCGCTGTGGGATCATGTGCACTTCGGCCCGCGTTATAAAAGCCCTTCCAAAACGTTGGCCACCGTAGTTGCCAACCTCATCCATTCCCCCAACGGCTTCGCAGCAACACCTCTTTTCGTCGGCATTGAATTGCAGCATGCGGAAGACTCTATCAGCCACCGACACCTATTGTGGTTCTTTATCGCCGAGTGCGCGCATCTATACTATACTTTGACACTTCTCCTCTACTATTCGAGTCCAACGGCGCACTTTCGTCGGCAGTGAAGTGTTATTCGCGGCACCTATAAGACTCGATCGCCGTCATCGAGTCCTATTGTGGCTATTTTGAGCGTTGCATTTCGACTACGCCTAGACGATTCTGTCCGCTCCCACCTATTGTCGAAGTCCAACGGCTCTATAGAAGTACGCGTCAAACCTGCGGTAACACCTCTCCTTCACCCGCAAAGTGGGGCCACTGCTATTATAGTTGTTGCCCTGCGGGTCGTAGCTATTGTCCTGCATATGGTGCGTGCATCGACAATAGGACCTTACTCAGCCTCCCTCAAGCGTTTAGTACTTCAACATTTTGAGCTGCACTTCCACTTCTACTTTTTCTTTCCACTCGATACATCAGACAGAAACCGACCTCGATAGCTTCTCTTCAGCATATACAACCTTCAGCACACAACTCACAGCACAACAGCGTTCACTATCAAACATTACAACATCTGCTTCTCACAGCGATTCACAGGCCGAGTATAGTACCTTGCTAGCCGCCTCCAGCAGCGCTAACTCATCTACCATCATCAAAATGGACCACATTGTCAATATGATCAAGAACTTCTTCGGCAACTTGCCGACTTTCGGCCCGGCTATCGAGAACGTTCTCAAGAAGTTGCCAGTTTTCGGTCCGATCTTCCGTAACCTCTTCAATGGCTTCTCTGGCAACCGTGTCGCCAAGGTCACTTTCCTGTGGAAGCTCTACCACCAGTTGGTCGGCGATTACCAGACCAAGCTGAAGGTTCTTCACGAGCGACACGGTAACGTTCATCCTCTCTGCCTTGACATTGACACTCACTAACATCTCGCAGGCCCTATCGTGCAGGTTGCGCCAGGCGAGTTCTCGGTCAGCGGCAAGGAGGGCAGTCTGCGCTTCATCGGCCGCTTGCCTGCTTCCACTCAAGGTCTTCTCAACCCACCAGCTATCAAGGTCCTTCAAGACGCCTGCAAAATGCAGAACCTCTTCGACCGCGAGCGTGTCATCGACGGCCGCAACCAGGCGCTGCAACAGCACTTTGTCAATGCCGCCAACGACCAGCGACAGATTGACCTCACCAAGCTTTTCGCCCGTTACGCCTACGATTTGGTCATTACTACCACCACCGGCAAGCCAGCTGGCTTCCTCGACATCAACGCCGACCCAGCCAAGATCGACAGCGCCATCAAGAACTGGAAGTTTGACGCCATCATCGTCGGCTCGTACTTGCGCTACAACAAATACATCAAGCCAAAACGTGAGAATCGCCTCTTCAGCAGCGTCTCCGAGGCATCTACCGCTACCACTGACGAGAAGCTGGCCGCTACCCACGATACCGATGGTATCTCTCCTCTACATGAAATCAAGCCGTCCAGTCTCATCAACGCCAGTGACCATGAGGCAATGACCGTTCTCGCGCTGGCCGCCGCCGACCCAGCTATCATCCTCGTCACCAAGGCTCTCTCCTATGTCTACAACAACCATGACATTCTCCACAGTCTCCGTGCCGAGTTCAAGGCTTCCGGCATCTCGCACGTACCAACCTTCAAGGAGCTGATTCTCAACAAGTCGCGCTTGCCATTGTTACATGCCGTCCTTCTCGAGTGCATCCGCCTTCATCCTATCTACATCTCAGGTCTCAGCTACATCGCGCCAGATGACGGATTTCGCGCCAATGGCCTAGAGATTCCTGCTGGTAACCTGATCACTCCTACCTGCGTCGTCGAGCACGTGAATCCAGAAGCTTTTGGCAATTCCGGCGTTTGGGACCCAGCTCGTTGGCTCAACGGCGCCACAGCAGAGCTCAAACGACTACTTCCCGCTTTCAACCTTGACAACGGCCGTGGCGCCAACCCAGATACTGTCGCCGAGTTCCACTCTCTCATCGCCAGCAAAATCATCATTCAAGTCGTCACCAACTTCGACATTGCCGGCGACAGCCTCAAGACTGCCAAGATCGCCGTTGCCGATGGTGCGCAGAACGCTGCCTCCATCACCGAGGCATCGAATGACCGCGTCGGCCAGACTACACCTGCTACTCTCGGTGCCATGGATCGTCTTGAGCAATACCTCGGCGCCGATGGTGTACGTCTGCTGCTGACTCGCTTCAACCCAGACGCCACAGGCCGTGGTTCCTGGGGCAGAGAGCCGCTTCGTGTCGGCCCACTCGGGACCAGAGATGACTTCTACGACCTCCTGAGATCTGTCAAGTCCATCTACGGTGGCCGTCTCTCCCTCGACCAGGCCCCAGACAAGACCGTCGTCATCGGCACCAAAGCGATGATCGAATACACCAAGAACAAGGCAAAGACGACGACGACGCGCCCTGTCTCGCAGCCAATCAAGAAGCAAGAGAGCGTCCCTGCTGCTGGCAAGCGCCTTGTTGTCGGTGCTTGGGGTGAGTTCGCGGTGAAAGAGCACGAGCGCCAGGAAGGCTTCAAGACGAAGGAGAGCTGGGAGGCGCAGAAGAAGCAGAACGAGGAGGCCGCACAGGAGGCGAAGGCAAGCCCGCCTGCCCAGGCTCCGCAATTCAAGGCGACCTGGAAGCAGACGGGCATCGGCGCCAATGGCAAGCGCAAGGTCGTCAGCACGCAGACGACCTTGGAGCCTTCCGCTTCGCCTGCTCCTGTTGCGGCCCCTCGCACGCTGCCACCACATCTGCGGAAGGCAGCGGCCGGTCCGGCCAATTAGGCCCTCAAAACAGCACAGATAGCATGAGAAATCAAGTCTTGGCGCTGAAATTTGCACATTTTTCTTGAGTTCATTCGCTCATGATCGTGTCGCTTCCACTGGATAGGGTGGTTGAACGCCCTTCGTGTTAGTTTTCGAAGTAGTTGTGCCGGCAAAGAGAGTGGAGTTGAGTGCATAGGTGACTATGATATTCTCACGGATTTCGGCATAGATTGTCTATTGCTTCTACCAGATAGGGTGGTTCAAAGCCCTTCGTGTCGCTTTGCGGCGTAGCTATACCGGCAGAGATGGTGGAGTTAAGCGATGAGAATGCGCACATTCCCACGTATTTGGACCTAAATCATTCGTTGCTTCCACCGTATAGGGTAGTTCGACGCCCTTGGTGTCAGTTTGAGATATGGCTATGCCTGCAGAGAAGGTGGATATCAACGCCTAGGTGATGCGAATGAAATAGTGGAATTCTCACGCATCTCGGCTGAAGTTAACCATTACTTCCACGGTATAGGGTAGTTCAGCGCCTTCCGTGTCAATTTGCGAAGTAGTCATGCAGCTGAGAGGGTGGAGTTGAGCGATGAGAATGCGCAAAGGTAACTATGAGATTTTCACGTATTTGGACCTAGATTATCCATTTGCTTCCACCGCAAGGGCGGTTTGATGCCCTCCAGGTTAGTTTGCAATGTCGCTATGCCGCTGAGATAGTAGAGCTGAGCAATATCAACGCCCTAGTGATGTAGATAAAATCGTGATGTTCTCACGAATTTTGCCTTAAATTATCCATTGCTTGTCTAAAATAGACAGTACGGAGGCCTTGATTTCCCGTTGCGAGGCAGTAGAGACGGTAGAGATAACGGAGCTAAACGATGAAAATGCCTGGTTGCCAGTTGGTGTGGATTATAGTGGTTGATTCTTGAATTGCATATTCAAGTGAATATTCATATTCAGAATATTCATAATTGATTCTAGCATTCTTGAATATTTATGAATATGAATATTCAGGCGGTTATACTACGGCGCACTTATATCCCATATAAGTATGCAAATTCTAGCTCTTTCTTTATACAATACAACATCTTCAATAGGACGGAAACGCGTAGAAGTAATCGAGGTAGGTAAACAGCCAACTATAGCATTCCAGTATATACTAATGGTTTAGATGTCGGACTCGGAGCCTAACTCGGAGCAAGAGTTATAGACAATCGACTAGTCTACGTAGGCGTTCTTAGCATTATAGAGCTATTATCTCAACCTCCTGCTTAAGGATATAGTAGCTACTTATCTAACTCTTAGCGAGACCGACTATTGTATTACCCCTGCTTAGCTCTATTTCTAATAAGCCGGCATCCTATTATTCATTAACGAAGTAGCGTAGAATAACTTTAAGCAGTATATCGGAGATGCGGAAAAGGAGGGTCTATAGCTGCTATTCCGTAGGGTTACGAGGAAGACGATAAAGAGCCTCGTATATACGCCGGAGTACTACTAAAATTGAATAACTATTATCTAATCCACTATTCAATCCACTGCTAGAATCCAACTAACTATTCAAACTAGTGAAATATTCATTCTTTTTGCCCTTTTACATGCTGATTCTGATTATTCACTTGAATATTCTGAATTGAATATTCACTGATTTGATTTGAGGGTGTAGAATCGATTATTCAGGAATCAACCACTATGGTGTGGATGAAATCATAATATTCTCACATATTTCGCCTAAAATTCTCTATCGCTTCTACGAAATAGATAGTACGGAGGCCTTGATTTCCCTCTGCTAGGTAGCTAGTCTATAGACATAGACAAGCCAAGTCGGTACAAGGTAATCAAAATGAAAAACTTCTTACTCTAAATTCTTTTCTGCCTCGAACCGCCTATTCTACTCTACGGGCATGAAAAATGGCAGCGATTCTCGGATCTGAACAAGCCTCGTCCTCTCTTTCGAAACAGCTTTAAAATCTTTGCATCGGAAGTGTAGCGCCACCAGTTGTTTTGACAGCAAAACAGCTTGCGCTCTGCAATCGGCGTCCCCTTCCTGGAACCTCTCGATCGCTCGTTCCAGAACTCTTACACCTTCTGAGGCTGCTTTCTTGATGAATTCAGTGCTAAGCATAGTGGTCGCGAGGAAGATCGCTTTGGAGACGGTATTGTGCTGGATCGGCTCTGTTGAAGGTAGCATTCTGTTTGACAGCCAGTAGAGCCGTTTACCCAGCTCAAGCTTCAGTCGTTCGTCCTTGCTGTGGTTCCACGAAGCAAATGCATACTCGTACAGCCGGGACAAGCGGAATTCGTCGGGTAAGTCTGTTGCTTTATTGTACAGGTCATCCATCCTTCTATACCTCTCCAATAAGGAGGTACTTTTTAGTTCCTTCTTCTCCCAGCTTTTGGCGTATTGAACCGCCGAATGTAAAAGAAAGGGATCATGAGGCTTCAGGAACGTCTCAAAGGTCTGGACTGTAAGCTCATGAGCGAGACGGAGCGTGTCTCTGCGTTCGTCTGAGGGCATGTAACAAAGGTGTGTCACAATCAAGGCCCATGGATGGGCAGTCCCGTGCTGCTGGGCGCCCTGCTGAATGGTGGGGAGGAATTTTGACAGTGTGAGTGCGTATCTTGTTGCTGCCTCTGCTTTCTTCTCCTGCGCTTTTGCACGCATTTGCCGCTCCACTTCCTTCGAGACCTTGAATTTGTTTATTGCCCTGCTGATGTGGTTCCGACTTCGGTGAAACGATCCTGTAGTCTTCGCACGCGCAAAGATCGCTTCGATTGCTGAGCAGATCGACCAAAAGCTCGGCAATGATGAAGGATCAGCGAGGCAAGCGGCCTCCAATAGCTTTTCAGATATTTCGTGAAGAATATAGAAGAACTGCCTGGTACTTCGTACCTTCTCGTGCGACGGATTTGTGGCCCTGTGACGTCTTTTGGTTTGATGACCACTTTTCACCTGAAGAAGCATTGAAGCAGTTTTGCATTTGTCGGAAATGATTGTCCAGTTTCTGAGGGAAGTTCCGTCAAGTATAGACGGACCATCCGATGCGGAGGCTTGGGTATGAAGTTCGCCGCCTGTGCAAAAAGATGCGAGAATGTAGTATATTACGTTGCCAAGGACCATGGCCCGTCTACGAAAGGTGTCCGGCATGGAAGGTTGGATTTCCGATGGTCCAGAAGTACTGTGGTTGGGAAAGAGGAGCAATGAAGTACCCGGCTCGAGCCGTCGTTTCCACCTCCTTGTGCGTTTCTTCTTCGTCACCTTCCACTGGCCGAGCACACTTTTGTACTGATTTTTCCTGAAGCTCATCAGCTAAAGCACCCATATAGAGGAGGATTACTTACGACGCAGTGAAGCCACAAATCGACATACATCTTTGCAAATCCTCAAGTGTGAGAAGCTCATACAAATACGCGACAGTAGGCATCAATTGTGCCCATATAGTATCGGGAATGGTCGACTTTTTCCGGTTGGGTTGATGAGCGTGTCTATGCGGGAATGCGTGACAGTCCTTGAATTTCAGTGTAGTATGGATATCGGTCCCATTATGATCTCCGCCAATCCAGGTGGGAGGGATGTCCCAATGACCAGAAACAGTAGCTGCGGGAAAGGTTGAGTTGTAAGTAGTAGGGAAATCACATCCAAGCATTGGCTGCCCAGCATACCACAGGGAAACACCATGGGCTGAGGGAAGCAGATCATCGCCACTGGGAATCATCAGGGTGCTGCTGCTCTGGTCCATGGCAGTGGGAGCCAGCTGCGAACCAGCTGCGGCGGTTTGAGAAATCTCGAACTGCAAGTCTTCAATCATCTCAGCGCGATTTCCGGTTCCCAAGCATAGAACGGAGGAAGGGGATTCAGACGCTCGTGTAGTGGAGGATAGGATGCTCTCACATTTACTTTCAACGTAGGTCACACGACTTCATGATCTGATCTGCGCCTATACTGCCAGCGGGAGGTACCGGCGCTGCGCTGGTGCCAGCGCAACAGGACGAATCCTAATCCTAGTACCTCCGACAGTGTCCGACTAAAGTTGATTACTACAATCGGTTAGTGTATACTAGAGTGATTGCCGGGCATTGTTATTAGCTGCAAATGCTTCCGGTGAAGGGAGTCTTTTAAGAGATAAATAGAGGCTTATCTAGAGCATTCATAATTCTTGAAATATCAGTCTTCAGTCCAGCCTGACAGTCACACGGGTCGGTGCTTCTTTCACATCGCCTACGTACCCATATCGTTGGAGCATCGCTCATTTGCAAAATGGAAGCGAAGCATATGATTGTAGCTGTTGCTGACGTTCGACGAGACATGTCGGAGGCGTCGATCATCGTCGTCTGCCAGGATGAAACTGTCAAAGTCCTACAGCACAAACTGAAAAACTTGGTAAAAGGCTCTAGGAGGCAAGGCTGTAAGTAATGTTGGTCGCTGGCTTGGTCGGGCAACTTACTGTTTCCAAGCTCAAAACGATCTGTCCGTCTGTGTTGCCGACAACAGCCGGTTCAGTACTGCTGTGATACACAAAGCCAAAGATCACAAGTACCCGAGAACATGGGTTGTGCTCGCCAGTGGCCTGGTCCCCCAAATCTCGTTAAAGCCAACGACATGGTCGATCGATTGCACATTCTTCGAGTCAACAAACTGGAACCTCAAAGGGGCCTAGTGATCGAGGGAGCGTCAACCTGGAAGAAAACCCGACTGGATGCATGGACAGAGAAGAAACGAAAGCGAGAGTTGAGACTAAGTGAGGGTGTTTACATCATCTCCTCCAGCTTATCCTCTAATAAGGGACCCGGCACCTTCGACGAACACACCCGTGAGGAGAGCAAATCTTGTTTGCAGAAGATACTCGCAATCCTCAAGGGTGACGTGACATGGGAGAACATGAAAGGCCCTATTGCTATCCTAGCCGGCTTAGCCGGCCTGGCCGTAGGCTCCGTTAAGGCTTGGGCAACTTTGACATGCAAGGTCGATGGCATTTTTCTCTCGTGCCAGTACATGGGAATGAAGTTCCAGGCTGCCGGTTTCTCTTTCAGGCTATTAGCCGCGTTGAAAGTCATTGCTACGCCAATCTGCATCGGTGTCGTTGCTGGAGTTCTGGTTTACTATATTCCGTGGGACCAGTTTTTCAATTGGCTCGTAGGGTGGCTAAAGCAGGTTTTCAATGGAAGATTATGGGATACAATCCGCAGCCTTTGGCGCAATATTCAGTCGTTGCTCTTCCATGCGGGCAGCCAGCAGTCGAGCAGCAACCATGGTTACCGTGGAATGGGCATCTAGCGACATATTAACTAGCACATCCACATTTGCGCGATGAGTTCTCTGGAATCGATGAAAGTTCGCGGTGAAATGGCGCAAAGTCTACCTTGCGGCTCATGAAGGAGGTTGGCATGCCTTTGAAATGGATATGAAATCGCGTGGAAGATTGGTGCAGGCTCGTTCCCGGCGCTTCAAAAGGCGTGAGATGGACGAGTGTGGATTGGACGAGGTTTATAAGGCGTTCTACTCTTACGTACAGAGGTAGTTCGGAGTTCTTCGTATTAGTCCGTACTATAGTCGCCGTTTTAGGACTAGCGTTGCCTGTCGTTCCGCATGTGCTTCCTCTGCCACGAGAATATTTTCTTCTCGTTACGTAGCAGCAAAGGTTTGAAAGCGGTTCAAAGCGTCAGAAATGACTTCCACCAACCCAAGGACCTGCTCTTCCTGAAGCCGAGGACACATGACCTGAAGGCCGACGGGCATACCATGAACGTCTTGAGGATCAACTAGAATTCGTCAGAGCAGATCTACCCTGCGACTGCTGCATACTCACAGGTCTGTTGCACACGAGCATCGACATCGCTCAGCCGCGATCTCGACCCGTTTGTTTGATCCACCTCGCGGTCACCGACAGTGACTGGAAAGGTGGCAGCAGGATAGTCGAGGACATTCGCGATGGCAGAGTAGCCGAAGTAGTGGAATTCTCCATGTCGCGAAGCAGTATGCGGTGTAGCCGGAAGTATCACGCCATCTGGTATGCGTGCCGACGTGGTCAGGTTGGTGAAGGAGCGCCAATACGAGGCATATTGTGCTTGGTATTGTTGCTGCCTATCGCACAGCTCCCAAAATTCGGCAGAGGTACAGGGTTCCACGTCACCATTATCGTACCACTTCGAAGTGTCAGCCAGGAATCTGAAGCGGTGGGAGGGTAAATAACACTGGCTGTGAGACATGCATCTTTGAGCTGAGGGACCGGTGGCTCGCCACTCTGATTCAGAGCAAGACGTGCTTCAGCAGCAGCTGTAGAGCCGAAAATCCTGAAAAGATTCTCGACGGCGCTGAGCACGGCGGATCTCGCAATTAGCAAATGTGTCTTGAATTTTTGGGCATGCCGTCACTCACGCTGCATGAGGCGGTGGGTCCCAAAGCACTGTCTCGTAGCCGCAATGTTGCAGGGCTTGAGTGAGCATCAGTATTGCTCGGCTCACAGGAGGATGTGGCTGCACGTGTCCATCTGAAGCCATGATTCCGAACACAAGTCTCCCGGGAACAGCGTCTGCTTGTGATTTGCGCCTGCGTATGGCGTCCAGCTTTTCTTGCCGCCACGGAAGCTCAAGCACTCTCGGATCCGATAGCCACGGCCGTGCTGACAATAGACCCTGGAACACTTCCAGGAGGCCATCAGGCGATCTTGACATGAGACCGATGGCACCTCCAGAAATGGGCAGGCCTCGCAGAACCGTTGCGATGCCGCTGTATGGCAAGCGACCCTCGGAGCTTTTCAGCGACCAGAGTCCATTGAAGGCGCTGGGAATGCGGCTGGATCCTGCAACATCAGTGCCGATACCAAGCGGAGAGCCTTTGAGGGCAAGTAGAGCACCCTCGCCTGCCGGACATTAGCTCTTCAGGCCAGATGACTGATATCTAGATGTGCATACCACCACATGCACCGCCCGCTGAAAGATGGCGATTGAATGGACTGACGGTGGTCCCAATGATATTATTTGCCGTCTCACCCATCTGTACCACCACGGTCAGCTGGGTCGGAATCGTTCGCCGTCCTCGCGACTTGCCATCAAGCTCATTGGCACATTTGTCTTGCAGAACAGCACAGCACCGAGCTCTCGCAAGCTTTTGACCAAGGTGCCTTCGTCCGCGACGGATTTCTTGGCCTGCGTCCAACTTGCAAAGCCACAAGCAGAGTCCCATCCTGCGACATGGAAACGGTCCATGAGGCTGATGGGAAGGCCATGCAAAGGACCAATGGGCGAGTGGTGCGTGTTCCAGAAGTCATCGAGTTCTCTGGCACGGGCAATGGCACCGCGAATATCCAGCTCACTGAGGCAGCACGTCTGAGGCGAGTAAGAGTTGCATTCCCATTCCCCTGGGGGCTGACAGGCTGACACGAACCAATTCATGCGCCAGCACAGCACGATGGCAAAAGGCCACGGCGACTTCGCTTGCTGTCAAGTCACCAGTTCGCAGAGCGTGTAGCAGCTCGTGTGCTGGCCTTTCTGTGATGTCTAGCTCGCCGGTCGAGAGAGCGCGGCTGAGTGTCTCCCAAGGGCTTTGCGCAGAAAGCACGACATGCTCATCAAGTTTCCAATCCGGAGGCACATGTGCTAATAATTCGTCCCTTTTTGCCGACGCGGTGACCTGCCACGCGACGGAAGACATAGTCCACGCGCATCATCAGAATGGAGGTCACAGTCAAGATACACAGGTGGAGCTTGGTAGGGACGGTCCGAATGGGATGGTAATGTATTGGTTGTGAAAACCCTTACTGAGGCTTACTCTATGCTACCTACCTACCTACCTATTTTATCATTTTATTATTACTAGTTATTATTACAGATAATTACAGATATGCGGAGGTATACAGAGGACCTCGGGAGTGTCTGGTTCGTGCTTCGAGCACAAACCTTCCTTCACGCAACATGACAACTTTCCAGCGCTCTGCAATGCTCCGCCATCATGTTTCTGCTCGTGCCCAAACGTGCACACCACCACCACCAGCCACCACCCGAGACTGAGCCCGAGGAAGATCCGCGTGCCCCCGTCCGGACACAGAATGCTTGTACGGGCACAACACGCAACAAAACACCACTTGATTGAAGCATTCACTGATGCATTTGTGCTACCACTGCAGGCGATAGTTGTAGGGTGAAAAAGGCCAAGGTAGCTCGCTCGATCCCCTCGCCATGCACACATTGCTTACACGGCTCTTCTGCAGTGCAACGGGAAACAACCTTGCACGAGATGTGCTACACGACGGGACATCTGTGTGTATTCACGTGCCACCAGGCGTGATGTACCGGTAACTCCAGCTCAGGTTGCCCTGCTTCAGCATCAGAAGGACCGCATGTCAAAGGCTCTGCAGCAGATGGCTTCGGTCATTTCCAAACACGAGACAGGACAAGACAAGACGCCTGCTTCTTTCGATGTGCCCAACTTGCTGGACAAGTACGCACCTACACATTCGAATAAACGGGAACGTGACGCTGCATTGGATTACGCTGTGCAGGCTTCAAAGCGAAATTGTATTCAGCCTCCGCGGAGACCATCTGCTCCCGACCTTCCCCGCCCATCGCATACGCGGCTTGCGACCTACGAAGGAGGCGACAATCATGGCCGAGCCAAGATCATTGACACGAATGCACAATTCGTTCTCGAACCAGGTCCGGCGATGCAGCAGAATGCCGTCGGAAACAACGCCTTTGAGTCAATGCTTCAATTCATGCAGATGATGGGCACCTCCGGGGCGTCTTCTGCGCCGGATCAGGCCTTGAACGATTCCAGTCAGCTTCCAGCTCAGAACCTAGAAAGTATTGGAGTTGGAAGCACAGCTGCACTTTCCCCATCGTTCATTGATCTGGTTGACTGGGAAGCAAGCTTGGCCAACTTTCCGGACTCTATACTTAATTTTGGAAATCCCTTGCCGTCTGACAACAACAACAACAACTTTGTCAACCATGAGGATAATTCTACAATTGAGTCAACGATGGATAACGACGATGCTCTCATGAGACTTCCGTGATTACTTGACCACGTCATATACCGTATCCCCGCGGAATTTCATACCTTATCCCGTCGCGATAATACCGCCTCGCTTTCCACTCCGAATCGTACAGAACACGTGGAGCGCAGCGCTTTGCATAGTCGAGCTCAGAATCTACATGCACCACAGCGCCAGTCTGTCCCATCCTGCTTCCATTTACAGAATTTATATCCTCCTTCCCAGGCTGCACGGAGCAAGCTTCCAGCGGCTTTGGTCGATCGTGTTCATTCTTCACACAAGCTTTGTCCATTATTTCCACCGCTTCCACTGTCCGAGGGGTGCAGGATCGAAGTGAGCCCGCCTTCCTCAGTCCCGATAGCACGATCAGCAGGAAAGCTTCAGGATCTTTCAAAGCCGACCCGATGCTACGCTTCTTCATATCCTTAGGCTCGCCTCTCAGCCAGCGCTGCTGCTTGCTTGATCTTCGACGGACTTCGCGCCATCGACGGCGAAAATCATCCCATGAATCGATGCTGGGATCAAACGGTTTCCTCCGGGGGAAAGTCCTTAGCACGCGATCACTGCGCTCCTCGATCGGATCGCTGATTGTGACGCTGATTGAAATGCCCTCGATCCATCTCAGGCTTTCGGCAAGGGAAGGCATAGCAAGGAGGAATTGGTAACCCTCAGCTCGCACGCGAATGACATTGGATCGGCGACGATAATCAAGAGCAAGCCCCACTTCGGCTGACTGGAGGCCAAACGTAACCCTACGACCTTTCTTTCGAAATTCCAGCTTGGTGCCACGAAGGATAGCGATGACTCTCTCCCAGTTGCGGACAAGAGAAGGGTTGAATGGTGTATCGAATTCGCACTTGAGCAACAACGGTGCCACCAGTAACACCGAGCAAGTGTACTCTGGAAGTTGCGAAGAGCCATTCTCGCAATCGTCATAACGAGGAGGCGAGTCGATCGAATCATGGCGCCGAGCCATCGAGCATTTGGCAGGTTTGGAATGTGGAGGCGCTTTCGAAAACAATGCGATCTTCGTGGTAAATAAAGACTAGCGTCTGCTGAAGTGAAGTGAAAATGCGGTGTGGTGTGGTCAAATGATGAGGCCGTGACAGCCGGATGATGGCAAGCACATATCATGGAAGCGGCTTGTGCGGCCCGTTGCGGAGGCGTCCCTTAGTTCTAGCGTTGCCGCCTCGCCACTTCCCCGAGCCCCAGCTACCCGCCCGAGCCCCAGTGATACAGTGGATTATGGAATCCGCTGTTCCTAACAAAATCGCGTGGGGAAGCGATTTCCGGATCCCCGCAACTACCACCGACCGGGCAACCACTGCTGCTAGCCATAAAGCCAAAGTTTGTTAGCAAATCAGTAGTATAGCAAAATTCAAGGTGTTGTTAGTTGCTATCTACTTAGGTCCAAGCGGGTTACGACCTGTAGCCTTATAACCACGCGAGGCTATATATGCTGGCTTATACTAGTCTCTAGCCTGCTAGCTAGCCTGTTACTATATATAATACTGCTACTAAGTGAACTAATAGTGCTGCTGCTAAGTGAACTGATAGTGCTGTTGCTACAGCACCTAGTAATAAAGTAGCCGTCCTATTAGCTATATAAGTAACTATTGTTATTGTTGTTGCTAGTGTTACTAAGCAGCCTATCGTTGCTGCTGTTCAAATAACGCCGCCTACTGTCGGCTATGTTTAATCTGTTACTAAGTGCGCTGTTCTTTACGCGCTCGAAGGTTATTAAGCTCTTGCCGTAGAAGGTCTAGCTTAGAAGGAGGTTATAGTTATAGTTTAACCGGAAGTAATAGCTCTTAACGTAGATTATAGCACTCGAAGCTAGAAGGGTAGTAGGTAGAGCTACATAGTCGATTAGCCTTCTAGTAAGGATACTGTTAAGTACGGCATTGGCTCTTTACGCACTTATAGTGCTTAATAGTCGTCCGTAACTAAGTAAGCGATACGCTAGGCTCGAGTACGAAGGCCGCTGTTCTTAGTATTGTTGTCTTCTACTTCTTAGCGACTGCTGTCTTATTCAAGTCGTCTAATTCTCGAGCCGTTGCTATACGTTTTGTTGTATATAACGTCGCTCCGCTAGTAAGAGGTTTGCGGTTGCTATAGATTACCTATAGCTCTCGAATACGGTGCGAGTTAAAGAGCCGTACCTTCTTAAAGTCGACAAACTAGTAAGCGTAGAAGTAAGAAGGCAATAGCACTGCACGGCTGCCCTCTATCTCTAGAAGCTTTATAATATCGTAAAGGCACGGATAGCTATAGGTCTTAGATAGGTAGTCGTTGCAGCGGCACTATAGACAAGAATACGAGTATGCCGAGTGCTTAATCTCGTTGCTATTAGCATCAACTGTAGCCTTTAAAAGCGAGTTAGTACGCGAGTATAGAGCCTATACTTCGAGAAGGCAATAGTCGCTAACAACTCGAGTTATAGAAGACTAGAATAGACCGATTAAGGCCTTAGAACAGCGCTTTAGGTTGTTAGCGAGTGCAGCTCGGCGGCGGTCGTAGCCTTAGTGCTACTAGTTAAGAAGCGACTCGAAGAGGGTAAAGATATCGTACCGACTGCTATAGTTTAACTACTCCTTAATCCGACCGTAGGTTGCCTCGACTCGTAACGTTGTTTTATAGCTAAAGTGCATTACTTAGTTAGTCTAGCAGTGGACAATCTTCTCCTTATAACACTACCAGTTATTGTTTAAATAGGACTTAAACTGTAGAAACACGTTATCTAGCTTATAAGCCTTGTCGTTGAATTCTTCCTCGGACTGACTCTAGACTATATAAGTAAACAGCTTTATAAACTGAGTAGTCCTTAGACTATTAGTCTACGAGCCATCGTTAGCCTTTACCTATACAAAGTCGCCTCGTTCTTTACGTACTCGAGTTAATATATCTTATTATAGGTGCTAGTCGCAGACGATATTCTTAGACTTTAGATACACCTCGTTAATCGCTAATATAAGAGCCGCTTTACGGTTAGTGCTAAAGACAATAGGTAGTAGACAACTATACTTCTCGAAGCTATTCCGGATTGACTGTAATAGCTGTATAAAGGCCGCCTTATTAGGCTTCGGTTTGACAAGGCTAACACCGAGTTTAATCGTGTTATTTATCGGTCTAGCGGCGACAATATCTAGCAACTCGAGGTTGTATAAATTAGTGCTATAAGTCGTGTCTAAACAGATAATATATAGCGTGTCCTTATAGGCAGAGAGCGACCGTAGATAGAGGGCAACTATTAACCGAATTGCACTATTCTTAGGATTAGTTGTTATCTCGTAGAAGATTGAATTCTCGTCTAGTAGCTTAACTATTCTCTCGGCCTAGTTTAACTCTCTTTGAGCGACAGTATTGCGGTTAAAAGCAATATTATAGACGTCGTATAGCTTTAGAATAACTCCCTAGCCTCGGAAATAGGCTATAATCTTCGAGGTTAGCATTCGTAACTGCTATAATCGCTCTAGTTGCTTAAGGAATTGCTAAGACCTCGTACGGATACGTATATTAGTTAATAAGACAACGTCGTTAGGTCTATAGTTATACTAGCAATATATATCTTTAGAAGAGTAGCGAATACACTACTTACTATCCGGCGTGCGAGGGTCGATAGCAATAGCGTAGAAATAGAATTTATAGCTAATCTTCTTCGTCTTCTTCTTCGCCTTATTAGTCGTTATCTAGGTACGTTTGTTAGGCTTACTAAAGCAGCCGCAGACGTAGAGATAGCGGTATTTAATACTATCCTTATTCTTCTTAGGTTTCTACTCTTTGAACTCGAATCTAGTGTCTATACTAAACGACTGAATATAGCGTACGAGCGCATTCTTCGAAGGAAACGACGACTAGCGAGGCAATAGCCTACGAGGGCGCTTAATCGTTACAAACTCGTGCTTTTAAGGTCGCGGCGATACTAATCGATATTCTAGTAGATTAATACGCTCGCGCGGTAGCGATAGCGATAGTAAGCGCGAGCGGCCTCGAATACGTATCTCCGAGACAAATTGAACCTCTTCCTACGACTTAATAACTACCGCCGAGAGCGCGCCTTCTATACCTTCTACCTCTATTTCTACCTCCTTCTGCGACTTAATAACCACCGCCGAGAGCGCGCCTTCTATACCTTCTACCTCTATTTCCACCTCCTTCTGCGACTTAATAACTACCGCCGAGAGCGCGCCTTCTATACCTTCTACTACCGCCGCCGCCGCTGCCGCCGCGCCGTTACCGCCGCCGGCGATAACTTTATCGAGAAACTCGTCGTAGGATGGAGATTCAGCCATTTTCGGTAGTTACTAGGTAATCTACTACAAAAGGGGGAAGAAATGCGAACTTTGGGTCTACGGTAGAATTCGAGGCGCGAATTCGAGGCGCGACCTCCGCGCCTATTAATAACACTATCCAAGAACGGATATAATATATAATAGGTAGAAACAGCACGTAATCTAATTCAGGACGATTCTATATTGGTATATCTACTGGGGCTCGGGCGGGTAGCTGGGGCTCGGGGAAGTGGCGAGGAGCGTTGCCGGATGCTCCTCGAAGTGAGGCGCTGCAAGGCGAACCTTGACTTCGCTAGCGCTGCCACCCCCGCCGATGATCAACCACGATAAATGTACCTGGTTGAGCAGTCGATGATTTGATGAACGACAGCCAGAAGATCGAATCTCGCTGCAAGGGAAGGGGTACATCGACATGGATCCTGCACTTTCGGGCGCATGCACACAACAAAGCGCATCACCGTGTGCAATTATTCAACAACAACAGCAAAACCAACAATCAACAACATCAACATGCAAGAACCGGCGAGGCTGGAGACGAATCGTGCGCAACTTCACGCCGTCATGGTTTTCCGTGAACATGGGCACCGGCATCACATCGATCCTATTGCACAATCTCCCCTACAACGGCGAATGGCTGCAATGCCTGTCGTACATCATCTTTGCACTGAACGTGCTCCTATTCGTGGCCTTCCTATCCATCTCCATCCTGCGATATGCGCTGTACCCCAAGATCTGGAGCGCGATGATCAGACACCCTGCTCAAAGCCTTTTCGTACGTGCGCGAGCGATCTTGCATCTGTCGTGAAAAGCTTCACGCACTGACTTCGATCTCAGCTTGGCACACTACCGATGGGCCTCGCGACCATCATCAACATGCTTGTTTTTGTCTGCGTGCCCAAGTTCGGGGGCGAGTTCTGGAAATTGGCTTGGGCGCTCTGGTGGATCGATGCAGCCATCTCCCTTGCATGTTGCCTCTATCTCCCCTTCATTCTGTACGCAAATCGCTGGTGCTTCGATACCAACATCCCTGCTGACTTCTCGTCTTCCAGCATGACGAAACACCAGCACTCCGTCCAGAGCATGACCGCGGCATGGCTCCTACCGATCGTGTCCACAATCGTCGCATCCGCCTCGGGAGGCATCGTCGCCGATGTCCTCCCCAACGACAACCACGCCTTGATCACACTCATGACATCATACGTCCTCTGGGCAACCGGAGTCCCTCTCGCCATGGTTGTGATAGTGATATACTTCCTCCGCCTCACAACCGTCAGCCTCCCACCCAAAGAAGTCGTCGTATCAACCTTCCTGCCCTTGGGCCCTCTCGGACAAGGCGGCTTCGCAATCATGCAACTCGGAAAAGTGGCCCTCGAGACTTTTGCTGCGAAAAACAACCTCCCAGAAGTAGGCGGACAGCAAGCCGGCCAAGTCCTCTACATCATAGGTTTCCTCATCGGAACCATCATGTGGGGGTTCGGCCTCGTATGGCTCACATTCGCCGTCGCCACCATCACCCGATGTAAAAGGTTTCCTTTCAACATGGGATGGTGGGGCTTCACGTTCCCGCTCGGAGTCTACACGGTCTGCACCACAACCTTGGGCGCGGAAATGCCATCGAGTTTTTTCAGGATTTTTGGAACTGCGCTTTCGGTGGCGGTGGCGCTGCTTTGGATTTTGGTGTCGATTGGGACGATTTGGAGGGCTTGGACTGGGGCGTTGTTTTTCGCGCCTTGTTTGAAGGATGTTGAGGTGCAGGAGGAAGCGGAGAAGGATTTGGGAGGAGAGAAGGTAGAGAGGAATAGGTCTGCAAGTACAGCGGCGGATTCTTCTGAATCGGTGTGAGATCTCGCGATCCGATCATTTGAGGCGTTCAATGATGCATATGTATATAGCGCTTATTCCAGTTCTGCGCTGCACACAAGAATCTACCCAGTCACAAATCTATGAGATCAGGTAAAGTGAGTCTAAATTTCCAAGTCCTGTAGGAAAATTGGGGGGGGAAAACTATTTCTAGAGGAGAAGAATCCAACGCGAAAGTCCATCGATCGCGCGAAACCAAGAAACATCTTTGACCTACATGTAGCAAAATCACAACGTCGAGGCTCGAGATTGATTTTATTAGGCTAGGATCTAATTATATGCCAAAGCTACTCTTATATAGTTAGTCCTCCGTATTAAAATTTTTTTTACGAGCTTTTCTTAGAAAAGAAGAGAAGGGAAGTCTATATCTATCTACTCGGAGGAAGAATCTTAAAAAAAAAATAGAAAAGGGAATTAATTAGTCGAGTTAAGAAAATTCGAAAGAATTCGAAAAAGGGATAGATAGAAAGAGATTTATTATAAGGTATCGTATAGTCGTCTTAGGCTACGAGACTAGCTTTGGGGTTAACGTATATATAGCTATATATCGTAGAGATAGCGTTGTAGGTGTCTCAATGTTAATAAAGAATAGACAAGTGTAAGAAGAGGATTTCTGCAAGCTTTGGGTATTCTTTTCCTTGTTCTGTATCTGCCCTTCCATCTTCCCATTCATGAGTAGGTTAGATAGGGTATCATCACCACAACATCATAACCTCATAACCTCGTCAACTCATACTTCATAACGTCCCGTTCATATGATAGATACCAGGAGAAATCCCGAAACCTCGTTGCTTGCCACCAGTAGCATATCAATCAATACAATAAAAAGAGAGAGAAAAAAAACCAAAATCCGCTCCCACCAACCAACCCATCAAATCTTAACCTCCTTCACCTCCACAACCGGACTCCCAGCCTCACTCTCATTCTCCCCAAGCACATGATTCGCAACCCTCGCACAACTCGGAACCGTCACAGACGCAGACGCAGACGCACCCTCAAGTTCATGCGGCCCAGCACTCGCCACCCCCTTCTCCTTCACATCAACCCGACTCGAACTCGTGTTCGTCGGCAACTCCGGCCTCATTCGAAAATTATAAGGATTCAATTCCGAAACCGCACTACAAGGCGGAACAGAAAAAGAAGCCTGATTCGAAGAACGAGGATTGGCTGAAGAGTAGTAACGAGGAGGATTTTCTTCTTCTTCTTCGTTTTCGACTCCGAAACTTTTCGCTCGGTAAATCGATGCGGCCGCTTCGGCGAAAGTTGCGGCTTTTTCGAATTCCAGACGCAGACGTTTTTCTCGACGGCGTTGGCGGATGGCGATGAAGAGGGCGAGTAGGAGGCCTGTTCCGACGACGGTGCCGACGACGATGCCGATGATGTCGCCTTTTGAGAGGTCGTCGTCTTTTTGGGGCGGCGGCATTATTGAAGGACTTCTATTATTATGTTGGCATGAAGAGGGGTGGTCACTTGGGATGGTAAGAGTGTGAGTTGGTGGTGAGATTTGCGAGTCTCACTCACCAGCGCCCGTGGCTGTGATTTTCCGGACCCGTATACTCCTGGTCGAGCTGCCAAGTGGCGGGCGAACGTGATGGAAGCATGTACAGTGCTGTCAGCGCTGCATTTCTTGTTCGATGCTGGTATCTACAGTATGTGGTAAAGCTCTATCCTTACCTTCTATGCCAGCATTCAGGACGTGCAATTCGCTGATTCGGCTTTAAACTCGCCGTCTCCCTGTTCGCATGACGACCAGCCAAGGGCCAGCCAAGACGATGTGCTAAGACTACACCCTCTTGCAAAAAGGATATAGTAGCGTCCGCCTCCGAATGACTAAATACAGGCATAGTCTGCTTCTCCCATTGGATAAAGCAGCATTCGCAGGGCTCGGAGGCTATTCCACAGAGTATGGAGGATACCACCGAGACTTTTGAAAGAGGGTGTACGACCGGTACAGCGCACAGAGGCCGTCGGCATCTACCGTAGTCTTGTGTTTCAGGCGCAAAGCCAAGAAGGGCACATCGTGGTGTCAGTTGGCCGGAACCGGCTCCTCGACCAGGTCCTGCGAGCGCCAAGCGTAGAGAGCTGCTCAGCCACGACGAAATCGTGGCATTCATTCTTCTCTCAACTTCTTAAGCTTGACTCGCCAAGTCACGTTAATAAAGCTCGCTCAGGCCTATCGTGCGTGACTGAATGCAAACTTGGACTTCAGCTTCGAGATGCATTCTTGCCGTTCACGATAGCTTCTGCCAGATGCTCGCTGATGAGACCTTGTTCAACGCACTCCTCCAATCCTTCCATCAGATTGCCCTCAACCGGTTCGTCAAGCGCCTGGCAATCATAAATCAGAGCGGCGATTGCTTTGGCAACACTCCACCTCTTCCGCGCCTCTCCCTCCTCAACATCATCTCCGAGAGCTTTCGCGTTGCCAACAGCGCCTTTGTAGAACGTTTTCGCATTTAGTATGAGCGTCGGAGCACCGCTTCTAATTCCGTCCGCAAGATCTGTGTTCGGTATAAGAATGATGCGATACCGAAGGAGCTCAGTGTCGCCCTTTGAGTGGTAAATCTCTGCTTTGCCTTTCCGCGCTTCTTCATTGTTGAGCTTCGCAGCTTTCGAGAGGAGATCTTGGCATGAGGTGAGCTGTTTCCAGCAAAGTGCAGCGGGCAAATTTGAGGCCTCTCCAAATCGATCGATGACTGACAGAACTAATTCATTGCGGGCCGCTGCCTCGGCCACTAAAGCATCAAGATCTTGCTCCTTGCCTGGAAAGTTGAAAGACTCTATTCGCTCAACGTATGTCTCGAGCTCAATCATGTGGTGCTCGAATTGTGCACCCGCATATGCAGCGATGAATCTTGCCCGACTGACAGCGACAGAGAAATGGGCCTTTTGCTGCTCTTCCTCTGGAAGTAGTCTGAGGTAGCCAGGTGCTTTCGACTCAGTAAATTGACGAGCCATCTCGCCAAGATTTTGCAGCGCGGCCTCATCCGCAAGGGGTACGAGAGTGTAGAGTGCAAAGAGACTGGCATGTACAGTGTCAAGGAGATCGCTTGGACCCACCGGTGTTTCAACGATGGCCGACTGCTCGTCCATATCTGTGTCTTCGGCGGGAGCGAGCGGCGTCTCAGACACCGACTCATCCAGTGCTACGCCGCCATCTTCAGTGTCCGGGAAATCGAGTCGATGCTGCTCGAACATCATTTCTTGCCTTGACAAACAAGATGAGAGCAGTTCCAAGGCCTCTTCAAGGGCTTGTGCTGCCTCTGGCTCTGCATCGTCCTCTCGAAGCTGTTCTGCCAAGCTCGTGAGAACTTGGGCAGTGTTGAAGAGAACATCGGGATTCTCCTCGGTCAGTCTGAGGGCGTAGCGATGAGATTCGAGAGTGAGCTTTAGCCACTCTAAGAGCGGAATACCGATATGCTCGAGCACGTTTTCATGTTGCGATAGTTCCAATTGCAGTCTTGCTTTGTTGTAGGCGAGGTCGAAGCTCTCTGGATGCCTCGCCAGACCTTTGTCGTAGACTTCGAGGGCTCGGAAAAATGCTCGACCAGACTTCACAGGATCGCCGGCTCTGTGCTTTCCACCGGCGGCTTCTTCGTAGTCTGCTGCGTCCTGAAAATCATCGGCGGATTCAAGGGCAGATTCCTTGGCCGGCTTCTTCTTCTTGGGCGGAGGCGGCACGAATCGTTTTGGCTTTCCAGAACTCATACCGGCTAATTTCCAGCCTGGCAATGAGGTGATTGCTGCCTCGTTAGAATATCTCACTGATGACGTTGGCACCAGCAGAGATTACTGCAGATGCTCACTTCCCTGCAGGTATTGCGCGGATCTGGAGGCAGAGTGTGATGGGTGATGTGTTGGTGTGTTTGATGGCAAGCGGCAAGCCAGACGTTACCTCGTTGCGAAATATGGCCCTGTGAGAGCATATATCGATGGCACCGGGGATGATGCACGTCGAGGGAGCTGGCGTGGTTGGATTTGCTGTTGGATGGATCGCGGAGGAGCAAACTTCGCGCGGCCTGTCGTGTGGAATTGCTTCGAAGCGGCCGACGTCACGGAATATGAGCTAACAACCACAGCGGTTGATAAGTATCTGCAGTACAGGCACAGTATCGCTGGCTCTCCTTGCGCTTTGCCTGTCCTATGTGTCTGCATACACCTCCCCATCACGTTCCTCACATACGCCGCCCTCATCCTCTCTCTGCTCACAACCACAGCGAAGATGCCGAAGCCGCCGAACCTCTACTCCTTCCCGGACATCGACAAACACCTTGCGCCTAACCTGCGCCGCTACATCCTCGATGCCCAGAAAGAGGCCCTCGACCGCCACCATGTCTTCCGCGTTGCCGTCTCAGGCGGTTCTTTGCCAAAGACTCTCGCAAAAGCTCTCCTCGCCCCCTCCACTTCCGACGCCGATACGCCTCAATTCTCCAAATGGGAAATTTTCTACGCAGACGAACGCTGTGTGCCGCTCGACCACGACGACTCAAACCACAAGTTGGTGAAAGCCGATCTGTTGGACAAGATCCCTTCGGAGCTGGGCACTCCCAAGGTATTTCCAATCGATGAGAAATATCTAGACGATCCGCAAGAGATGGCAGATCAATACGAGAAGACACTGGTATCCATATTCGCCCAGCGCGATTCAGTGAAGCTGCCGCTTTACGACCTCATTCTGTTGGGCTGCGGGCCAGATGGCCATACTTGCTCCCTGTTCCCAGACCATCCTCTGCTTAGGGAAGCAGGCGCATGGGTTTTGTCGATCACGGATTCGCCCAAACCACCGGCAAACCGTATAACTTTGAGTCTACCAGTCGTACTACATGCTGCGAGGATTGCATTCGTGGCGACGGGTGGTGGTAAGAAGGATGTGTTGAAGAAGATTTTTGAGACGGAGGAGGGGAGGAATCTTCCAAGTGGACTGGTGAACGACGGGGCAGGAGACAAGGTCAGCTGGTTCTGTGACCAGGCTGCGACTGAAGGTGTCAACTTCCCCAGGAGAGGAAGCGTGATCTGATGGAGGGTTGCAGAAGCACATCTTGGACTTCCTGCCTACGAAGCGGACATCGCATTAATGTATCTGCGATGGGGTTCCTCTAGCATTGGTCTCGTAACTAGGTAGCGATGAGAAATACCAACGAATTGGACGGCTGTCAAATGCTGATTCAGTATCACTTTTCCCCCTTTCACGGAGATCGACACAGATTCAGGCATCGACAATCTCAGTTAAAGAGCCTTGAATGATGTCGCATACTTGCGATCTACCATTTGGCATGCCTGGGCCAAACATCCATATCGACTAGACGCTGCCAGGTGACCCGTCTCTCACTTGACCGAAATAGAATGCAATGCAAGCGTTGCGAACAATGTCCAAGTTATCAAGCAAATCCTGTCGTGCCATCGCTATTGAGCAACGTGAGAATGTACCGCCTCCCATCGATGTGCAAGCTCTTTACTGCTCAACCGGACACTCCAACTGACGACTACCAAGCTCCTCCGTGCAATAATATGGCGCGGCTGATGAGACGGGGAATCGCATGTGACAGACCCACGGGCTCGGCGCAGACGCCGGACACCGCTCCTGCGACGAAACGAAAGAACGCAAATATTTTGAGCGCAGATCTCATGTGCGGCTCATGATGATTTCTAGACTTCATCTAGACGCGTACTCCGAGGCTCAATCGCGTCGTTCTCGCGTGAATTGGTGATTGAAGCATGGAGAAAACGCGGCGACAAGTCGCAAGCGGTTGGCATCTGAAAAAGCCGAGGCACGAGGGGATCCACAAGCCGCGTGAAAGCCAATCACGCGCAATGCTTTGTTGCGACGTGAACACATTACGCCGCTCACCTGGTCACTTGACAGCGAGCCGTCGCTTCCTGCGGGCAGCGAAGGTAATAATCTTGGCTACACCAGCTCAGGAACGAGGTCACGCTGATCTCACGACGCAGCTCGGCATCTTCACATGCAAAAGGGTGGTATGGTAAGCTCTACGGTACCAACCTCTGGTTTCATTCTTCTCCCTTTGTTCTGTTCCTCGAGTCTATCCTAGCCATTCCGCTCTGCTATCTCTTCTCACTCACAATCGCGGACCTCCATCACCATGTCCAAGTCATTCTCCACGGCCGATGTGGCCAAACATAACAAGGGCGATGACCTGTACATCATCGTCGACCAGGATGTTTACGACTTGACAAAGTTTCAGGACGAGCATCCGGGCGGCAAGAAGAGTATGTCGGGCTCCGATCACGCTGATATCTATGCTGACTCGGTGCAGTCCTACAGCGAGTCGCTGGCAAGGATGCTAGCAAGCAGTTCTGGAAGTACCACAACGAGAGCATTCTCAAAAAGTTCCAGTCAAAACTCCAGGTCGGGTCCCTCGACAGCAAGCCAAAGCCAGCGCAAGCTCCTACACCACCTCCTACCCCACCGACCAACCCAGCCGGACAAAAAGAGCGCGTAGTGCCACAGGCCGAGTCTGGAGTCGTAGCTCCGGTAGCAGGGCCAGATGCAGCCGATACAGAGGAAGACGAGGCAATGGACCAATATGGTGACATGATCCCATATGCCGATCCGTCCTGGTACCAGACCTACCACTCGCCCTACTTCAACGAGACGCACGCCGCACTTCGCGATGAGGTACGACAGTGGATAGAAGAGGAGATCATGCCAAACGTGACCGAATGGGACGAGGCCAAGAAGGTGCCAGACAGCATTTACAAGCAGATGGGAGAGCGCGGATACCTGGCAGGCTTGATGGGTCTGCACCACTGGCCAACACACCTCACGCAGAGCAAGGTCAAGTCTGTGCCGCCACAGAAGTGGGATCTCTTCCACGAAATGCTCCTCACCGACGAACTCTCCCGAACGGGATCTGGAGGCTTCGTCTGGAACGTAATCGGCGGTTTCGGTATCGGTTGCCCTCCAGTGGTGCGCGCCGGAAAGAAGGCTCTCGTGGATCGCATTCTTCCAGGAATTCTTGCCGGAGACAAGCGTATCTGTCTCGCCATTACAGAGCCAGATGCCGGCTCCGATGTCGCGAATCTCACCTGCGAGGCCAAACTGACCGAGGATGGAAAGCACTATATCGTTAACGGAGAGAAGAAATGGATCACCAATGGTATCTGGTCCGACTACTTCACCACTGCAGTACGAACTGGCGGCGAGGGCATGAACGGTGTCTCCGTGCTTCTCATCGAACGCGAGATGGAGGGTGTCAGCACTCGTCGCATGGACTGTCAGGGTGTCTGGAGTTCTGGCACCACATACATCACTTTCGAAGACGTCAAGGTGCCTGTCGAGAATCTGATCGGAAAGGAGAATCAAGGTTTCAAGGTCATCATGGTAAGGACTGCAGCCTCTCCCCTTCACTCATTCCATTGTCGCTGACTCCTTAGGCAGACCAATTTCAACCACGAACGTATCGGTATCATTATTCAATGCATACGATTCAGCCGAGTCTGCTACGAGGAGAGCATGAAATACGCACACAAGAGAAGAACATTCGGACAGAAACTGATCAATCACCCGGTCATTCGGCTGAAGCTCGCGCACATGGCGAGACAGATTGAGGCCTCATACGCATGGTTGGAATGTCTCATCTTCCAATGTCAGAAAATGAACGAGACCGAAGCTATGCTCAAGCTCGGCGGTGCCAGTAAGTTTGCATGATATTCCGACCCATCGACCTTTGACTGACCGATGGATTCTAGTCGCTGGATTGAAAGCTCAAGCAACGGTGACCTTTGAATTCTGCGCTCGAGAAGCTTCTCAGATCTTCGGTGGACTTTCGTACAGCCGCGGCGGACAGGGTGCCAAGGTCGAGAGATTATACCGTGATGTGAGAGCGTATGCTATTCCTGGAGGCAGTGAAGAGATCATGTTGGATTTGAGTATCAGACAGGCGCTGAGGGTGCACCAGGCCCTGGGGATGAAGTTGTAAGACATAGAATACGTGGGAATTGTACGTTGCATAGAACTAGCAAGGGAGATGGCATCGGGCGTTCTTGCAGGTACAGACTCGGCGCCAGTAATATGTAGGTGTCAAAGGAGCTTGTAAGTCATGCATCGATGTCGGCGTCCCATGACTTTCTTTCGGCCGCCGCGATTTCGCCATGTCCGGCAAAGACGATGGGGCCCCCGGCCTGCATGCTGCTGCTGCTGCTGCTGTTGCTGCACATCTTCGACTTCATCACCACCATCCACCTATGATGATATCGTTCTAGTGACCATGCAGTTGCGAGTGCATCATGTTCCGCGCCTCAGAAGCAAAGACTGTTGATATAATTCTCTGCAGGAGCACCGCTCAAAAAACGGACATGACAAGCCCATTGGTGAGGTCGGGTGACTCCTGCCCACATTTCGCACCGACTTTGCCTCGATGAATCGACTGAACTTCGGGCGCCGGCTGCATCTGATGACAGCATCCTCTCCTCCCTAACGTTATATACATATCGTTTCCTGTGCTTGCGTCGGGAAAGTGCAAGCCCTGTTACTGTATCGAAGAGCCATCCCTGCTTCGCGTTCCCCGACATCATGGTCGCAATCCGAACGGCACGACGTTCCAAGACCACCATCCATCTTCCTTCGCGAGGAGCAATACAAGCGACAGCTTTCCAAAGCGACAGTGACCAAAGCGGTGATCTCGAAATTGATCTCACGACGATTCCTTGGAGCTACAGAGGTTCTCTACTCAGCTGTTCCATCACAAGCGGCGATGGATCTTTAATGCCAGGAAATGATGTATGTCTCATCACACAATGTCGTGACTACACTATGCCGATATTCTCTCTACGACCGCTTCCCGACGCCTGTGATGTTGGACGGCCTCCGTCTGGATTTCCTGTCACGCCGTCGCCTACAGCGATCCGCGCAACGAGATCTCGAATTCAGTGGTTTCATCATGGCAAGATTGTTGCGGAGGCGGCCTTTGAAAGCGCGAGTTGCATCAGACTGAGAGGCAGTGTGATGATGACTCTTGATAGTGATGGCCGGGTCGATGGGAGTGGGCATGCCTTTTTGCGACCGGATGTCTGTCCGTCGGATACTGTAGAATATGGCGCTCTTCGCTTGAAGAATCACAGATTTGTGGTGTCAAACGGTCGCATCAGTCTTCATGAGGACCGGAAGCAGGGGATCACACATCGCAGAATTCAAGTAGAGAGGAGTCCGGGTCATGCTGCTTGGGAGCTGCGTATCGTCGAAGTCGAAGCAGGATCAATCAATTCCGCTGGAGGAGACGATGTTCCTGCAGACACATTCGATATTGTGGCAGACAGGACTTCTCGCGAAATTGAAAAATTCACTCGTCAAATCTGTCCCTGGTCATCTGTCACGGCGCTCAGCAAAACAGATCTCACAGCAGCATATATCATCTGGCTTTCGATCGTCCGCGCCCAAGGTTTCTGGAGCAGGGAAACCATACTGATGTCAAAGTTCCGCCTCAACAAAGTCTGGTCGTGGGACAACTGCTTCAACGCCCTAGCCGCAGCACCTGTCAACCAGGATCTAGCTCTAGACCAGATCTTTGGTCTCTACGATCTGCAAGCCCCGGATGGTAGACTTCCAGACTGCGTTGGCTGGAGCGGCATCGAGTGGACATATGTCAAGCCACCAATCCAAGGCTGGACCATACAGAAAATGCTCGATCAAGGAGTCACGATTCAGCGGAAGCAACTATTGGCACTCTACCACAAGACTTCCAAACTTACAGATTTCTGGCTCAAGCAACGACCCTCATCGTCAAGAATCTCCGCGATACCTTGGTACACTCACGGCAATGACTGCGGATGGGACAATTCCACGGCCTTTGAGAATCATGGGGACTCGTCGCTGATCGGTCCCGATTGCGCAGCATACCTGATCATCCAAACTGCCGCGCTCAGCGAACTTGCCCACTGTCTCGCACTCGGAGAAGCACACGTCTCCAAATGGCAAAATCTTCACGACGCATTGAGAAAAGCCCTAATCAACGAGCTCTGGGACGAGCGCCGCGGAGAATTCCTCGTCAAAGATCCCCTCACAGGTACAACGCGACAAACCACCTCCCTCCTCCGCCTCATGCCTCTCGTCGCAGCCAAATACCTCCCCTCCCCCATCCTCTCCAAACTCATCTCTTCCATCCCCCTCTTCCTCACAGAATGGGGTTTGGCTACGGAAGAGCTCTCCTCGCCACTTTACGAAAGCGACGGATACTGGAGAGGACCCATTTGGGCGCCCACCACGATTTTGATCCAAAGTGGATTGAGAGATGTAGGAGAGACGCAGCTGGCGGAGGAAATTGGTGAGAAGTTTAGACGTTTGTGTGAGATGAGTGGTTTTGCGGAGAATTTTGATGCGAGGACGGGGGTTGGGTATAGGGATTGTAGTCATACTTGGACGGCGAGTGGGTATCTTTTTTTGAGGGGGGTGGGTAGGTAGGTTGGTCTTTGTTTGGGGTGGACTGGACTGGAGCGGAGATGCGGCGATTCTTGTTCTCATCACGCTGCGCTGGCATGTCCTCATAAGAAGAAGCTTGGTCATGAGATGAGCTTTTTATAGTCGTGTAGTGCCTGCCATTGGATTCCAGTAGATAGAATGAGCAAGTTCAGTCATCAGGCGCACCACCTTGTCGTGAATTTCTTGGTCTCAACCCTGGTGGACACCAGTATATACATACGTATATGCTCGAATATTTTATTAGGATCTCCGAGCAATTTTAAGGTTGCAGCGAAGTTGCATGTAAGCCTAGCCCAGCCCGGATCTCGTTAGTCATCGTGGGTGATATTATAGATTCTTATTGTCCTTGGAAGCCTGGCAAGAGCAAGGTGATGTCGGATACTCATTATCAGTAGTGTGATGAGCGGGCAATGTCTTGGCTTGGCCGATATCGTGTGACGCGTCAGCTCAGTCACATGACAACACGTGACTTCTTGGCAGGAGAAGGATTTTCACACTGTATTTTAGACCATAGAATAGCAGAAGAGAGGCAATCAACGAAGCCATATTGAACCGCTGGCAAGGCAGTATTACGTAAGTAATCCACTGCGCTGTGCGTGATATATCGAAGCATGTCCCGGATGTTTCAGCTATGTGCAGGGTTGATGCTGTACGGCAAGCAGGGCTGATACCTTGTTGTTGTTGTTGTTTTAGAGATATAGACTTCATTTCCGGGCCTATGAACACAGTGTTCACGTCGCATCTCTGTGTTCATCTGGCAAGATCTGGGGGGAATGGGATGATGCAATTGGTGCTTACTGTATGTATGTCATTGGAAGAACACATAGCTAGAGTACTGGTGGCCCTCCGATGCGTGTATACGCCGTATAGCACAAGAAGTGGTGGTTGGCTACATGAGGCTACTGTAGGGATGTTACGCCATCTCCGATTCTCCGCAAACGCGCGGAAGGGCAGGAGTTGAAGAGTTCTCGCATTCATGGCCAAAAGCAGCAGCCATCGAGCTGCGAAAAGGCTCACCGGCGCCATTGGACCAGGATGTTGCTGTCAAAGATGGCCGCCTGTCATTACGCTCCTGCACCCATAAATCAGATGTTCATGCAGGTGTCAAGTGCCGGGTGCCGACAGATGAATGATGATGCAAGTTGGAGATTACCGAGATGATTGATCGAGCACCACGGTTGCCTTCATCATCATCATCATCACTATGGTCATTGTGTGGGGTGTGGTCTGGTCTGCTTGTGACCACCGAATTCGGTAGTGCAAGGTGATGTGTGCTGAGAAGGGTCGGGAGGCTCTCGATACGGGGGTATAGGGCGGGGCTTAAGGGGTTGTGACTCTGAGCAATCGGAAGCGCAGCCCTGAGCGATGGACTGCGCGTGGGCCCTGCTAGCTGCAGCACAGAAAGTCGTTCCTTGCAGGTCCCTGCGGCGTCAAATTGAAGACGTGGTCGGTTGCGTCTCTGCGCACGCCATGCCACCGCCGACTTCACTCCCTGCCTGCTGCTGCACCCGCCACGCTCCTGTGTAACAATCCATCACTTTCCGGTCGCTCGTGTTCCCATGTGCACATGCGAGTACACACTGCAGCTGGCCCGGAGGACCGACGACGGCATACAGCCTAGCAAGGCCCGCCAGCGACCATCCGACCGCCACCGCTCTCACCCTCCCTGCCAGACGGCCCAAATCTGACGCGTGCAGCACGAGCAGTTCCCACCGCGACCGCGACCGCGACCGCGCACGCGCACGCGCACGAGCACTCCGAACGCAACCCGGTGGTGGTGGTGGTGGTGGGAGCAGGAGAAGCGGAGCCCTGCGCGTGCTGTGCGCCCTTGGAGACACTCGCTTTTTCGTCGCATTCAGCGCCGTGCAGCGGACCGACGCCCGCCGCGCGCTGTGGGCTCGGAAGCGTGAGGCGTGAGGCGTGAGGTCAGGCCCATACTTGCGTCAATCTGTGTGTACCCGGTCCTGCTGTCGCTGTCGCCACCATGCCGCCCACCCAGCTGCACGCTCTCCCTACCGCCTGGTCGGAAGACAAGCCATTGCCTTCTCTGCCCTCGCCAACCCTCACCAATCCCGATGCCATCCTCCCCCACACTGGCCTGCCCTTCGTGTCTTCACCACCGCGCTTCTCGCGTCGTCCCCCCAGCCCCGGCTATCTGCGAGACACCCCAAGCCCAAGCTCCTCCAGTGCCAGCGGAATGGCTGCCGCAATGGCGAGGAAAGACAAACTGGGCCTCATGAGCCGGAAAATGATGCTGCTGCGAACCAAGACTGGCAGCAGCGGAAGCATCAATGCCAATGGGAATGGCGATGGGCATGGCAGTGGCAGAATGACTCCGCGCGCAACACCTTCACCCTCGCCTCGATCCATCGATTTCGTACCATCATCGCCGATGCTGCAGGATGTCGGCAATCTGGCTCCCGAATTGGCAGAGCCCGATCTTCTGCAGCTGCCCGAATCGGAATGTCGAAGGGCCAGCGGGAGTTCGTCGAGTGACCTGTCAGCTATGGCAGGATTTCTGCAGAAGTATTCGAAGCGCGATGGCAGCAGCGACGACGAGGCCTTGTTCTTCGACAGCAGTGAGAACGTCGCTCCCTTGAAAAGCGAAGAACCGCGGGACAGCATCGACCATGAGGCCGATGAACAGCGAAGAAGGCAAGAGGAAGAGGAGTACAACTCAGCCATCCTGAGCAAGCGCGCTGAGCAGATCCTGGCCAATGCCAAGAAGAGACTGAATGTGATGGAAGGCAATCTGCGTGGTGCGCGAGAAATGGTGGCACCATTGACTGCAGCCAATCTCAAACGTGCAACTTCTCTGGGATCGCACTCAGCTGTGTACGGCAATGGCAGAATTCTGAGGTATACTTACGACTACGATGACGAGCAAACACAATCCTCGCCGCGCCGATTGCACACCCAGCAGTCCTCGCCGTCCATGACCAATGACTTCCAGAACCACAGTCGAGGCTACAGCGGAGCACGCTTGCCGGAAAGGCCGTACACCTCTCTGGAACACCATTCTAAATACGTGATGCCGCACAATGTCAGAGCCCCTCCGAAAACACATGAACAAGTATACCAGCGCACTCTGCGAGTGAGCAAAAGTCACGATTCTTTGGGCGCAAGCAGTGGAGTGGGATATGGCGTTGGTCGTGATCGTCCCTTGCATAACATGCAATCACCTGACCAGAACCACCTGGAGCCCCTTACAGAAGACGAGGAGATGCGCTCCAATCGTAATAGCGGAACAATGGCAAACAATGGCCTGGGCATCTACAGACCATCCTCGCGCACTTCGGATTTACGAGATCAGATGAGCAGTCTGAAGGGCAAGATCTCATCGCTCAAGGAAAAGGCTCGCGAAGACAGCCTGAGACGACAAAGCCAAACGAATCTGAAGGTTTCACCATTCAACAATGCTCTCCAAGCAGCACCGGAGTGCTTCTACACAACCTCAGATGGTTATGACGAGCCGCCGATCGACACGGATGCCGGCCTGACGAGACCGATACCCGTTGCTCAAGAAATGTGGAAGAATGGAGTGCCGATCACTCGCAGCAGAAACACATTCGCTGGACACGCGGCTCCTCCAAAGCAGGAGATCCATCAGGCACGTATTGTCGACATCCGATCTCCAAAGTTGCCGGACAGCAAGTTCCAAATCCGCCAGTCCACTCAAGCGCTGCTCCCAGTACATCGCAGAACGGCTAGCGGGAGGGTTGTCGTTGACTCGGCGAAAAATCGCTACTCCCATCACCAGCACAATGACAGCCAGTCCAGTCAGTCTAGTTCTCGTACCATTGAGATGCCCACCGCCTATCTCAAGCAGGACAACCTGGAGGTGCCGTCAGCGGACCTCTCACGCGACCAGTACGACTCTTCACCTCTATCATCTGGTGCTACCTCACCGCAGGTCGAAACCGACTACGAGCCATATGAAGATGACACAAGCGTGTATACAGACGCTCCCGATGAGCAGCCGGTGGTGGCACACGAAGATCGAGAGGACGCCTTCAATTACGAGCATTTCTTTCTGCACAGTGCAATGACCAACTACGGCGGTAGTCGCACAGGTTCAGAGTCCAGCGATGCAACTGCATCATCTAGCGACACCGCGAGAGGCCCAGCCTTGGTTGAGGATGAGGACGAAGATTACGATGCTTTCAACCAGTTTTCGGCCCAATATCCACCGCCTACGCCGGAGACAGCTGAGAAGCTTAGAGAGATTGGGCGCAACAAGCACAGACGTTCCACGTCTGACGAGAGCATCACCACGACGAACACCTATGCGACCGCCGAAGAAGATCCAGTGTCCCCCATCGATGACCGAGAGGCTTACAGACAAGATTATTTGTCACGTTCGCACGTCGTGTCGCCTGTATCTCGACAACACTCTAGGCAGGACTCGTATGCGACACAGAGCACTACTTCAACCACTCGCCCTGTGTCTAGTCACAAGAAGAACAGTTCGAGACCAAGCACATCTTCGAGGCGACCTTCCCTTCCGCGAACCGATAGCTCCTCGGATCGCGCCGACTCGGGAGTTGGCATCTCTGGGCGGCGTTCGGCTAGCGCAAACGATATCAAACGCGTTTCGCCCAGGTCTGCTGTTCAGAAGCATTCGGGCAAGCTAGCAAATGGCGGCGCTATCGGCAGCCCTACGCCTCCGACGTCTCGTCGAAATCCTGCAAACAAGATCGATCCTGTCACGGTCGCAGTTCAAGCCTTGCTTGATCCTCAAGGTCATCCACTGGGCCTTAGGAACAAGGCTGTTTTGTTTGGAGTTGTCGAAAGCCTTAGAAAGGTTGTTCGTCAACTTCAGGAAGAGGAGGAATCTACCTTTGCGGCACGTATGCTACGCAATCAGCTCGACGAGGCGAAGAGGACTCTAGACGGGCTTTGAGCTACCTGACCCAATACTTGTTTACAAAACTTTCGCATTTGCTTTGTAGAGTTTACTATGAGCGTTCCAGCGACGAGGAAATACCCAGATGGAGTTGTTTTTGAGATTCTTTTTTTAGTAATAGACGTGTCTAGCTGCACGGCTCCTTTTGTGAGCGAGCTTACCTACTGTGATCATTTATTCTTGTATAAAGATAAAAGATAAGAAGATGTGCGTGCTTTTTTCTAGTTGCCTTCCATTAGGCGATGTTACCTGCAGAATTGTGGTGTGGAACGGTTGGAGCGGGCTTGAGAATAGGGTACTCGGATCGACTTGAATGCCAATGCTATGCCATATCATCCCGAACGCAGCTGCATCAAACCTGCCGCTAACCGTCGCGAAGAAGACATTCCTATTACTAAATTCCGTATCGAGAGCTTACTATTCTAGACTACGAGATAAAATTTCCCCTTTTACGTTCTAAGAAGTTAACGATTTTCGAAACTCGTCTTTATTATTACCTTCCGGCGACTTTGTCTAGCGGCCGTGTATACGTCTTTGCTTTCTGCGACCTTGTTGTTATTATTATTATTGGAGTATAGTAGAGTCGGGATCCCAAGACGGACGGAAGAAGACGTCTTTGGTAGCTCGAATTTCGCTATATCGGTAGGCCGAATTGAGGAAGGACGCGTGGACTTCGGGATGGATTTTTTTTTTTTTGAAACTTCCCTGATTCGGCAGCCGCCTTTAATTATAGTATACATAGTACGGACTACGGAGTCGTTTTGGTAGTGCAGTGGAAGTAGAAGTGGTATGAAGGATTGTCTCGTCTCGTCTGAGTCGTGTCGTATTCCTAGCGCTTAATAATAGTTCTATGTGATTGACAGGAGCAAGACAGGTTTCTCTTCATTATTACTTTCTTTCTCTTTCTCTCTCTCTCTCTCTCTCTCTCGCACTCATAGGATTTCTGTACATTGAAGTTTCTCTTCCCTTTTCTTGCATTTAAACCAGTCACATTCGTTACAACCAGAATGCAGTACAAATTCTTCGCCAGCGCTGCTCTCGCAGCTGCAGCTTTCGCTCAAGTCGATGGCACCGCTGAGCAATCCTCTCAAGCAGCTGAACTGTAAGTCACAATCACACCTACGAAAAATCCTCACTAACGCGTTCCGTTCCAACAACAGTCTCTCCGTCGTCAGCGTCCTCCAAACAGCCCTCCCCTCCTCTCTAATCCAAGAAGCCCTCACCAACTCCGCCGGCGTCTCGAGCGAACTCGCATCGGAATTCGCAGCCGGCCAAACACCTTCTTGGTTCACAGCTTTGCCCTCAGACGTCCAGACGTACCTCGTCCCAGCTATCGTCGACGCCACAGCTGTCACTTCTGCTTCTGGCGCTCCGCACCCTTCGGCAAACTCTACGTCTGGTAACACGACGTCTATCATTCTTACTACCAGGGTGACTTCTTCTTCTTCTTCTTCTTCATCTGAAACGGGCGCTAGCGCGACTGGAAGCTCGAGTGATTCTTCGTCTTCTTCTTCGGAGGCGGGGGCTATGCCGACTGCTGTTCTCGGTGCTGGGCTTGCTGGGGCTGTGGGTATTGTTGGTCTTCTCGCTTTGTAGGCCCGGCATGATCCTTGGTGATATGAGGTCGTGATAAGGGGTATAGATTTGTGCATGGATTGCGAGGTTCCAAGATTCAAGATTTTTGGTCTGTGACATGTTTGATAGATGGTTGTGTATACACCGGGATAAGCTTCTCATGAGGTGCCAGAGACACTACTTCTGACGAATGGAAATGCAATTTTGTTGCCTGAATGTATCACACCCGTGCATGTCCTCTCGTCTCGGTACATGTGTGTCGCGTACTACAGGCGATGGCACTGTGCAAAGCTCTTTCGACAATCCCGCCTGTCGCCTCCACCCCCGTCCATCTAACACGCTGAGCGTATCGTTCAAAGATCGGCAGTGCTCTTCATTGTCTGGTCCATCATCTCCCTGCCGTGTCGCTTACCAGCCGTTTCTTCACGGCACGTAGATTGGATGGAGGGACGGTTGAAAGGGGACGTTGGAGTCGGTACCGTGGCCGAAGACCAGGAATGCAATCGGCTCGACCAGGATCGTTGGTGAGCCGTCCGGACTTGCACCATGAACTCGAACTCGGTCTCCTGCCATGACGATGTTGGGGCAGAGAACACGTCTTTCTCCTCAAAGGAAAAGAAGCCGCGCAGCGCGCAGCGCGAAACTCTGTTCGCCAATCCTTGAGCCTTGAGAATGTCGCTGGTGGAAGCGTGTGCCGTCCACAAACACCATGACGTAGCGATTGCTTCAACACTTGACGCTGTACTGCACGATGGCATTTCACGCATCCAATGCCATCGCTCGAGTGATGTAAGAAGTAAAAGTTCGAGGGTAGCTCTTGCCACTTCTATATTTACAAGACCTCTTGACACCGTTTTACACTCTTGCAATGTCACTACTCAAGAACTTGACAACAACAGCCGCTTCGAGAGCGAGATCAATCACATCACAACTCAACTGCAGACAATCGATCAGAATGGCGTCAACCACACAACTCAAGCTCAACACAGGAGCTACCATTCCAGCCGTTGGGTAAGAACGGAGTCACCGGAGAGCACCACAACGTCTGAAACGCTTGCTGACCTTCGATTTAGGTTCGGCACATGGCAGGACAAGGACGCCCAAGAAGAGGCAGTCTACCTTGCCATCAAGAATGGTTGCAGGCACATCGACACTGCTCGTATCTACGGAACTGAGCGGGCGTGCGCGGCAGGAATCAAGAAGTCCGGTGTGCCACGAGAGCAGATCTTCATCACGACGAAGCTCTGGAACAACAGCCATGACCCCAAGAGCGTGGAGAAGGCACTCGATGCCAGTCTGAAGGACCTCGACACGGACTATGTTGACCTATATCTGATGCATTGGCGTGAGCAGCTCTCTCTATATGCCACTTGTATCGCATACACTGACAATACACAGCTTCTGCATTCAAGGATGGCGATGACATGTTTCCCAAGCAAAACGACAAAATCGTGCCTGGCAACGCAGACTATGTCGACACTTACAAGGCCATGGAAGAGTGCTTCAAGAAAGGCAAGGCCAAGGCTATTGGCGTTTCGAACTTCTCGAAATCTGAGATGGAGAGGCTTCTGCAGGAGACCTCCGTCGTTCCGGCGGCCCACCAATATGAGTGCCACCCATGGTTGCAACAAGCCAGCTTCGCCGCTTGGCACAAGGAGAAGGGCATCCACGTCACCCAATACTCGCCATTCGGCAACCAGAACGAGATTTACTCTGCTGGGCAGAAGCTCGGCAAGCTGATTGAGGACTCCACACTTGCTGAGATTGGTCAGAAATATGGCAAATCCGGAGCGCAAGTGGCTCTTGCTTGGGGCGTTGCGCATGGCAGGTCGGTGATTCCAAAGTCCAAGACTGAGAGCAGGATTAAGCAGAATCTGGAGGGTGACTTCAAGCTGGATGCTGAGGATGTTAAGAAGATCGACTCGCTGGACAAGAAGCTGCGATTCAATGACCCTTCGAAGAATTTTGGATGGAGCTTCTACGCCGACCTCGATGGCAAGCTGTCGTAGATTGGCGGCCGGCCCATTGAGTCGAGACGATGGACTTTCATGAGACTTGATCCTGTTGTTCTGAAGTCTTCGTGACTGGTCTGAGCTTGGGTTGGTTGGTATACTTTAGCGACGAAACACTCCTTACGCCTTGCGAATGAAACGCAAAGGCTGGAGATGACGATGTTGCCTCGCGATGAGATTGCGAGAGGGTAACACAGATAGCTGTTACGATAAGAGACCACGACAAGAGGTGTACGTCGGTACGATCAGCTAGAATTGTCGATATGCCTGCGCTCTCGTCTCAATTCATGCATCAGAGAGCCATGAACTTGAAGTGCTCAAAGCTTTATAGGCCAAGCGGAGTCGTCAGGTGGACAATAACTAGTGCGATGGAGACCAATGCCAACCACATCAACCCACAGGGGTCAGCCTGGTATCCAAGTGTCATTTCGTCTGATTGCGTGTTCGCACGAGCGGGTGATACGGATATTCATGCTGAAACACCTGTTCTGGGGTAGCTGAAGCCTCTGTGCAAGCCGGTTTCGTCTTGAGACGTCGATGCTCATCTTACGAATTGGAGCTTGCCCGCTTGGCCGCTTGGCGGGTATTATTGTTCTCGTCGAGAATCGAGATAGCAAGGGCTCTTGGAGGAATAGCTCCAGACCCCTTTAACGCTAAAAGAATGTGTGTGGCGGCCAGGCCAGGGGTCGGCGCGCCAGACATCTGCACAGGCGGCTAGTGTCTTCCTCATTATTGTCTAGGGCGCATGCGCATGCGAGCCATCGGTGCATCGCGTAGGTGTGTGAGCGGTGTTGGTGTATCGTCGTCAGCGTGCCGTGCTGTGTGAATAACAACAGAGACGCAGCGTCTCAGGTGCGCGTGTCTGGGGTGTGCAGGGAGTGCGGTGTCGAAATTCAGAAATTGTGAGAGGCGATTGGCTCAGACGGCCTCGACACGGGCTGCCCCAGCATCTCCGGTCCCTGCTCCTTTTGCCTATCGCAGCTCAGGAACGGCTGTGAGTTCGAAGATCCCGTGAACCGTTCACCGATCCCTTGTCTGATTGGCACTGCCATCGTCGACGGCGTGCTCGTAACGAAATAGCTAGAGGCTCTTGCACGGCGGAGAACGCACGCTTGGAGGCGTATAATGAATCCATACAGCCAGACGTCGTCCCTGGCGGACGCCGACGACAGCGACCGACACCACCACGACACCACCAACGACAGCCAGCCTCCATACCGTTCCAACAACCCCTCGCGCTTCAGCAATTATAGCAGTCCTCCGGGGAGCGTTTCAGCACGCTCAGCATCGCCCTCAGCAGCCATTGCAGCATCGCACAGCTATACCCACGCCGTCCCGTCCTTCGCAGCATTCCGTTCGCAGGTGCCACACGCCGCGAGGCAGTTCGCACACGCCGCATTCCAGCAGAAATCGCCGCGAGCTGCCTCCTTCTCCCAAGCCGAGAAAGGCTCACCACGGCTTCCCGAAGTCTCCCAGCCCGCCAGCTACAGGCCCGTGTCCCTCGATACACACACGCCGCTGCGCACTCCGAAGCTGCCAGAGTGGGAACTCAATCCCGCTGAGACGGAGACGGGGCATATTTCAGCGCTTGACAGGTGCGACGGCCCAGTAAATGACGTCCGCGACAATCGTGCATGCTGACTCTCGCCAGACCCTCCCACAGTACTACTCTACCTCACCACGCACAGGAACACGCGAGGAACGATTCCATAGACTCCTTCATCGCAAGCTCGGCATCCTCGTCCTACAGCAGCCCGCCACACTCTTCCATACCCTTTGTCGCGGAGTATGCTCAGCACCCGTCCGCCTCTCATTCGCCGCAGCTCTCGAATTCCGGCCACAGCATAGATTCGACCGAGCAGCACCTTCCTGGACGTAGCAAGTCGTCGATGATTCATGTACACAAGACGCCAACTATGACCCTACAATTGGACGGCGTTTCGAGAAGACTCACAGGCGAAGACCTCGAATCCGCTGGCTCTTCAGAGTCAGATCCTAGAAGACCGAAGTCGCCTGGCAGTGGTGGAGTGAGTAGGTTCTTTGGCTGGACCGGCTCTCAGAAGTCGGCAGACGGCGCATCCTCGCCCACAACCACCTTTTCTGAGCGATCGCTCTCTCCATTGCCGTCTCCAGGTCTGGTTAAGACTCTCCCTCTGGACATGAATGGGGAGCGACTGTCAGCCAGACTCACGCCCCCTCGGCTGGATGTCCAGAAGGCCAATGGCAGTGCCGCGTACTTTGATAACCCAGACACTCCACTTTTGATTGGCAGCCATGGCTCGGAAACTCACGTGCAGGAATTGGAGCGCGAGCTCTCCCATATCAGCCAGGAACTCGCAACATCGATTCGAAGGGAAATGGAGTTGGAAGATGAGCTCGACCGAATACGAGCAGAAATACCCATGCACATTCCTACGTCAGACTTGGGTCGGAGAAGTAGTGACTACTTCTCAGACAGCGGCGCCAGTGTGACAAAGTTCCCCATCTCTGACGTTGATGCCAAGCTTGAGCAGATGGACAAGCAGGTAAGACATGTTGAGCAAGAGAAGGCCAGGCTGAAAATGGACATGGCATCAAAGCTGCAGACCGAGCTGAGCCGAAGGAGAGATCTCGAGCAATTGGTGCAAGACTTGGAAGATCAGCTAGAGAAGAAAGGAGGCTCAACGAATCAGGTGGAAGAGCTGGAGACTGCGCTGGACGAGACTAAGAGACGGCTCGGGCAGGAGAAGATGACTAAAGAGAACTTCGAGGATCTGTACAGTGCGACTAAGCAGGAGCTTGAGACGTACCGGAACGAAGCCGAGAACCTGCGGAACGAAGTCGTGCCACAATTGAAGGCAAGATTGGAAGGGTTGGAGGCAGAAGCGTTAGACACACAAGCGATCATATACGAGAACACTCGACTGCAACAAGAGTTGGCAGCGTTGCGAGGGAACAGTAATCACTCTCGCTTCAATAGCATTGCTGAGGAAGGTGTCGGCAACGCTGCGCGCATGAGCTTGCAACGATCTGGTTCGCTGGCGAGGAGTTCCAGCCTGCGGCGTGGTGGCAGTACCAAGGATCGCCCAGAGGCTGGACGACAAAGGTCCGGGTCTGTTGGCATTTCAGCAGATGGTGTCAAAGAGATTGAGGACCAGCGTGATGCATTGCACAAGGCCCTCAAACTCCTCATCAGGCGTTATGAGGGGCAACAGAAAGACCACGCACGAGCTGTCAAAAAGATGGCCATTGAGAAAAGCAGAGCTGAGAACATTACACCCAAACGGACTGCCTACGCAAAGGAGGTGTCGTTCCTGAAGGATGAAGTGAGCACTCTGCGAAAACGAACCGAAGATGCTCTCGAGCAGAAGTGGCAATATGAGAAGAATCTTTCTGGACTCAAGATGGATCTGGATCGTGCAGAGCAGGAGACTCGTGGTCTAAGGATCATCTTGCAAGACAAGGACGAGCTCAGCGCACCTTCGGCGTCGAGTCAATTTGGTGACGAGGATGACGACCAATTGCGGTTGAGCATCACCCGAGCTGAGAAGGAAAGGGATCATGCTCGGCAAGTTGCGGCAGAATATCGTCAACGAGCCCATGCCGCCAACGATGGCACATCAGACGAATTGCTAAAATTGGCCGATCGCATGGACGAGCTTGCCGAAGAACTGGAAAGTCAAGTGCAAATCAATGCCAAGCTTCGTGATCGGCTTGCTGCCGCTGTTGCCAAAGGTGAATATGAGCAGCGAGAGTCAACAAGGCAGATCGAGGATATGCAGAAACGTCTCGCTGGCATGGAGGACAGTGTTTTAGCAGCTCAACAACACTCCGAGACGACCCTCGCCAACCATGATGCTGAAGTGAAACGTATCGAAGAGGCCAAGTCACCACACCTTTCGCGCCTGACGATATCGATACCAGATTGGAACAAGCTTGCACCCTCATCACCACTCCTTAAGAAGAGTCCCAGGCTAGGAAGCAAAAAACTCAGCGAGACAAGTCTGCTCGAAATGAGCCGGACACAGTTGCTCGAACGCAAAGTCCGAGAACTTGAAGGTCTCCTCCGCGAAGCCGAAGAAGACGTTCAAACGGTCGTCGAACGAGTCAACAAATCGCAAATGGAAGTCGCCGAGCTTCAAACCGAACGCGATACGGCGCTGCAGCAGATGCGCAAATTGCAAGCGGAAATGGCTCAGGAGAGGGAGAAAGCTGAAGGATTGATGCGGTGATAGCGATAGATGTGGTACGCCTCCTGAGGCGCACATCCACGAACCGCCCGAGTCATGTGCATGCAAAGCACCGCAAGACCGCAACACTACTCGAAGATGACAATCATCATTACTTTGTTTTACGATGGAGAGCGAGCGACATGAGCGTGCATGTTATTTTTTGTATTCTTATCAACATCTTTCCCATGAAGATTTTGGGAACGATCTTTTTTTGAGGGAGGTCGGGGCATACGTGCTCTCTTGGGAGGTCCTTTCTTGGGCTTGGATCAGGATTGAGATCCGATTGTACATAATCACAGCACATTTCTAGTTGGGTGAGCAAGCATTTCATGTAAGAAGGAGAGGAAGGAAGCAGGAAGAAGGGATATGTAAGCGACAGACAGCATTTCGGTCAGGTATAAGATTTAGGATAGAAACAGATCTATAGTCTATGGGCTAGAGAGATGGATCTGATACTCGTGGAGTATAATATAATTACTTGTATAAGGATTGCATGATGTAAACAGCGTTAGCGTCTCTTAGATCTACGGTGACTTCTGTCTGCTTCTTGAGTATATGTAATATAGACAAAATCCAAAAGATTTTCCTCCTCCGTACGCCTCCTACCTTCCAAAACTCGACCACGCATGTCTACACGCCCTATCAACGCAAAGACAATATCTAGGACGCAAAATGCAAAAAGAATAGCACTCTACTAAGCTCCCCATCAGGGAATCGAACCCTCTGCAATAGTTGGTTAGTCATTGTGGGCGATAGTGGGATGTACCTGATAGCAGTGGTACGTACGGTCTCCCGCGGCTTGTTAGGTTGGACTGACAAGCGGAAATCATAGCCACTAGACCAATGAGGAAGGTTGTGCTAGCGGGTTTTGCGAGCTGATTGGATGGAAAGCGTAAGGGAAGAGATGTACTAGTAGGTTCAAAGATGAGAGGGGGAACTTGAACAGTGGGAAGATGGCGACGGGATTGAGAAGAGTGACAATACGGGACCCAGCCCACGACTTTCAGTTATCAGTACCTTCTTGCTGTACGCAGAGCAGACTGCAATGTGAGTGTGACCAAGCACACACATGTATTTTTGACACAAGAACGCACAAGGCAAAGACTCGCCAGAAGTTCACAACCTCGACCTGAGGTCGTCACAGGTGTAGGACAAAGAGTTTTGAGAACGAAGAAAAAAAAAATCTTGTACCGGGCAACTTGTGTGCTATCGGGATTTCAGTTTTCTTCTTTACAGCCTGGGCAGTAGAACATGGAAATGCGGAGTGCCAAGGATTTTCGATGCGTGGCAGTCAGCAACAGTGTGTTCCCATATGAGGGACGAGTTTGAGAGGAGTAGCACAACTGCTTTCTTCGCAGCGATATTCAACACTGTTTGTTACCCCCCAAAAAAGCAGATATGGTATCAATAATGCTTTCCACAGAAAACGCCTCCAACACCTCGCTAACCAAATCATCAGACATCAGCGTGCGTGCAGCTTTGCACTTGTTTTCCTGGTGGTATTATGTTTGCTCTTCTCGCATACTCCGCACAAGCCAACGTTCCCACCACTTCCGTAACGCCATAACCGTCTCTCTCCCGTCATCTCGCTTGTCCTGACCAGCTGGATCGCCGACCATGGCTGAAGATATCCAATAGACTGCCGTAACCCACGCAGCAAGCATGATTCCCATGCTCAGAAATGGTGAGAGAAGCATTACTGCAACGAGCATGCCGGATCGATATGTCGTGTCTTCGTCCGCGTGTGGTGGTAATGGTGTGTATATGCTCTTCAGCTGCAGGTTCAATGCCGGCCCGACCAATCCGCCTAATTGCTGGCCAAACGTCGGTCTTCGGGCGCAGAGGCGCACGGGTTGGGTCATGGTCGTGAGGAGTAATGATATGATTGTCCATATTGCGTTCAAGAATGAGAGCCCAATGCATGGCCCTGACAAGAACAGCAGGATTTTGACTGCGTTTTGCTCTTGCAATTCTCTGTCCAGGTCGTCGTCTTCGAGATATGCGAGTCTGGAGGCATGTGGTCGTTGATATTGGTCTCGAGACCCACGAGCTGGGCTTTGCGTGGCCTTCTCTGGGTCCCTGCTCGTTCGAGAATGCCTCTTGGGCGATTCTGCGTCTCTTTCGCGTGCCGCGCTCTTTTCAAGATCAATGGATGAGATTGGAGTCATGTTTGAGCTGGCGCCTGTTGAAGACACGGACGCGGACTTGTACGGGTATGTCGCCTGCTCATGGCTCAGCCGTCCATAGGCTAGTCGAGTATGCTCGTTCAACTGCCGTATTCGTGGATGTGATGTTCTCTGGGCTGTTGGCTCTGGTACTGCTGGTAACTCAGGTGGACTGACAGTCGGCGTTGCAAATGGATCAGTGGCCGCCAAATCCAAATCGTTCAAGGCTGGGTTATTGTTTCTTGGTGCCAAGGGTACGATGGACATGATGCCGGTATGCTGGATGTAGTCGAAGACGTCTTCCCACTGGCGACAGTAGAAGCGACATCAACAAGAGTTCGTTCCGGGTATCTGCACGAGGGCGCACGGGGTGGTGAGCACTTGTTAAGTAAGACATCGCTGCTCTCACAGCATCGCGGCGCCATGGCAGGCCTCGTCCTCCAAGAATATGCCAAGTCGGCGCATGCGCCAAGTGACTTGGCAGTGCCGATTTTGGCGTCCTCTCATCGGCAGTCCCAAGACGGCGTGCATATTTGCACGTCCAAGGATCGTCGTTGCATGTCTCATTGGTCTTGGCCAGATATCTGTGACACGCCTCCACCGCCGCGCCGCGCCGCAACAAATGCTGCCGGCAGGGCGGTGTTGGGTTGGCGGCCTTGAGCTCTTGGTTCCTCATCAGGAGAGGAGGGCACGGTGCACTCCGGACTGGGCGCGAGGGCGGAGGACGGCCAAGACTTGGTATCAGAAGTCGTCATTGGCGCCATTCAGCACTCAATCTTCACACTTCGTACTGGTCCACCTCAAACACAGAAGCAGTCGGATCGCGATGGACCTCTATTGCAGAGGCTCACTGTTCCGCAGTGTCATCAATTGTGGCACTCAGCCTCGGCTGCCAAGGTATTGTTTAGCCAAGGCTATGTTCATGTCGTCGTTTCCGATTTCATGACACGAGCTTTTCCCTTGACTCCTTGGGAACTACTACCGGATGATGCAGTCACACAAGTCGGAAAGGAGCTCGGACGATTTGTCGTGCACAGAATTCGCCAGCCGAGAATATGTCAAGCCATGAAAATACGAGTGCATTCTCGCCGAGAGGCCGACCAGACCTCATCTCGCGTACATGTCGGGCGCAGGCCTGAAACAGTATAACAGCAAGTGCAGTAGACTAATGGAGCTCGGCCAAGTTCACAAGAAAAGACGGCAGAAGAGAAGGGCGGCTCTTGGCCCTTGGCAAGCGCAGCACATGCCAGCTGCCAAAGAAAACATTCACGACCAAGTCTTAGTTCTACCCCTGCTCAACGCAGCGTCAAGACAGCGAGTTGCTCTCAAACACGGAGGCGACTTAATATGCATTCCCGAACATGTGACAATCTGCTCTTGTCACTGACTCCGCTATCGACCGCCACGATATCCTACATGAGTCGCTTCTTGGCATCGGCAAGGCGGCGTGGATCGTTGGTGAAGTTCGAGCGGCTCCAAAAGTACAATATATCCCAGGAGATGCAGCATAGCATGAGTGACGCTGCAGCGGAGTTATCGATCATGTCGGCATGCAGCGCGCAGCGGAAGCGCATCATCGGGTCCTACGCGTGGCAGAAGACCACTGGTACTGGTACAGAGTAGAAGCGAGGCGAGAAAGATGCAAAAGCAGCGAGGCGAGGCGAGGCCGGTGTTGGCGATTTAGGAAGTCAAGTCATGTAGAAGTTGTAGAACTCGCTCCTGCCGTTGAAGGACATCGGCCACGCGTGCCTTCCTTCGGGAGCAGCCATGGACAAGAGAGCATGGGGGCCAGGCTGCGCACCACCGCCTTGTGTAAGCATTAAAACTCCGTATTCCACCATCGTTCCTTGACAATTCACCAATGGCGCCCCTGAAGTCGACCAAGAACGAGCAACGCTTGCAAGCTGCGATTGGTATGAGCAGCCGCTGATGGCGACCAGTTGCACAGGCTAACAAAAGCCAGAAAGCGGTAACAAGGCACTTCGACTACTCAAAGGACGATCTGCAATCCCTCCAAGTCTCCTGCAAGAAATCGAAAGCCATACTACGCACACGCTTCCATCACTGCCGGCCACCACAATCGCCCTCAAATCGCAGGCTCTCGATACACTGGGCACCGCATTGTGGAACGCGTCGAGCTACAGTATCAACGACGATGACGCGCCTACAGATCCAAGAGTGCAGCATGCACACGCCGCGCAGGTCAATGTTACTGTGCGAGTGTTCTCCATGCTACTCCTGGACGCGTCACATCATGCTTCAAAACGTCGCTCGCGAGATCGAGGTCAGCAAATGCGACTCTTCAAAGTAACCCTTCGGACAGCTCGCCTGTGTCTTGATCACGATCAGCTCGAACTAGCAGTGACCGCGCTTGAATGCTGTTCTTACTACTTGCCAACAGCGCCTGAAACTCCAGATCTTCTAGAGATCTCGAACGTAGAGAACAACGATGTAAGCCAGCACGAGCCTGGGCAAAAGGTGCTTGAGCGGGAGTACTTCTTACTCAGAGTTCTGCATGCTTGGAAGTCTCAAAGGCTCGATCTCGCAGACCACTTCTTTCAATGCATGTCGAAAGTCAAGATACCTGACTGTCCCGAAAGTCGACTCCTCTGCATCAAGGTCGCAGATTTATGCTACGAAATGGCAAAGGCTCAATGCCGGGCCAAAGATATATCTACCGCATTAAAATGGTCGGAACGCGGCTTTGCAGTCTTGGAGAGGTGCGAAGACGAAGACTTTGGTCAAGAGGCAGTCGAGCTTCGACTCAGCATCGCTGTAGCTTTGGGTGTGTATTCTGGACATCGAGTCCTCGCCTCTCGCTGACGTATTTCTGAAGTCGAGCAACTTCTAGCATCCGATCAGGAGTCTCATTGCCACCGAGCTCGCGATATTGTTGATCAACTCGAAGCTAGTCATGGCCTTGGCAATCGCATAGTCTTGCCTATCCTCAGACTCCGTGTGCTGACAAAACAAAATCATGTCGACGCGGGTGAGGTCTCTGAAGTCTTGCAACGCTTGGTGCGACTGGCAATGCTCACGGAGGATAATTTCACCATGTAAGAGGTTCGGCAACCATTGCCACATCGAAAAATCTAATTTATGTTTGCAGCGTCATGCAGACCTTGCGAAAAGCCGAGCAAATCTCGACCGAGCCGGCTTTGCATGCTTTACGATTGTTCATATGCGACAGGCTATTACCAGAAGTCAAGTCAGCACAAGCGAGAGATCCGCAGGTCATGGAGTGGCTCGAGAAAACGATCATCACCTACATCCTTTTCGTCACAGGCGGAAACGACTTTGCGTCTGGCAAGCAAGCATCTGATGTCAAAGACCTCCTCGACAAAGTCGAGCAAGCGAGTGGTGCTAGTCTATCGACGAAAGCCACTCATGCAGCGCAGACACTCATCTGGAAAGCTACAGGTGGCTCAGACGAAGACACACCGATTGCATGTTGCAGACTTCTACAGCATCCAATTTTCGAGCGCGCCGGTCATATTAACAAAGCTCGCATCGGACGGTAAGAAACAAATCATCATCCGTTCCCATGAGCACCTATACTGACAAGCACAGCCGGCTCATGCGCATCTCGCTGAAGCAAAACGATCTCCCGGCGGTTCGCGAGGCACTATACAACATGCCAAGCACATCTCAGGCCGACCCTGCTACGGCATATCTTGCATTCAAAACAGCATTGCAATCGGATGACCAAGAGCTGGCGACCAACAGTCTGAAGACGATAGTGAAGAATACGACCGAAGATCCTGCTTACCTCTATGCGGCCGTTCTCGATGCGCAGCAGTCCAAGATGAAACTCATGGCACTGGCATCACTCAAAGCTCTCATTGATCAGAAACCTCCGGGGATTCAGATGGCTACGTTACTACGATGCACTGCAAGACTGCTCATGGCTGAGGCAGACTTGCCAAACCAAGACATCAACGCAATTGCTGAAGAAGTCGTAGCCATTTTCGAAATGGCTGCAAAAAGCATCAACGAAATCCGCAAGCTACCAGAAGATCAGCTCCGATCGGAAATGCTATGGTGGTCAAAAAACGCCTACAACCTCACCCTCCGCTTCTGTCCCTCAGTTCATCCAGATTTCACCTCTCGCATGATGTCCGTCTGCTTGACATTTCTCGACCACATCCCCAAACACGCTGGCCTCATGCACGAAATCGAACTCACAAAACGCAAACTCCTCTGCCTCTTCCTCTCAACAACCGCCAAGATAATCCTCGCCCGCTCCAACTCCGAGAACAACAACAACAACGAAGAATCTCTCCAATACTACCTCCAAGCCCTCACCAACATCCAAACCTTCAAATCCTGCGCCACCACCCTCTCCCCCGAAGACCAAGACCCCACCACCAACGCCCACACCTTCTCAATCCTAAAATACGAACTCGAAAGCATCCTCCACCTCCACCGCTGGCACGACCTCCCCTCCTCCCTCCAATCCTGCATCGACTTCACCCCTGTAACAACACGTTGGGACACCCTCGCCGATATAATCATAATTCTACACCCCCAACTCACTTCCTCCTCCTCCTCCTCAGAATTACTCCTCACCCTCCTCCAAAAAATCATAAACGAAACCTGGAAATCCGACGAAAGAAAATCCATGTCCAAAGTCGCAAGATGGTTGAGATTCACCTTGACGTTTTCCCTCGAGGAAAAAAACAACAACGACGACTTCGCGTTGAAATTACTGGGACAGGCGGCTATCATGGCCGAAAAGGGGGCGAGGGGGAAACAAGAGGTTTATCCGGATGCCGAGTTGAGGTGGTTGGCGAGTCGGGGGTTTAATCATGGGATTGATTTGATTAGTGGGAACCCAGGAGGAGGAGGAGGAGGAGGAGGAGGAGAAGAGGCGGAGAAATGGATGGGTGCTGCGTTGGAGGTTGCGAGGTGGGTGGATGATGAGGGGCAGTTGCATAAAGCTTTGTATGATTCGAGGGAGGAGGTTAGGGAGAGGGTGAAGAGGATGGGAAGGGATTTGCTGTAATGTGTGAGATGATTGATGATTTGGAATGTACATGTATTCAGTAAGCAAGCAGCATGTAATTATCCCTGCGAATGGAAAGATAGACCAAGTGAGATTCAAAATTCATGCATGATATGCGATAATGGCATCGCTCCTGTGGGTATCTTACGAAAACCAAACTCAAAGCCCAGTCTCACTACTTTATACAAAAAAGACTCCCCTCGCCTCGTCTTGTCTTACCCTGCAACGATACGAGGCGTATTGAAAGCCTTGTTAAGAATCTCCTCACGCCGATGCTTCCAATCCGCCCATTCCTCATGCCTACTCTCGATTTTCCATCGACTAGTCTCCTTAGCAGGTCTCCACGCAAGCTTATTCTGCGGCAATTTCGAAAGATCAATGCTGGGCGGCTTGGTGGCGAGCGTGAGCATATCTTCAAAAACCTTCTCGCCTTCCCTATGTGAAAGTCGACATCGAGATTTGGGCTGAGATTTGTTGGTCATGGGCTCGTGGAGCCAATCCAAAGATGATTTGATGGCTTGCGGAGAATCTGGGGCGGGAAGGCGGAGGCGAATGTTTTCGCTCTTGAGATGGCGGACTGCACCTTCCAGACCAGCGATCTTGTATTCTTGCCGTTTCATCGTAAGTCTTGTGTTGTCGCCCATAGCATTGCCGTCGACGTCCTTCAAAGCACCGCCTTTCCTGCGCTCTTCAGACATTCGAGACATCTCATCACGCACGCGCTCAATCTCAGACTGTGCATCTTGTTGGGCGCGTATGAGGTCTGCTTTGGCCTTGCTTTCGGCAGTCTTAGCATCACGAACATCACGTTCAAGTTCAGCAATCTTGGCCGAACGTTTGCTTGCCTCTTTCAATCGAGCTTCGAACGTTTCAGTCTTGATGGCCTCAACATTCAATTCTGTCTCCTTTTGCTTGATGATGTTGTCCCGATCGCGGATGGCTTCCTGGGCGCGGGCCAGCTCGGCTTCCATATCCATGTTGGACTCTTTATGCCGCCTGATCTCATCTGCACGGGCGATCCAGGGCGCGGGCGCTCGCTCAAACTCTACCGTGTTATCCAGGTCGGTCGGCAGTGTTGACAAATCGCCGAGCAGCATCGTCAAGTCACGCAGACGGCTGTTGAGAGTCGCATATGGCCCAGCTTCGGACCCACCAACAGAGAATATGTTTGTCGCGCAACGAGCGAGAACTGCCGAGACCTCAGAGGCCGAGAAAGGCTCAACTCGTCCCTCTTCCCCAAACAGAATCTGCAGCTCTGTGCCACTCTTGCAAGCATAAGCCGCTATAGATGCAGTCACTGATTCTGCATCATCAAAGCTGTCCGTCATGGACGGCTCTAAAGTTAAGTGACGCGCTTGCAGCTCGACCAGTGCTCGGTGAGTCTTCCCGGAGATCACCTTGGCGTTGCGAGCCTGCTCTATTATCGACTTAGTTCTGTTGAGAATCAGGGCCGAGTCGGACACATTCTCGTCGTCATACTCATCATCTTCAGACGAGCTTGGCAATTTCGCCTCATACATGCCTTTGACGACTGTCAATGCTGAGGTGGCGCTGTCTAGGCGGCTCTGCAAGAGTGCAGTCTTCATGGTGAGACTATCGGAGTGGTCCGCCAAGCTGTCGTTTAGGTGCAGGCTGGATAGGTGCGTCATGACCTCGATCGACCGGCCAAGGCGAGTGGCCATCTCGCTTTCTTTGAGATCATCTCGGCGGAGTGCGTCAACGAAGTCATTCAGTGCGCGCTCCACGACTTCTAGCTCGTATAGCGCACTTCCATACTGAGTAAAAGCATCAACAGTAGAGCTGCTGACAGACTTGACCAATCGATCGGCCATGCCCGCAATCCACGTCAGCTTATCAAGAGCGTCGCAAGCCGCAAAGACTTCCTCCTCCTCTCCACGTGTGCCGTACGACGCAATGCGCTCCTTGACGAAGCTCTGCACGAGGTTGGCCTTGAACGCAATTCGTTTGAATCGCAGTAACGCTAAGACACTGTCGCGCTCGGCCTGGAAGGCTTCCGGCAAGAATAATTGCACGATCGCCAGATGTTCCGACGCCTGTTCAGCATCAAGCCGGCGCAGCTCGAGGTCGATAGTCTTGACTTGTGTCTTTGCAGCGCTGTCTTGCAGCTTGACGTTGAGTTCCTGCATGGCACGGGATCTGCTCGAGAGTTCCGCAGCCTCACTTTCCGAAATCTGCTTGCTGGCCTGCAGATCTTGCAGATGGTCCTTCATTTCTTGGACCAGAGCTCTGAAGCGACTGATGTTGTAATCAGCCTGATCCAATTGCGCCTGCTGCGCTTTGGCCGTGCGCTCGCGATCAAGCAGTAAAGTGTCTTTGAAGTCAATCTCTTCCTGCAGCTGCTTCTCTGTTTCGATGTGATTGATCTCAAGCTCGTCATTAATCTCTCGCAAGTTTTCAAGGTCTTCGATAACGCCATGAAGATCGGCAATCTTATCCTTGAGGTTGTGATTCTGCTCAGTGAGCTCTTCGATCATGTCTTCAGCACCCAGAGCAACTTCGAGCTGCTGTTTGAGGTCCGACTCGTTGGCTTCGGCGTGTAACAGCTTCTCTCTAGTCTCCTCGTATTGACTCTTGATGCTGTCAAGTTCTTTCGACTGCGCTTCCAGTGCTTTAATTTCCTCCTTCAACTCGGCCTCCCGGTCGCTTGCCAAGTCTCGCAGTTGCAGGAGAGCTTCTTTCAGGCGCTCATTCGTCCTTTCCAATTGAAGCCAGCCAGCGCTGTTTTTCTCTTCGGGGCTCATCTCACGGCCTAATTCACTGTTCTCGTCCTTCAATACTTCGAGTTCGAGAGACAGCTCCTCATTTCTAGCTCGAACAGCATCAAGATCGGCTTTGTACCCTTCAGCGGTCTCCTCAGCAAGCTCGCGATCTAGCAGCATGCTTTCCAATTCTGCTTCATGTTCGGCCTGCATCTGCTCAACGCTTGAAATTCGGGTCTCATATTCAGCGATCTCCTTCTTCATCTTCTGGTTCTCCTCTTGTACAGGTCGGTATTTGTTCTGAAGCTTCTCAATGATGGAGCGAGCACTGTCTCGCTCTTGTTGAGCTTTCTCCAGCTCCAGCTTCAATTCACGATTCTCTGCGCCTTTACGCTCCAGCTGTCGAAGCTTGGCCTCGAGCTCTTCGATTTGGCGGTTAGTTTGAGCGGTGCTGCGTATGGTGCGCTGCGAATGGATCGAAGCCGCGCCAGGCGAGGACGGCCTTCTTGCGCGAGCGATGCGCTCTGCAGGCTCAGGTGGGATGGGAGGTGGTGCTGGAGGGGCAAAGTTTGTGATGGTGTCGTCTATATCCTCCTCACCTGCTTCGGTGCCTGGTCGAGATGAAGTAATACTTTCTCTGGTCGACGCTGCTTCGCTTGCGGAGTCATTAGTGGACTCTTCGGTGGTCGAGCTCAGCCGATCTTTGGTAGTTGCCCTCGCTCTCGCAGCTGGAGCGAGTCGTGAAGCCGCAGCAGTACCGATAGCTGGTCGTGAGAGGCCAGACCTGGTGGAGGTGGTTGACGTAGTGGATGCTGTCGTACGAGACGCTGGCGCAGAAGGGAGTGTTGATGTCCTGCGTGCTGCAGTCGATGTGGCCGGTGCGAGACTCGATCTTGGTTTCGCGGCTGCTGTTGCTGTGGCCTTCCTTCCTGCAACGGGGGGAGTGCTCGTCCTCGAAGTTGATGCGCTTGATGTGCCATTGGTGCCCAGCTGTTTCGTAGGCGATTTGGCGGGCGATCGAATGCCGGTTGCGACGCGAGGTGCGGGAGTTGGACTGTCTGATGTGGTGCTAGCCCGTTTGCCTGGACCGGCGCCGGCTTGTGTGAGAGTCTGCCTTCTGGTTCCGTTCAGCGCCGTATGCACACTGCTTGGCCGTGCCTTCACTGGAGCCCCATTCCCTGCCGGCTTCGCTTTGAGCTTTGCCTCTTCCACCACGCGACTTATACCAGACGGACGACAGAAGATGCCATGCCTCGGAGGGCAGTCGAAGTACCTCTGCCCCTGGACCGATCCATCATTCTTGCCCGATGCATCTCCCAGCTCTACTCCCACCCATTCGCCAGTCTGAAACTGTGTAGGGCCGACGAAGCGAACAATCCCACTTCGGCTGTCGTTCAGCTCGACTGTCTGCCCAACGGCCAAGCTGATGTTGCTCATGATGGCGGAGGCGGCGGTGGAGATGCTGCTCGTATTCCGCGCGCACTTTGAGGACGAGTCCTTGCGCTATTCATAATTTGCGGTTGGGACGTCCAGTGTTGGGGGTACTCGGTGTGTGTGTGTGCACAGTCGTACGCAGGTTGTTTGTGTGCAGTGATGCTCCAGAGGCTTGCTATCAGCATTCTGAAACTCCATGACTTTGACCTCGAGAAGTGACGCGACGCGGGCAAGGCAAGGCTTGGCGCTTCACTTTCCTGCCGTAGAATACCGGGATTCCACATCTCCCGAGCCGGCTCATTGTTGGCTTCCATAACGTCGTCCGTTCCATCACACACGGTACACCAAAGTGACCACCCGCAAGACAGAGAAAGGAGACTAAACTAACTACTGATGATCGGCATTTCAACACTCACTCTTTGGCTGATGGGAAGGAAAGACTGCTTTTGCATACGGCTATTGCGGACGAAGTAATCCGACTGCTGCGCTTCCCTTCAATCCATCCCTCTCAAAACCCCACTGACAATCCCAAACACTGCAACAGCCACAAATACCGTCACCAGCACAATCACTTCACACCTCGTGCATCCACGTTGCTCTCTTTCCGTCGTCGTCGAACTCGAGGATGTGGGCGTGAGACGCGGGAACCCATACAGCCAGGCTGGGATTTGTCTTGGATAATGATGACATGATCCTTCGTACACGGTCGTGGGCAGATGTGATCGATTATTGGAGGTGGTGGCGGCGGCGTCAACACTGCCATATTGACGACATTGATACGCAGGAGGTGCAGATTCTTGATAGTAACTTGGTGGAGGAGGCATCCAGAGATGAAGATATGCTGCTGCGGCTGGTCTTCGCGGGAAGGAGTCGTTTGGGTCTGTGACTTGCATGTTGTTCTTGTTGTCTGAGCGCATACATCGTGCGCGAAGTGAGATGCGAATTTTTACAGCGGAGATTGTGCATCACATGTCGTACGTGGTCGTACTGGGAATGCTCTTTGTTGCTCGATGAATATCGTGTACCGCATGAGCAAAATTGTGTCACCGGAGTCGGCCGCTAACCGGTGTCATCTGTCAAGGAGCGGAAAGGAGCATGTCATGTTCATGAAGGTCTTCTCGGTAACGGTGGAGGTTCGTCCCATCCGATCGGAGCTTTTGTTTCAGAATTTGTGGTCGTGGTGCTGCTACCTGCTTGAGGGACCGGCTTTCTCGAGATTGATGCAGGCCGTTCTGGCAGTGTCGTCTTCTGCACGTTTTGGTCCACAGAGCCAGCGCCAGGCTTGCCTTCGATATCTTTGCCCTTTGATCGCCATTGAGCTGTAGCTTTCTCATACGCTGCTGAGACACTACTGCCAGCGCTGACCATCTTTGACTGCGCCCATCCGATATAGCTCTGTTCATTCTTCTTCGAGACCTCTTGTTCCATTTTGTGCACATCCTCATCCGAGACACTATCTGTACCCTTCTGCTCACGCTCATGTTCAGCGCGCTCTTTCTCCTCTTTCTCTTCTTGCTCCTTGAGAGCCTTCTCCTCTTCTGCAATGCCCTCTAGGTCGAGGTCTTCGAAGCCGATCTGCTTGAATATTGGACCTGTGAGGAATCTGTATTTGGTATGTCCTTCCACAAGACTACTGACATCCACGTTCTCAACGCCTTTGACGTTTTCGACAGCTTGAAGACCTGCAATGCCGAGCGCAATGCTGTGGCTGCGGTATAGGTAGCCGAGGATGTAGTCGTTCTTGCTGTAGACATTCACAAGTCGACCGGTCACAACGCTTCGAAGCATGCGCCAATCAGCCGCTGTCGAGGGTGCTGGTGTTCCTATCATCACAGCATTTTCGATCAGACCAAATGCCTTCCGCTCAGCAAGCTTCTTCAGGCAAGCAAAGATGACCTTCCCACCAAGACTATAGCCTACGAGTGTGACAGGCCGTTCACCTTGGACTTTGTTGATCAGTGCATCTGCTAGAACCTCCCCAGCCTTCTGAGCGCGATAGTTTGCAACGGAGAACGGGTTGTCGATAACTTTCGACACCTTCGCCAGAGCAAGTGGCCACAGACCAGCAGCGAGGGCACCGAAGATTGTGCGTTTGATGATCTCCTTCTTTGCAATCGTCCAAGCAGCAGAGGTGACAAGAGTAGTGATAGAGTTGCCAAGATTCATCAATGCCTCTAGCTCCCAGCGCAAGGCAAATGTTTCGAGCGAAGCATTAATGACTTTCCAAGGCTGAACCACTTCTTCTTGATTCGTGAGCCAGCCACTGATACCAATGCCGACACGGAGGCGGCGGAATTCCTTCTCGATTTTCCTCGGCTTGTGGTGAGAGCGCACCGGTTCAAAGCCAAAGTCTTCCACCTCGCGTGCATACTGATCCATGGTCTTTCCAGCCATACGGCCACCGTACGCGCCGAACAAGCCCCCAATAAGGACTGAACTGCCCGCAAGTGCCCCCAGATAGCCTGCCGCGGCCGTGCCAGCCAACCCAAGACCTCCCATCACCGTACCTAGCCCAGCAGCGAGAAGTGGTGCAGCAAGGCCACCAGTCACGCCGATGAGGACTGCGCCTCCTACAGTGGCCAGACCTACCTTCCACTTCCGGCTGGATTTGTTCTCCTCTGCCTTCTTCCTGGTCTCCTCGTCCGCACTCATGTTCTCTGCCGCAGCCAACAAGGCGCGCGCTGTCTTGCTCTCATCTTGGCCAAGGATATCGAGAGGGAGATCGAGACTAGTTGAAATGCGTAGTAGTAGGGTTCTAGACTCGGCATGGTAGTGCTCCAAGCTGAGGAGCAGCAGCAGGAGCGAGTGCATGATGAGCGCTCGCTGATCCTGCGGCAGCTTTCTCAAAGGATTGTCGATTGGCGGATAATGTGCGCGCATCGCTTCATTGATGCTCTCATCGTATTTCGGTGCGTCCGAGAACTTCATCGGCGGCGAAGCAGATCGCTTTGCCTCTTCTTCTTTCGACTTGGGCGCATGTTGCTCTCGCTGCTCTTCTTCCTGCTTCGAGTTCAGAACTTCACCCACTCGTTGAATTACATTGGAGCGCCATTCGTCCCAATGATCGAGGGCGGCCTTCTTGAGCTCTTGCATCTTTTCCTGACCGAGCTCTTTCTCGCGCTGCGCAAGCTTCTTTTGCTGCTTCTCCTTTGCCTTCTGCTTTGCCTCTGCATCCTCGCCCGTTGATGCTGCAGCCTCATCTTCCATTTGCTGTGGTTTCTCGCCTTCCAGGTCGGGAATGATCAGATCGGTTTTGGTGCCGGTCTCGTTGGCGTCGAATGCATCTTCAATGACCTTTCGCATTGCTTCTGTGCAGTCCGCGATCAGGATAGTAAGTGCCATGCGGTCCTCCGGCGAGCGCAGGATAGTCGTGAGGGACTCGCCCTCCTCTGCGTCGCCTTCATGGTGCTGTCCGCCTATGTTCTTGTTGAACGCTGCTCGTGCCTTGGACAGCATTTTGCAATTGCTCAATATGCTCCCGCCCACTGGTCAAGATGGTCGAGAAGAGAGAGTGGCAGACGACCTACCTGGTGTCTGTTGTCTTTGCTAAGACAAAACGTCGTGCGCGGAGAAATACTGCAACATTCTCCGTGCCGACTCAAAGGACGAGTCGCAGCAGTATGACGTGAGGGAGTTTCACGACACGACACGATGCACGATCTAGGTTGAGAGGCTGAAGCTTGTGGCTCGGCTCGCTGCTTCCCGCAGGCGATTCCCGCAGCACAGCTCAAGCCTCATCATCAAGGGGAATGTCAACTCAACTCACGACAATAAGCTTTCCCTTTGGTGTTGGAAACCCGTCCACCAGAGTTCTCAAGCCTGATATCTGCCGTTCTGCTCTAACAGATTCGATGCTGGCGTCAAGGTGTCTGATGTCCGCAACCGGCTCGCAATGGCTTCCTCGGTAGACTCGCCATTGACCCAGCAGGCGAGGCCAGATGTCTTCGAGCCGAAAGTGGTTGGACTGTATCGGCGCCTCTTCAGAGTATGCGTATGCCCGATCATTACTTGAGATGACTCTCCATATCAAGCTGACGATAGAAGCAGGATGTCGAGGATGATGATGAGAAAGACGGAGCATTCTGGACAACGCTCTTTCTGCTGAAGCCCGACACATCAGCCTTGCGAGATATCCTCGAAAACACAGATTCAGAGTTCCTAATACACACACAAGTATGGGTTGAAATGTACGTCCCATCGAGCGAATCTCATGCGATAACAGCACCAATCACAACAATTATTACTCCATGCTCTCACCAGAGTAAAGGATGCAGAAGGGCCTGCCGACGAAAATGCACTTGATGTAAGCTTTCCCACGCCTTGATCGCCGGACCACAAACTTATACTCATATTAGACTTTGGCAGTCTTCTTCGCCATTGTGCTATCTAAGAAGTTCATGAATCCAAGCTCAGATGTCATCGAAGTGCTAGCTGGTCTAGACAATGTCGACACTGTTTTCTTCGATCTCGTCGCCACATTAGACTTGGCCATCAAAGATGGCAGGAGCAGTGAGTCTAATCTGTATGTTCCAAGGAAAGCTTCACGCTGACACACTCTAGCTGAGGTTCGACAAAAGGCCGTTCGTACGGCGATCGCAATTGTGGCTGGCGGATACCATACAGCTCTAGTATCATACTTCGTGCATCGAGACTTCTTTCCAGCTCTGATGAAGCTGGTGCATCAGCTTGACAATCCATTGCAAGCGTCGGAGCCTTTCTTGTTGACGGGCCTTCTCGCAAACTACAACAAATTCGAGCAGCCAAACCAGTACCGCGTACGTTTTGCGGACTTTGTCAACGAGGAAACCATGATCAGAGTCGTGCAAAGCGTGGCATGGACGACAAGTGTGCTGCGAGAACGCTATATCGCTATCGTAGACGACACTCCTGTAGGCTGGAGTCTTGGCACTCCACTGTCCTACATTGGCCTTGGTGCTTTGGCAGGAGTGAAGAAACCAGCAGCTCCAGTGCTTACAGAAGAGCAGCAGAGAGAAGTCTTCTCAGAGCAGTATGATACTTTGCAGTCTACTGATTTTCATGATGCTAATTTCGATGCAGACCTGGTGGCGAGGCAGCCATCCTTCTCACACTTTACGACTTTGCTTTAGCGAACAACCTGTTCTGCCATCACCTCATCAGCATTCCAGCTTCTGAAAAGGGCCAAGCTCCTCCATTCAGCAGCCTTCTTTCCTTCTCATCCTACTTGTACCAGCATGCATATCGGAGCATGAGAGCTTCAGCATACGCCTACCTCACCTTGCTTATTCTTCTGATCCTAGTCGAGGAGCCAGCTCTTGCCAAGCTTCTGTGCGAGACATCAGCACCTGTACGCCTATGCCGACAGAGACCGCCACAATTGCCACTGCCCAAAGGAGACCGACCGTACATCGCAGCTATCATCGATCTGATCGTAGACGGCATCAATCATAACCTCCGCAAGCGTCTGGACACGAATTTCTACAAGCAAAGCATCTACGTCCTCTCACGAATCATTTCACATCTCGCAAAAAGCCACACCAAACTTCCGTGCCACTGGTCTGAGCTTTGGCGCTCCCTGCTTTCTTTCGTCCGCTTCCTGACGACCTACGCCGACGATCTTCGCAACCTGCCCGGCATTATGGAACTTGTCGAGTCTCTGACCGACCTCCTCACCACAGCAATGTCAAACGGCGAAGCATTCTTGCCGGATTCCGCAGCCTACGATGACCTATTCTACAAGCTCGTCGAGTCTGGCGAAGCTTTGATCAAATTTCGAGACGTCTATCGCCTGGCCGAACCTGACGAGGACAAACCCATCAATACCCTTATAGGCGTAAGCAAGCATTATCAAGAATTGATCGAAAGCCACAAGAATAAGAGCACTCACCTCACCCCTCGAGAGGTTCAGAAAATCATCAAAGAAGGCTACGAAACTCTCTCGATCGAAACAAGAGAGGGTGTGGAACAGGCAAGTCAGATGGAGAAATACAGAGAAGTCGACCACAAAGTCGAATTGAAGAAAATCGCGAGAGTTACGGTCTTGGATGCGGCTGGTCTAGTCTACTCGATATGATGCTTCTATCATGTATCTCGCCACCTCAGTGTGCTGAAGTCCCAGTAAACTTCTCCAAAGCTTCAATCACAATTCCATCCGCCCATTTCACGCATTCCGTCATATTGTTCTGCGCTTCTTCCGGCATAGCTCTGATTCCTAGTCTTTCCAAAACATCCCGATCCAATTTGCCGGCCTCAACATCTTCGTCCTCGAAAAGAAATTTATGGTCTTTGACATAGTTTGGCCAAACCACATCATCGATCTTTGCGAGATTTCACGAGCGTCAGCGAGAAACAAATTCCAATGATGTGAGGAGAGCATACTTACGTAGCCAGGTGGATCTTCCCAAAACCCTTCGAGCGTGACATAACCTTTCCTAGCTTCTCTTCGAGATTTTGCAGTCGAGTAATCTGTGTGTAGGAGAAGTCTCACGTCGAAAAGGGAGCGGATTGAGGACATGGCTTCTGAGAAGAGGAGGAAGCCGTCGATTATTGCTATGGGTGGGGCGTCGGCGAAGTACCTGTCGACGAATAAATTCAGCATCTACTTTCATCTCAGGTGACAGACTCCCACACGAGCAGGCTTGCAGGCGACCACGAGCTTGTCTTGTCACCAGCTTTCTAGATATACGTACCATTTCCCAGCATTCCACTCCAAATCTTTGATAACGGACTTGTCGACATTGACTTCTCCAACAGAATTCCTGTCCTCTTTTGAGACGAAATCCGGAGGAATCTGGCCGTGTTGTCGAATGTACTTTAATGCAGCTTCAAAAGCTGGCAAGTTGATTGACTCTAGACAGTCCCAATCTTGGATGCCTTTCTGAATCCAAAGTCAATCGACGTCCGCACATAGGCCATGTCTGGCAGGAAGGGAGAGTTCACTTCGTTTACCGGGATTTCTGCATCGGTCTTGTAAAAGTCATCTTCATGGAGGATGAACGACCTCGGGAAGATGTCGCGGAGAATTCTTGCTAGAGTCGTCTTGCCAGAAGATGATACGCCGGAAATGCCGATTATTAGGGCTTTGGATTCGGGGTCTTCTGGCATGGTGAGAGTAACTCCTCCAGACTGTCAATACGGAATCTGGTGAACACCAGGGTCGTCTCGGGTTGCGAGGTGTTGACTTCGATGGCAAAAATTGGGGCGAATTGAGGGCAGATCTTGATGTGTGGCTATCAGAGACAGCGGAAACGCGTCAATGAGCCTGTGCCAATTTTGGAAATGATGTATCGTATGGGTGAGTTGTGGCCAGTGAAGTGAAGTGAAGTGTCTCGCCTGCGGTTTGAGCTGTAGGCAAGCACAGACCACGTTGAATCGCGTTTGCCCTTGTCCTTGGAAGAAAGCTTCCTCCTTCCGAACCTGCCAACTTCTGCCAGACACACACTTTCTCTCGCATGCAACCTCTTGCATCCCGACCCCATCACCACGCTCGTTATCACTCGGCACTCGAACGCGCGCATCTGAGAGTCTGATTGTCAATCCCACGATCGCGCGCCAGCATGTCGGCGCCCGACATCTCAAGCATTCTGGCTGCGCTGGGTATGTCTCCTTTGTGTACACAATGCGCGTGCCAGCATTGCGACTGATATCCATTACAGCACAACAGCAGCAGCCAAATGGCCCGCCTCAGCCTTCCGCGGCACCTCAACAACAACAACAACAGCCTCCGCCAGTGCAGCAACTGCCACCTGGATATCCGCCGCCAGGGGTAATGCCGCAGCAACCACAGCAATCGAGCGCGCCTCCGCAGCAAGCGAGCTATCTCCCACCACCCTCGAATACTGGCAGTCTTGACCTGAGTGGCATCAAGCCTGTGAGCAGCGGCTCGGTCAGCATTGCAGACGCGATTGCCAAAGCGCGTGGCATTGCCGAGAACCGTGGCATTCAAGGTTACGACCCGCGACAACAGTCAGGTATGTACAATGGAGGCTGAGTATGTCACGATCCTAACATGACAAAGCGACACCACGCGAAGATCCTCGTCTGGTTGGAAGACGTGGTCCACCTCCACACGATTCACGCTCTCGTTCACGTTCTCCTCCTCGACGCGACGCTTACGGCGGAAACCCATACCGTGATGAACGGCGCGAAGATCCACGTCGGGGAAGCTACCGACGGTCGCCATCGCAGGATCACGGCTATGGCGGTCGCAGAGAGCAACCCATGAACAATCGCAATAATAATAGCGAAGGCGAGACCGAGACCATCCGCGTCAAGTCTGGCCTGGTCGGACTCATCATTGGCCGTAACGGTGAGAATCTGCGCAAGGTAGAATCTGAAACCGGCGCCCGTGTGCAATTCATCCAGGCCAAGGATTCGCACGTTGCGGAGAGACAATGCACAATTTCTGGTTCCACGCGGTCAAGGGAAGCTGCGAAAGCCGCGATCTTCCAAATCATCGAGGACAATGGCGGCACTCCTGCTGCTCAGGAGAAGGGTGCATACACTCCTGGAATGCCAGGCAGAGCCAAAGTGAACCTTCCAGCACTCCGAGAAGGTGAAGCTAGCACGCAGATCATGGTGCCTGACAAGACTGTCGGTTTGATTATTGGGCGAGGCGGCGAGACCATCAAGGACCTTCAGGAGCGATCAGGATGCCATGTGAACATCGTCGGTGAAAACAAGAGCGTCAATGGCCTGCGACCTGTCAATCTGATTGGCAGCGAGCGCGCCACAGCTGTCGCAAAGGAACTAATTCTCGAGATCGTAGAGTCTGACAGCCGCGGACAGTCCGGTGGCGGAGCGAATGCCACTGCCAGCATGCGCGACCGTGGCTATGACAACCACCAAGGCCAAGGCAACCACGCCAGAAATGGCGGAGGCGGCGGCCGTGGTGGCGGAGGTGATGTTATTGAAAAGACTATACGTGTCCCCTCGGAAGCCGTGGGCATGATCATTGGCAAAGGTGGCGAGACGATCAAGGATATGCAGCGCACCAGCGGCTGCAAGATCAACGTCAACCAACCTAAGCCACCGGATGTGACTCGTGCCATCGACCTCGCAGGATCCGCTCGTGCCATGGAAGAGGCAGAGCGTATCATCTGGGAGAAGGTTGAGACTGTGCGCCAACGTGATGCTGCTGCCGGACGCGGCGGGCATGGTGGTGGTGGTGGTGGTGGTGGTGGCGGCGGTGGCCATGACCGTGGAGCATCGCAGTATGATGCATACTCACAACAATCAGCAGCGCCGCCTCCAGTGCCAGGTTACGGACAGTACATGGGTGCAGCCGCACCGCAGGTACCGCCGCAGATGCCTGCTTTCCAAATGCCCACGCAACAGCCGGCGCAACAGCAAGCGTCGAATGGCCAACAACCGCAAGCCCAGAGTAATGACGCGTATGCGCAGTGGTATGCGCAATGGTATGCCCAAATGGCCGGCGGTGGCGGCGGCGCTCCCGGAACGCAGTAAGCGATTGAGCTCAGTGCTGAACACATCTGAACATGCCGTGAGGGTGACATACATCGATGACTGCCGTGGTGCTCGCTCTGGAGCATGTTGCGACCTTCTCTCCCTCCTGGCTGGTGAATCTCCTTCTGTCGATGATACCCGCGTTTGGTTACGCTCTCGATTGCCTGTCTGTCCATGAGTGCGACACTGACCTTGGTCTCGTTGGTCTCAAGATCGGAACATTATGCGCTTGTTCTCGTCTTCTACCTACTACTCTGCTCTACGTGGTGTGCTCGACTGCTATCCTGATACCGGTGACATGAGTCTCGAAGACTTTACTGAAATTCGGTCTGCGGCAAACAATAAGACTTGATATCACACGTTTTGCAGCGGTCTCGCTTCGGTCTTTGAGGTCAAGCTCTGAAGTTCCAATTGGTGACCCACAACCAGCAGCTACCGTTTGCCTATCGACAAAGCTGTCTGTTCTGCTTCGATGCGCACCTCTCTCCACTGAGGTCGAGCTTGAAACTGGAAATGGTCAAGACGCCTGCTGCTTCAGCATCTCTATAGGCGCAAGTCCACATTGGTGCTTTGCGATGCTCTATACACTTGAGAGACTTCCAAGAAGGGATGGGTGGAAATTTGTCTCTTTTTACCGATATGCATTGCTGGGAGCAAAGGGCAAGCAGGCACCTTCATGACATAGTGGCTAATAAGTTTTGTTGTAATATACGAAAGCATTCAAAGGACGCGGAAATCATTTTGCCTCGGACTTCACGGTTCTTACATTCTTTAGCGACGCGGTAGGCTATGAACCACTGGACTTGAGTGCGAATGGTTGCAAAAGAGGCATTTCGAATGAGTTGAGTAATGTACGCTGACCTCTACCAGACTCAAACGCGTTCATCTCTTTCGCTTGCTACCGCAATATCAGCTCAGCGTATTACTATGGGCGAATGCTACGCTGTTGCGATCGGTTGTATGCTGAACAAGGCATTGTTCATGATGACAACCGCCTCGATACAAAGGATGGCGACCATTGTCACGATTCCAATCTCGTTGTTCACAATGGTTCAATGTCATTGTTTCATTGACCTACAGTCACTAAATCCACAGCAAAGCCAGTTCACTTGTTGCAATCCGACTTAATAAAACGTCGCCGCCTCAGTAGAGTCTGGCAACCACCCCAGAACCACAGAATCACGGGAATCCCGATCTTGAGAGACAAGACTCGATTCAACAACGTTCTTCCACCTACGAAACGAACCCATCACGCGCGAAGGAAAGAGATTTCTAGCCAACACGAGCACAAGATGGAGAGACTCATCAACCCTTTCACATCATTCACCACGTCAGACAGGCGCCCGAACAACTCAGCAGGCGCATCGCAGCCTGATTCCCAGCCTCAGCATATCGAATGTGCTGCTTGCTTCGATGACTGCACGGACAAGCACGTCCAGGTCGCCGGCGACCACCTCTGCTCCGACTGCTTCGAGACCGGCTACGTTCCCCAATTCCAGGATGCCCTCAAGGACGAAAGCAAGTACCCCGTCAAATACGGGACTACAGTCCTCGAGCCAAGCCACTATCCGGAATTTTTCGATCCAGCCTTCCTAACCTCCTGGCGCAGCAAAGAAGAAGAATACACCACCCCAGTCAAATTTCGTCTTTACTGCAAAAACTCCATCGACGACACTCCCACCGGCAAACGCAACCGCAACGGCACATCCATCATGACTCAACACCCCTGCGGCCACTTCCTCGGAACCAAAACCCTCCTCTCTTCTTCCTCACCCACCATCCCCTGCCAATCCTGCAACCACCTCACATGCACCCGCTGCTCCCAACCCCGGTCCTCATCCTCAACCCACGAATGCCCCGCCACGGAAGAAGAAGAAGACAACGCCTTCGAAGGTCTAACCCAAGGCCTAGACTACCAAATCTGTCCCCTCCCCACCTGCCGCGTAAAAATGTCTCTACAAGACGGCTGCAACGGCGTGCGCTGCGCCTTCTGTCGCACAGATTTCTGCTTCATCTGCGGAGAAAAATCTTCGCGTGGACACTGGGACGCAGGTCAGGAAAACGGGTGTCCGAGATTCGGGACGAAGGGGAGTCGGAGGGCGATTTTCGATGATCCGAATCCTCATCCGCCTGCTAACGAACGCATGCTCAGAGAAGGATTGGAAATGTTGACGACGGAACAACTTCTTGCGATGTGGGAACGCATGCAGGCGCGAATCGAAGCTCGGAATGCGAACAACCCCCCGAACGCTCCTCGTCCTCGTACTGGATTGGAGAATTTCTCGGATCAGGAAATTGTTGACCGGGTGTTGGCGCGATCTGCTGCTTCTCGTCGTGCAAATAACACCGGAACCAGAACGCGAAGTTCTTTCTGAATGAATGGAAGGAATTGGATTGGGATATGAGATGAGCTTGGCTTTGGATGTTTGAGTTCTGGCGGTTCGGAATGGATTGGGGAGAAATTGTCTGGTAGGATGGCGGTGTTGGGGTTGGGTTATTCATTCATTGCTCAAGGCTGGATCGGGGAAAAAAAACACAGGCGTTCATGGCGTTTTGTTGATTAGATGGGATGTACATGTATGGCATCATCAAATTGTATTAGTATGTATCAGAAACAAACTCAAAATTGGCACACGCTTCATCACAATTTTCATTCATTGAAATCACTTCAATGCATCCCCTCCCTCCGATAAAGCGGCACCAACTCCTCATCCCTCCTCCAAAGCACCCACCTCCTAAACCACCACGGCAACCACGTCCTAACCATATAGTTCGCATGCCTGGACGTAGGCAAACCAAAAACATAATCCAATTCTTCCAAACTCAATTGCTTGGTCTCACGCACAATGAAGAAAATCCCGACGAAGGCGATGATATTAAGACCAGCATAAAACCCAAAAGCTCCGGTGGGGGTGATCTTAGCGAGGAGTGAAGGGAAAGTAAGTCCCAAAGCACTTCCTAAAGCGTTGTTGACACAGATGGTGAAAGCTGCGCCGATTTCGCGGTGAGAGAGGGGGTAGGCTTCGGAGAAGTAGATTGAAGGGATGGGGCCGATTCCGGGACCGTATAAGGCTGAGAAGATGTAGATGAAGAGGGCGATTAAAGGGACGCGTGCGCTGTTGTCTTTGTCGATGAGGAAGCAGAGGCCGGCGGCGAGGAGACACCATGCCATGTTGGGGAATGTGAGGAGGAGGAGGTTGCGGCGGCCGAATGTGTCCATTGTGTAGATTGCTGGGAAGGCGAAGAGGAGGGTGACGAGTCCGAAGCCCCAGGAGGCGAGGAGGGATTGTGTTACGTTGTAGCCTGCTGTTGAGAAGATTGTTGAGGAGTAGAAGGCCTAGACACACATAGTCAGTTGGTGATCAGTCAAAGATGATGGAAGACTGTATTACCATGATGTTGATGCCACTGAACTGCTGACTGATGACGATCCAAGATGATGCGACGGTGGCCCGGCGAATCCGTGGGACGGAGAAGAGTTCCCAAGCTCGATGGGCGATAGACTTGCCCTCGAATGCTGCTCGCTCTTGCAGGACCTGAATATGTGCGAAATACATCTCTCTCGCAGCCTGGAGCTCGGAATTTCGAATCCGGCAGAAAGAACGGAATGCCTTCTCGTATCGATTCTTCTTCAGATACCACCTCGGAGATTCTATATTACCAAGTCAGCCTCGCCCTTATACCGTGATGTACTGTAGACAACTCACCAGGACACAGCCAAATAATGAACAGCAACGGCAGAGCAGGTGCGAAAGCCGCAGCGAGCTGGAACCTCCAAGCATTCTTCCCAACATCCTTGAACCAAAGATTCGAGCTGAAACCAACCAGAATGCCAAAAGCGACCCACAACTGAAAGCTCGTCACAAGCCCCCCTCGAATACTCGCAGGGGCAACTTCAGCCGTGTAGACCGGAATCGTGGAAATCTTCACACCCATTCCAATGCCCATGAAGAGTCGACAAATCATCAATTCTTGCCATGTGTGCGTGAAGGCCTGTGCTAGAACCGGAAAGACGACGAAAAGATTTGTGAGAAAGATGGTTCCTCGTCGACCGAACTTGTTGTTGACGGGATCTGCTGCCCAGGCTGATGCGAGGCCGAAAAGAGTTGGCGCAGAATTGATGACTCCGATCAGCCATCCATTGTCCGCAATACCGAATTCTTCGGGAAAGGAGAGGTTGGCTCCATTGGCTCCTGTGTTGTCCCAGCCTTGAATGGCTGAGCCGAGGGACACTACTGCTATGCAGAGATACAGCGTCCAAGGAAGTTTCCAGCGATTCGTTTTCTCCAAGCGAAGCCATTTCTTGTCCTCGACCGTGAGCTCTTCGATAGTTTCAAAGTCGTCTGGGCGTTGAGCGACGAGAGCGGCTCTTTGAAAGAGCTCGAGCTTATCTTGAAGACCATAGGTTTCGCAGAAGCCTTCAACTTGACGTTCGAGTTCAGGTCTGGTCAGATCGGCCAGTGGATTGCGGATCTTGCCTTCAGGATTCTGGCGTCTTTCGAGCACGCCTTCGAACTCGAGATGCTCGACTTTCGCATCGTTCTTCTTTTGACCTTCCGATTCGGCCATTATGGTGGTTTGATGCTGAGAAGCTGACTAGAGACAGATCACTGGAGCTATGGGCAAAGCACAATGCCAGCTGCACGGAAGAACTCAATGGACCGATGAGGAGATGACATAGTTCATATAATTTCAGCCACATACGCTCTAGACGGCAGTTCAACGACTGTTCAGACAGGTGAGGTCTTGCGATGCCAACTCCGTTTCGGGCCGCGTTGAATGAAGCATGCCATGGATCTGAACTCAAGAGCCTGGTCACATGTATCTCCACCAATGAAACACTTGCGTTGGGTCCGCTTTGTGATGCCGAGATCGTTTTTGTCCTTGCAAGGTCGTGTCTGCTCTGGTATAGCGAAGAGACATCCTGGTCTCCCCACAATGTACTCCATCTGGGGTCGTGCATGGCATTCGGCTGTCCCCGCTTTGTGCCACAAAGGCCTGTGCAGGACAAAGTCTTGACACATGGGCAGAGCAAGTCGGCCGGGACTAAAAGCAGAAGCCTGTGCAGGACCTACAATCATATTACAATGTGATCCACCCGGGCCGAGATCCTCATGCAAGACCTGTACAGTGAGGTGCAGAATTACTGCATAGGGTAGTCATTCGCGCGATCAATCGGTATACAGATGCTGCACCACGTGTGCTGCACCACGTCGACCTCCGGCTGTGCAGTAGAGCTACTGAACCCTTGTGCGGTGACCAAGCGCTTTCGCAGCGTGTGAAAGACACCGGCCCCGATTTCCCTTAAGGATGGACCATCCGGGTTGACTTTTCTCTCACTCTCAACTTCGTGCCCTCAATTTCAAAATCCCCCCCTCAATCTGTTCGAAAAGATGCCTCAGACGTGGTTGCAAAAGTTGGATGAGCAGCTCAATGTCGATGTAGATGTGAGTGTAACGATACGCTTAACGCAATTTCCACGATGTCGCGTTGCTGACTGTGTTTATCGCTATAGTGGATGGATCCTACATACTCGAAGAACCTCCAGATCACACCCAATGATATGACCAGCAACAACCTCTGGGTCAATCAGCAGATGTCACATCCAGACAACAAGCAGATGTTCCATGACATCTGTAAGGAGCTGAAGTCCGAGGGTTGGAAAGCCGCATACACTCGAATTGTAAGATGTGCTTCAATGAGCCGGAGTTCGCACCAAGCTGACAGCTGGGCAGGCGGTGACCATGTGCAAGCACAATATCGACAATATCAAAGGCCGAGTTCTGCTGCAAGTGTACCCAAACGAGGCCTATGACACCCAAGCGGTCCTCGACTCTGCTCGAGCGTATGCGAAAGAATTCGAGAGGATTGGTATCCCTCAAGATCGATACTGCATCAAGATTCCTTCCACAGGCCCAGCCCTGAATGCTTGTCCGATCCTCAAGAAGGAAGGGATCCGCACTCTTGGAACAGCTTTGTTTGGTCTCCCTCAAGCCATTGCGGCCAGTCAGGCGGAATGCCTTTACATCAGCCCATACTTCAACGAGGTGAAGGCGCATGATGACCTCAAACTGTGGCCGAATGTCGAAGATCCTGCACGAGAGCACCCAATGTCTGCGCGTACGCTTCAGATCTTAGAAACGTATGCGAAGCTGTATAAGCAGACTGGGAAGGAGCAGCCACTGCTTAAACAAGCCAGGTAGGACACTTTCCAGTGCCTGACATTCCCCGTACCCGCTGACATGAACTTTAGCTTCATTACGGCCAAAGAAGCAATGGCAGCTGGCGAGCATGGCTGCCACTCCGCCACAATCTCGCCTCAGGTTTTGGACGAGCTGGCAGGTCTGCAGTATGACGGCACCAAGCAACCTGGCGAAGGAAGGCCAAAGCCTCAGCCATCTGGATTCTATACCAGCTACAGCACACCCGATCGGCTCAGAGAGGTATCGAAAGTCGATCCACTTTGGGCGGCTAAGATCGACTGGAAGCTTGCCAGCACAGAGGTCGACTATCTGGCCAACAATGGAGAAGAGCTGGCGAAGGCGATCGAAGGCGATCCGGTCACGAAACAGAGGCTGAAGGATGCGCTCGAGCTGTTCACAGGCGGTCTGCTTGAAAGCAAGGCGAAGATCGAGAAAGCCTTCCAGGAGGTCTGAGTATCAAGGCGGCTCAAGTTTGTGGCATGGGATAGGGCATGTATTGGATAGATTGTGGCTGATAGAGATCGACATCTGTTCCAGCATACATTTGACTTCCTTCAGCAGGTGGTATGGACATATTGTGCAGGGCGTTCGGGCCCAAATGGTGAGCCTGTGCGTTCGTGGGCTGTGATGGACTCGTCTGCGATGGCTGGACGTTGTGGGCGGGCTGCAGTGCGTGGCCGAATGGGAGGTCGTTTGCCAGATTGCCCGGATGGAGTGGGAGGTCTTCTGCAATGATCGGCAGCCTGTCGGAGGGCTGCAGACCAGGCTGAGCCTCAGCCTGTCTGGCGGGCATGCCACAGGTCGATCGCCATTGATTCACCTCGGCGAGCAGGGCCTGTCGCTCACGCGCCACCGCCACGGCCTGCTCGGTCAAGACGTCAAAGGCTGCCGTCTGCGCGCGAATGTGTTCGATGCTCTCGGCGACAATCACGTGCTTTGTGAGCTGGGCAGGTTTCGCGCCGTCGAGATTCGGCAGAAGACCGGCCAGCAGCAAGAGTTGCTCGTTAAAGGCTTCGCGCCTCGATTTCTCGATGACGGCGTGTGCGGCCCTGTCATCCTTGGTCCAGTTCCGGACGCGCTTCTTGCGCGGGGTCTTGGAGGTGTCCTGGCTGTTGCCAGACGACACACTGCTCATTGTGGCCTCATCAAGCAAGCAGCATCGAGTTTCTGGAAGGAATGGAATCGTGTCGCGCGTGAGGAGAGAGCGGGCGGAGGTGTGGCCTCGCGCTTGCTTAAGTTCGGGAGGGAATTTGTACCCGAGAGCTTGGCCGAAGTGTAACTTCTGGAAAGTGAAAGTTTAGCCGTGGCCGGGCTTGGCAATCGCGCCCAGACGCGATCCTTGGTCCATCTTGAATCCCATTCAGCTGCTGCACAGCAACGCAGCCACCTTCGAAGCCTTGCCGATTTCCACTCGACGACATGTACGGAGCGCTACGGAATCAGCGGCCTGGCATGCAGGTGCACGCCGTCCCAGAAGCAGAACGCGCTGTGGATGCCACTGGTCGACGGCTACCATGGGGCTACGAATATGGCAACACTCTCACACCAGCACCAGATTCCGAGCGCCGTGAACCCCTTGAGAGAGGGCCATTTGGCAGGAGCATGCGCAGGACAGGAAGCAGGGCATCGAGGTCAAGAAGCAAGACAGCGGAGCCGCGACGAGAGGAGGACAGGATACGCGCCGAGAACATCGCTGCCGAAGATGCCATTTTCGGCTCCATGAAGACGGTGGTCCCGAAAGAAGACACTCGAAGAGATGGCAGAGATGCACTAGGCGAAGTAGATCCGAATGCTGCTACTGCACAACAACCCGCATCGAGAGCGCCTGCCGCCGTTGCGCAGGATGGCGAGCCGACAGAGGTCATCATATTTGGCTTTGGAGAGAACATGCAGTGGGCAGCTATCGACTTCTATGAGCGTGTCTCAGGCGGCAGTATCCTTGAAGACTACGAGAGGGCACCACCCGGAGCAAGATTCGACACCACTAGATCACTGGGCAGGCAAAAGAGCTTGTCGCGCGCAGCGATGCGGAAAAAGAACACATATCGCGGCGGCAGTCACTGGATTAAGGTCACCTTTGATTCTAGTCAGGCGGCAGATCTCGCCATCTCGCGACAACCGCATATCATCAAAGGCTACAATGTCTCTGCGCAATACTACACGGGGGCAGGACCGACTGTGGACGAGGCTGTTCCTGCTACTCAAGGCGGAGTTCATGTTGAAGGACAGTTGCCACGTACGTTCTTGGTAGGCCATGCTGGCGCCGATGGTAGTCCCAACGGATCATCGACGACCGCAACGTCAGCCACCGCAACGCAGTCTGGACGACCGCCTTGGAATGCTCCTCTAGGAGACGACTCTCCGGCGAGTTCTTCAACCCTCAACAATGGCGGACGCGGTGGTCTTCCAGATCGGCCCCAAAGTCCGAGCTCGCCTACGCCAGCTGCAAGTGGGTTTCAAGCGCGGTCGATAGCCCCTCGTGGGCATCCACAGACGGTCCGAAGAGGGCGAAGAATCGAAGGCGCCACCATACCGGAAGGATTGCGAGAACAAAAGCAGATCTTCGCAGCTAAGCCAGCGAAAGCTTCCTGGTCAACCATCATTGGTGCAAGCGAGGTCATCGGCAGCGCCGTGCCGCGAAAAGAGGACGGCTCCTTCGACTGGCACCGAGCCAGCTTGTATTGGCGATTCTTCTTCTGGATTGACACAGTTTTGGGCACGGACTTCTGTGGCTTGAAAGCCGATGAGTGAAGAGCAGCTGGCGAGAACATGCCAACAGGATCTTGGAGGCGGCCGCCATTGCATCAATATGTGATTAATGAGTGATGAGCTGGGCTGCGGGTAAGAAGAGAAGATGCGATGCAGAATGCTTGAGAGCGGGAAATGGAAGAATGGCCCAAATGACATCCCAGAATAAGAACAGTTCACCCCAGTCATACAATGGAAGCCGGAGGCGACTCACAAGGCCTTTGAGCTGATCTGGTCGGCACCTAATAGCGTTTCCACCAGGACCACGATGGACCTTAGTCGGACTTCAAGACATTACACGAGAGTAGTACTAGACCATAAACGCTCGAGTCCAGTCGTGTGTAATTACGCAACTAGATCTGGACGCATTGGGGGCCGCATGTGGTGCCCTGGGATCCCCAGAGTGAAGCTGCACAATTAGTGCAGCTGCAAAGCCGAACAATTCCAACGGCTAGGCCGCATCGCAAACTCATTCACTTCTGAATGCATGACTCCACTTCTTCAACTTCTTGCCAGTTGCCAGCTTCAATTTCTACAAAATCCAACAGCTTGCTCACTTCTTGCCGACAACACCGCAAACCAGCAACATCGAAGATGGCCATTGGCCTCGAACAGAGGGTGGCCTCCTACGGGTTCTTATCCACATACTTCAACTCCTCCTTCTTCATCAGCCTCTTCACTACTTTCAAGTGGACCACAAATGTGCCGCCAGCTCAAGACAACCAGCATTGCCGAGAAGCACAACACGCTGACCCACCTCCTACGCACACACTCGACACCTACCTAGACGAAGTCATTCAAGACACCACTCAAACCTCTTTATCCCCCGAGATCCAAGCCATGCAACGCGCCGCGCGCACCGCCTACCTCGAGCGCCTCGCTCGCATCTCAGACCGCACCTCCCTCCAATGTCTAGAAAATTCCACAAAATCTCGCCTCGAATTGGCAGCGCGTCTAGATCGCGAAAGTCTGGAGAAACTCGAGCGCGTCACGAAGATGCTGGAAAAGCGCGGAATGAGAACTCCTCCTAAGGGGCAAAGATGGCAGTTTAATGCTCATGCTTCACCGGTTGAAACTCAGGCTTCGAGTAGTAGTGAGTCGAAACGTGTGCATTCTATCTCGATCTCGCCGACGTCGCCTTGTGAGCGGGTGGTTATGCGGAGGGCATCGGAAGGTAGTGTTGATGAGGAGAATTTCAGAGAGAAAAGGTTCGAGCAGTGGATGGAGCAGGATATTGCGGGATTAGAATCGCGTGGGAAAGTGGAACTTGGTTTCTTCGAAAAGGACTTGGACTCATCAATGATGGTGGAATTGCCGGTCAAGATCGAGAATGAGTTCTTCAATGGCGCGGTTAGAAGGGGGCAGGTCGTTGGGGAGCGAGAGGAAGGCGTTGGTTCTGTGGAGCTGAATCCAGAATTCGCGGACTATGATCAGGAGGAGGAGGAGGAGGAGGAAGACGAAGAGTGGACTGACCTAGGCGAAGTCGAAAACCTGGAGGACGAGTGAGAAATGAGGTTTATGGTATCTGCTGAGATGGCTAAGACACTCGATTTCTCTCTCTCCGGGATTTTTCCATTGATGTGCTGGCCTGCAGTGAGGTATCGCCCTGACGTGAGAGTCCGTTATTTGTCGTATACGTTGATGAAGCAGACTTGATTAGAGAAAGAGAGTTGGGCAGCTGAAGAGTGATGGTAGGGAACGGAGCCAAGTCCGCTGCAGCTGCAGGGCTCTTATGCGGGAGCGATCAGCATCGTCACTGTTCACTGTTCGTGCCTCCTGAAGATGAAGGATCTCACGTCTGGCTGCCATTGCCACGACTTGCACGACGCGGCAGTCGCACGGCTGTCATATGTCACATGCCTCCTCACTTGGAGCAATCGCCCCGTTCACATGAATGTAGTCACAAATACTCAGCAAACCCTTTTGAAACAAACTTTCCTTGATCCATCACGTCGGCGGCTACTACTGTCCTGAAACATCTTCCATTGACATACACAGCTACCGTATCGGCCGAAGCTGCAGTCACGCCGCGTCCACAATCTCGATACAATCGATGGTGTAGGGCATCGATGCACCATGCCTCTCAAACCTCCCGAGTCCTACGAGCTGGACCGACCAGAGACCAGCCCTTTCCTCGACCGATACTCGATATCATCAGACGCCTCAGACCGCGAGCTTGAGAAACTCGATCCGCTCGTTGAAGAATCAAGAACACCAGCATGGCTCAGCGGAAAGCGTCAACCCAGCTGGCAGAACTGGCTGGTGCCAAGCCGCTTCTGCTGTATGCTAGTTGGACTGTTCTTTGTGACACTGATACTACTTCTTGGCGCTGGTGGGCTCTGGGTAACTAAGGTGGGAGGTGTTCCTGAAGACGGTCAGTCAGAGCCATGCTATCCATCACCACAGGGCGGCACGCTCAAATCCTGGAAAGAGAGCTATGCGAAGGCTGCGGACTTGGTCAAGCAGATGACATTGGTGGAAAAGGTGAACATCACTACAGGCACGGGCTGGTCCATGGGGCCATGTGTAGGCAACACTGGGCCTGTTGACAGGCTCGCCTTTCCAAGCTTGTGCTTACAAGACGGTCCTCTCGGTCTTCGATTCGTTGACAACGCGAGCTCCTTCCCAGCAGGCATCACCGTCGGCGCAACATGGAACAAGGATTTAATGTACGAGCGAGGAAAGGCGCATGGTCTTGAGGCCAGACTGAAAGGCATCAATGTAATCCTCGGACCATCAATGGGTCCGCTTGGTCGTCTTCCGGCCGGAGGCAGAAATTGGGAAGGATTCGGGTCTGATCCAGTACTCCAAGGCATTGCAGCTGCGCAAACCATTCGCGGCATTCAGGACTCTGGCGTCATCGCGACAGCCAAACATTTCGTGGGCAATGAGCAGGAACATTTCAGACAGTCATGGGAATGGGGCACGCCGAACGCCATCTCTTCCAACATCGATGATCGCTCTCTGCACGAACTCTATGCATGGCCCTTCGCCGATTCCATCCGTGCTGGTGTTGCGTCAGTCATGTGCAGCTACAACCAGGTAAACAATTCATACGCCTGCCAGAACAGCAAGCTCATGAACGGCATCATCAAGGATGAAATGGGCTTTCAAGGTTTTATTCAAAGCGACTGGCTGGCCCAGCGATCAGGCGTCGCGAGTGCTCTAGCTGGTCTGGACATGAGCATGCCTGGAGATGGACTTAGATGGCAGGATGGCGAGACGCTTTGGGGTGGCAAACTTACACACGCTATCTTGAATGGCTCGGTGCCCATGGATCGCCTAAATGACATGGTCCTGCGAGTTGTCGCTGCTTGGTATCAGCTTGGACAAGACGATAAGAATAAATGGGGCAACAACTCTTTGAGCAGTGCCGCCACCTTCAGCAGCTGGAGTGACAAGGAGACTGACATCTTGCACCCTGGCTCACCTGGAAGTAAGGAGAAAGGCGTCGTGAACAAGTTTGTGCCAGTCCGACACACCACTGAAGGCGGAGACCACGACAATCTCGCGCGGAAAATTGCTGCAGAGGGGATCGTTCTGGTCAAGAACGACGACTCTGTTTTACCCATCAGCAAGGACGGCTCAAACATTCTCCAAACTACGTCTACAACAAGCTCCTCGAAGAAGGTCAGAGTCGGCATCTTTGGTGAAGACGCCTTCGCCAACCCACGAGGACCAAATGCATGTGTTGATCGCGGCTGCAACGAGTACACGCTCGCTGCAGGCTGGGGCTCTGGCGCCTCCGACTTCCCATATCTTGTTGCACCTTTCGATGCACTAAATGCAACCTTTGACCATGATGCCGTAGCCATCACTGCGCATCGTGAGCAAGCTGCGAAATCTGCGGGTCGTATTGCAGAGGAACAAGATTTATGTATCGTCTTTGCGACATCCGATTCAGGGGAAGGCTTTCTAAGTTGGAGTGATGTCAAGGGCGACCGGCCTGCATTGAAGGTGCAAAAGGATGGCGATGCTCTCATCGCCGCAGTCGCCGAAAAGTGCGGAAAGTCAAGTGGTTCTGCAGCCAACACTGTCGTCGTGCTTCACGCGGTGGGACCAACAATTTTGGAAAAATGGATTGACCTTCCTGGAGTCAAGGCCGTGTTGCTTGCTCATCTTCCTGGTGAGGAGTCTGGCAACGCTCTAGTAGATGTGCTTTTTGGCGACGTGAATCCATCTGGTCGCCTACCCTACACCATCGCGAAGAATGAAGATGACTATGGTCCATCAAGCAAGATCCTCACAATGCCGAATCATATCGTACCTCAGCAGAACTTCAGCGAAGGTCTTGACATTGATTACCGCTACTTCGACAAACACAACATTGAGCCACGATATGAGTTCGGATACGGCCTTTCATACACGCAATTCCACCTATCTTCCATCCTCGTCAATCCCATCACTGTGAGAGGCAATCAACCAGCCAAGCGACCAGATGGCCTACAACCGCCGCAACTTGATAACACAATCCCGGGCTCAAGCACGGCCGTCTTCCCAGAGGGCTTCCGAAAGCTGAAGAAATACATCTACCCTTACATCGAAAAAGCAACCTCGACCCCACCAAAGCAAACTCCAGACTACCCACCCACCTTCAACCCCAGCAACCCACACCCACCCTCACCAGCCGGTGGCGGCCCAGGCGGAAACCCCGACCTCTTCACCAAAGTGGCCACAATCCAAGCCTCCCTCGCCAACACCGGTCCCGTCTCCGGCTCCGCCGTCGTCCAGCTCTACATCTCCTTCCCTCCCGAAGTCCGCGACATCGATGGAGAACTCGTGGACATGCCGGTGAAAGTGCTACGAGCTTTTGAAAAAGTCTTTGTCGAGACTGATAGGCGGGAAGAGGTTAAGCTGGAATTGACGAGACGAGATCTCAGCTTTTGGGACGTTAAAGCCCAGAATTGGATTTTGCCGAAGGGGGATTTCACGGTGCGGTTGGGGTGGAGTTCGAGGGATTTGGGGCAGGAGGTGAAGTTTAATCCTTTTGGGTTGGGGGTTTGAGGATGGAGATGGGTGTGGATAGGGTGGGTATAGGATAGATGATACCTGGGTAGTGTTTATTGTGTAGAGAGGTAACCTGGAAAGAATCGATGAATCCTAGATTATTGTGTTCGTGCATCCTCGAGCTGAAGGAGCCAAACTTTCACAGCCTAAGACGTTCTCCTTGAATCTGCCCGCGCAGCATGTATGATGTATCTAGGAGATTTCTCATTCGTGACAGCATTAAATGCATTCATTGGTGCGTCCATCACGCGGATCATTGATGAAGCCGGACTGCTGCATATTGCGGCCCTCCATCAAGATCTTGACGTGGTCAAATACATGCGTGAGAAGGTATACGGCGTGCCGACCTGGATTTGATTCCCGATCCCTATCAAGCGACCGAGGGCGTCAATGGTTGCGCTTTGCACAAGGTTGTGTCGGGTACTGCTCTTGGGAAGAAGCCGTCGCTCGAACTTGTGCAATTCTTGCTCGATGCTGGGGCAAATGCGGACCTTGAAGACGAATTGGGACGCACGCCGCTGGATATCAGTGAAGCCTGGGGCGATGGGGCCAGAGATGGCATTCGAGATGTCCTGAGAGCCAAGATGAGAAAGCCGTGATGCTTTGAAGGCGTCGTCTGTGCAATTGGTAGCGCTATATCACAGTCATACCGGGATACGATCGACGACATTGTGTCTGTGTCGCGTGTGAAAGATGAACGCGGATTGAGGTCGTTGTCTTGGAAGCATTGGCGCGCACAGAATCACCTGGAAGTCAGAGCAGCCACATGTAGACGCCGGCAAGACCTGCATCTCAGACATTGCCGAGCCGATCTCGTATCATCTACGGCTGCCTAGAGATCGTTGATACTACGAGCTCTAGTGCCCGCCCATGCCCGACGGTTGCACAGCAGCAAATTCAAACTATGCCTTCTTCTTCCGAAAGACGCGCCCAGAAACCAAGTCTGCACCATCGCACATCTTCGACAATCCACTACCAGACATTTCCCACCGCGCCTCCCAAGAACGCTGGAAAGCCGCCGCCCAAGCAGGACATGAAACCCAATGGCGCGCCTGCACCGTCCTCCTCAAACCTCAGTCGATCAGAATCCCATGACTCCGAGTCGCACCACGAAACACCCTTACCGAAGGCTCAGCTCGCCATATTGGCCGTGATCGCATTGGCAGAGCAGACGGCACTGAACAGCATCTCTCCATACCTTCCAGACATGGCAGCATCATTTCCAGACGTGGAAGAGGCAGAGATAGGCATGTACGTGGGCCTCATAGCTTCAGCATTCGCACTGGCGCAATTCGCGACCAACTTTATGTGGGGCTGGTTATCGGACAGAGTTGGGCGGAAACCAATTGTGCTGACGGGGACGCTTTTGACCGCTGCCTGTTTTGTCGCATTCGGATTCAGTAAGACGTTATGGCAGGCGATAGTGGTGCAGGCGTTGATGGGACTTGTGAATGGCAACCAGGGCGTCATCAGTACGTGTTTGGGAGAAATTACAGATCGCTCGAACCAGGGTCGAGCCTTCACATACTTGCCAGTGATCTACGGAATTGGTGGGATCACAGGACCGCTGGTGGGCGGGCTACTGGTCTTCAGGCAGAACCCATTTGACAAGAGCAAGGCGAATCCATACCCGTACTTGCTGCCAAATCTTTTTGCAGCTGGAGTACTAGTAATCGACTTCGTGCTGACTTCAATCTTCTTGAACGAGTCACTGGACACAAGCGGTGAGCTTCCGCCGTTGAAGAAGCGAGTGGAAAGCTTATTTGCTTGGATATGGCAGTTCACGAGCTCCTCCAGGCCAACATACATGCGAAGAGCGCAGAAGTCTTTCGAGACAACGAGCGGCGGACATCGTCTTGCGTCAGAAGAAGTGATTGAAGATGAGGACGACGACGAAGACGACGACGAAGATGACGAAGACGAACCTAATGAGAGAACCTCACTCTTCGCGCACAACCAGGAGGAGCTTGATAAAAAGGACGTATTCAATCGCGACACCATATTGCTCTTGATCTCGTACCTGATCTTTCAACTGAGCAACGTGAGCTTCAACTCACTATATCCCATCTTCTCCGAAGCGAGACCACCAACTGGTCGCAACCTGTCGCCGGAAGAGATTGGTACAAGTTTGGCATTTGCTGGATCTGTGACCATTATCTTCCAAGTCGGTATCTTTGGAAAGTTGAGAGAGAAGATGGGCAACAAGACAACTTATCGTATCGGGCTCGCAGGTTTCGTGGTGGCGTTCCTTCTCATGCCGTGGGTAGGATACAAGGACAATTCCGATGGAACCCATGAAGCCACCCAAATGGGCAAGGTGTGGCTGTGGGTTGAGCTTGGTGGTGTGCTCCTCATCAAGACTGTTGCCGCTGTAGGCGGTCTCACTTCAGCACTTCTGCTCATCACCAATAGTGCGCCATCACACGCTGTGCTCGGAACACTCAATGGCCTAGCGCAAACCCTCAGCGCAGCAGGACGTGCGGTGGGTCCTTTCATCAGCGGCTCACTCTTCAGCGCCGCGACTCATGTTGAACCTAAAGGAGAAGCAATGGCATTTGGAATCTTTGGCGGCATTTCATTCATTGGATTCCTGATGAGCTTTGGTATTCGAAGTGCAGGTCTGGAAGCAGACGGGTGGGACGAAAGCACGTCTACCGACGAAGAGGATGCTGGCAGTGATTCATCTTCAGATCGACGAGTGAGGAGATGAGCGAAGACGTCGAATATTTAGTAGCATTGCATTTGCGAGCTTAGCGAGGAGTTCTGGGACAGCGCTGTACAGAATTGCGCATGGGCGAAAGGTTTTGAATGATTGTATATGATGCTGACTATGTATAGCCAATGAATACAGACGAATATGTATCAGCCTAATTCCACACCCTGGCAAAGTCTCGGGAGCGGTGAATGAATGGTACCACTATCAACAGTCGCACCACGGACACGCTGGCATCTCGTGGAGCTTCCATCAACGAGCGACCCGCAAACCGGAGTTGAAGATCGAACTCCGCAAAAGAATGCATACTAAAGGCTGATCGCCTCTTGTGCCCCACATCACTCTGGAGCTGCCTGTCTGCCTGTAGAAAAGACAGCTCCAGCTGTTTATATACGAAAGTTCACTTCCTGACTGCATCCCACTAGAGGATCAACGACAAAAACTTTCACCCGATCAACCAAGAAATCAACCACCAGCAAACCCTCAGACCATCACATCACAATGCCAGACCAAGAATCCCCCTTCACCCCATCCTTCGACCACCTCGTCACCCAAACCCTCCAACGCCATCACTGTCCGGGAGCCTCCATCTCCATAATCCACAACAACCACACCTCCTCCAAAGCCTACGGTTACTCCGACATCAAATCCCGCACCCCAGTAAAATCCTCCCAAACCCTCTTCTACGCCGGCTCAACCACAAAAGCCATGCTCTGCGCCGCCTGGGCAATCTACATAAACTCCCCCACCAACACCTCCAAACCCGCAAAAAATCGAATTTCTTTCTCCACCCCCCTCGCGTCCCTCATCCCCGAAGACTTCCTCCTCTCCGACCCCGTCCGTACCGCGCAAGTTACTTTAGAAGATGTGTTATCTCATCGAAGCGGCATGACGCGTCATGAACTTTCCTATGGATTTCACGGCGTGGACACTCCAAAACTGATTACGAGAAATTTGCGAAATCTGCCGCTCCATTCCCTCTTTGCGATTCGGACGAGATTCGAGTATTGTAATACGGGATATGTGGCTGCTTCGCACGCTTTGGAAGTCGTGGCGAAGGAAAATCTCGGGGATATTTTACAGGGATGGATTTTTGAGCCGTTGGGGATGAGGGATACGTTTGCGGGGTTGAGAGAGACCACTGGGACTCGGCGGGAAGACTTGGCGAGGTTGTATTCTTGGTGTGAGAACGAAGGGGTGCTGAAGGAGGAGGCGTTTATGGATCTATCGGGCGTCACGGGTGCCGGGTATGTGATTTCCACGGCGGAGGATTTTGCGAAGTGGATGGGGTGTTTGCTGGCGCCTGGGAGAGGAGGAGGAGGGCCTTTGAGTGAGGAGATTGTGGAGGAGGTTTTTAAGTCTCGGATTCCGGCGACTTCCAGAGGGGCGGATTCTGTGCCTTTGGATGGCGGGTTTGCGAATTATGCGTTGGGGTGGTTTGTTGGGGTTTATAAAGGACGAAGGGTGTATTATCATGCTGGAGGGGTTGTGGGGGGTGGAAGTCGGGTGATGCTCTGTCCGGAGATTTCTTGGGGAGCGACGTTTTTGAGTAATGGGGATATTTCGGGGTTCTTGCTCAAAGGGCTTTTGTTTGAGCTTTTGGACGCGGCGTTGGGAGAGGGAGAGGGAGAGAGGAGGGGATTTGAGCAGTGTGAAGCGGCGGTGCCGAGATTGTTTGAAGAGTTTTCGCTGCAGTGCGAGAACGCTTTTAAGAGGGTGCTTCCGAATTTGCCGGAGAGGCCGACGGTGTCGCTCGCGCTGCCTTTGGACCAGTATGCTGGCACCTTTAGAAATGTTGGATATGGGAGCTTGGAGATCAGGGTTGGGTTGGATCCTAGTAGTGGTGAAGAAACGTTGCTGTGCGACATCGAAGACAGAACATGGAGAGCCAAATGGACGTTTCGAAGGATCAATGGCGAGCACTGGCGCATTGATTCAGATCAAAGTCGCTGGCCTGATACAAGGAGAGCGGAGAGCAGGGTCGAATACGATGGTAGGATCTCTTGGGGTATAGCGATGGAGCCTTCTATGCTGGAAACATTGATCTGGTTTCACTAAGACATCAAGGTGCAGGGCAAGCTTTCCTGAGCGGTTTTCTTGACAAATGCCTAATATTGATTGCTTGTTCGTTAGATTTTTGTTGATCAGCTTGTAGATACTTGTGTAGTCCAGGTCTTTGACATGATCATCCTCGAAAGCTCTTTGGTACCTGGAAATGAATGAAGCGTGCCACGTCAGCGCATGTGGAAACCAAGCTGGAGCAAGTAACTCACATTTCCAATGCTCTATCACCCATAGTCGGCTCAATGCCCACCTCCTTTGCGGCCGCAACTCCCAGTCCTAGATCTTTCATCATCATCGCATGCCCCAAACTCCTTTCCCAACCTCGCGAACTTGGCGCCGACTCGACTAAGCCTGGAACAGGTTGATGATTCTCAGCCATCCAAGATTGCCCGGATGAGGATTTGATCACGTTGAAAAGAGTCTGGGGATCGACACCAGAGAGGATGCCAATCGACATTGCTTGGGAGATGGCAACATTAAATGTGCCCGAGAGATAGTTGTTCGAGATTTTGTCGGCCAGACCTGAGCCGAGAGGGCCACAGAAATACACCTTTCCAGGGTTTCCCATTTGGTGAATCAGTGACTGGATTCGCTTTTTTGTCGAAGATGCAGCGGGTGGGTGGCCGATCATGAAGCTAGGCCACCGTCTGCCGCGCGAGCTATGCCGCCCTAGCTGAACTTGGTTATTAGTCGTAGAGCTTTGTGAAGATGCGGAAACTCAGCTCGTATCTTACGGAGACTGGTGCATCAACGTAGGTACCTACGCCTGCTTTCATCAATTTCTCGCCGACATTTCTCGTGGTTGCAGGATCTATGGTGGAACTGTCGACAAGCAGTGTGTTCTTCAGATCAATACTCGAAACGGCGGCAATCACTCCTGTTTGAGGATCCAGGTATATCTTCCTAGCATCGTCTGATCGTGGTACCATCGATATTATTGTGCCCGCTTTCTCAGCGGCTTCCTTTGTCGTGCCCACAATTCCGACATGTCTATGGCTGCTGAATTCTGCGACGAATCGCGTGCAAGCATCGGCATTCGGATCGTTTCACATATAGTGAAGCTTCACGTGGCATCTTCTTTCTGAGATTCGCAGCCATGCCATATCCCATTGCTCCGATGCCTGAAGAAGAGCTTAGAGGCGACATCTGAATCTTGAAGATACGTACGTGCGTACCAATGAATGCGATGATATCTTCCATATCGCTAGACATCCAAGGAGTGAGAGGGAATCATTGTTACAGCGGAAAGAAGTCGATGACCAACATTAGAAGGAAATTACCAGCCTCCTATTCCAGCTACGATCAATGATCTGAATCTATCTTTCCCAGGCGGCTCGCTCCAAGGGAGCTCCTTCGAGCTTCCACCCCGCACCATCTCGAACGACGACCGAGCAGTTGATCAAGTGGCGGAGAGAATTGACAGGACATGAGACTCATTGCTCGAACTTCGAAGGGTAAATTTCACGCGCTAGACACAGGTCAAATTCGCGTTAGATCTTCTTTCGTGTCATTCGATGATGAAGAGGCTGTGGTGTAGGATGCAAACGTCGAATTGCCCAGTCTGTTCCATAGAGTCGATGTCTTGATTGGTATGTAGATTTGGGGCGCAGAGATGTTGAAGCGAGGCGAGGCAAGGTAGTCGACCTGGAGTCGAGAGAGGGAGGGAGAGAGAGAGAGAGAGAGTCGGGGCGGGGCTCGGGAGTGAACCCTGCAGGCGATCACGCTAGCCAAAACTCTATCTGGAACTTTTTGCGACGAGCAGAGCAATTCGAGAATTCCAAGCTTTCCGCTGCATTTGACTACTTTGTACTCCGGTCGCAGCCATGGCCAAGATCAAGAAGAAGGGTAGGCAATCCAGAGATGTAGAAGCTGTCATCATGCTAACGCTCATGCTTAGGAACGTCAGGAAATGCGAAGAACTACATCACCCGCTCGCAAGCAGTTCGCAAGCTTCAGATATCTCTGCCAGACTTCAGACGACTATGCATATTCAAGGGTGAGACTTGATCTTTTCAGAATCCAGAGATGCTTTAAACTAATATACTTCGAAGGCATCTACCCGCGCGAGCCTCGATCGAAGAAACGAGCGTCAAAGTCCTCCACACCGTCGACGACCTTCTACTACACCAAAGACATTCAATACCTCCTCCATGAACCACTCCTTGCCAAGTTCCGCGACCAAAAAGCACTCGCCAAGAAGATCAGCAAAGCGCTTGGTCGTAATGAGGTCAGCGATGCCTCGCGCCTCGAGCGCAACCTTACACCAAAGATGAAGTTGGACCACATTATCAAAGAGCGATGTCCTACCTTCGTCGATGCACTAAGAGATCTAGACGATGCGCTGAGCATGCTGTTCCTCTTCGCAAATTTACCCAGCACAAGCGATGTGCCCCCCAAGATCATTGCGAAATGTCAGCGATTGACCATGGAATTCGAGCACTACCTGATTCGGACCCACAGCTTACGAAAGAGCTTTTTGTCAATCAAGGGAATATACTACCAGGCGACGATACAAGGACAAGACATCCTCTGGCTTGTGCCTTACAGGTTCGTGCAAAGGACTGCAGGCGATGTGGACTTCCGCATCATGGCCACCTTTGTGGAATTTTACACCACTTTGCTTGGCTTTGTTAATTACAGGCTGTATACGGGCATTGGTCTGGTGTACCCACCAAAGTTTGATCTCAAGAGCGAGGAGCAGGGCGCTGAACTGGGCGCATTCCAACTGGAACACAAGGACGGCAGCTCAGAAGAGGCGGAGCAACAGCAACTGTCAAACGTGGCTGCGAATGAGAAGACACAAGCAGAGGCCGACAAGCTACTGTCGCTCCCCGCAGAAGAGGAGCCTATGACTTCGCAAACATTACAAGGAGACGAGGATGAAGCGGAGAATGGCACCAGAACTGCTCTCGATCAATTCGAATCTGTTGATCCCACCGCGGACTCGCTCCTGCAGCCGTCCAAGACTGCAGATGTTGAGACAGCTGCCAAGCTTTTCGAACCCTTCACCTTCTATCTCTCCCGAGAAACACCAAGACATCCTCTGGAATTCATCCTCAAGGCTTTTGGTTGCAAGCGAGTGGGGTTCCCATCTCTTGAGGGCGAGGCCGGAAGCTATTGTACGGAAGATGATTCCAGGATTACGCATCAAATTGTGGATAGGCCCGACATTCCTCTGCCATCCCCGCCACCAGAGGACGATGACGACGAGCCAATGCTTGACGATGGCGTAGACGACTCGGCAGCCATACGAAAAGCCAACGAGCGTGTGCCAGGACGGACGTACGTGCAGCCTCAGTGGGTCTGGGACTGTATCAATGCCGGGCAGCTCTTGAGAGCCGACCTCTATGCACCTGGAGCCACATTACCGCCCCATCTGAGTCCATGGGTGAAGGCGAAGCAAGGCGAGTACGATCCTACGAAGCCTCTTGTTGAGCAGGAGACCGAGGCCGAAGCTGCGGCCGCCGATGACTCTTCTGAAGAGGATGACGAGGAGGACGAGATTGAGGAGGGCAGCGATGGCGAGGAGGTTGATGGAGTGCAAAACGACGAAGAAGCTGAGGAGTTGGAGGGCACTCTGCAAGGGCAAGAGGTTGAACAAGGAGAAGGTATGGACGTGAATTTGGCCGACTCTGATGATGAATCAGGGTCTGATGTGGCGAATGGCGCAGAAGATGATGACTTTGGAGGCTTCACCGATAACGACGAGGAGGAAGATGAGGCCACGCGGGAGGCAAGAGAGCACCAAGCAGAACTGGAGGCAGAGGCTCTAGGAAAGACAGTGAAGCCGAAGGATGCCAAAGAGAAGAAGAAGGCTGCGAAGGCTCAAGCCCAAGTCAGGCGGACGAAAGCTGAGCGAGAGGAAGATGAGGCCAAGGAGAGGGCGAAGATGATGTTGTCGAACAGGAAGAGGAAGGCGTACGAGAAGATGGTGTACAGCAATGCCAAGAAGGATGAGGAGTCTGAGAAGCTCAGAAGTAAGCGAAGGAAGCTCGAGAAGGCTGCAGCCAAGGGCAAGGCATAAGTCTCGTTAGATGTTTGGCATAGCGTAGGCGCTGTGTGTGCAGTGCAGTGCAGTGCCTCTGAAAAGTGCGTTGACCAAATATTTGAAGGGCAAATTGACGAGTTGGCGTCATTTCCAAAGTTGAGAGCTTCGCACACCAAAGCGCCGAACGTGTCTCCTTGAGCCGTGATATTCTCTGCGCATATCATGCCAGCAATGAGCATACGATGATCCTGTCTGTGCAAATATGGATGTCATCCGCCAGGTCTACAACGACCGCCCAAAGACCGCCGTCTTCACAATCGCGGCGACACTGCGAATACTCCTCGCCTTGACCTTCCCAGGCCTGCCAGATCTCCTCACCGGCAGAGTCGAGATCTCTACTCCAGTGAACAGTTTCAAGAGATGTATGTGAGAGATACAAGGATGCATTCTGAGCCACACAGGCTAAGTCACGGGCAGGAGCTGAGCTGAGACTGCGCAGTACAGGAAGGCTTGTTCCTCTATGAGAGAGGACTGGATCCATACGATGGAGGCATATTCCACCAGGTCAGGCACAGAAACATGCTGTGAGATTCATTGCTGATACGATCTAGGCGCCTCTATTCTTGCCTCTCTTCTCTCTGCTGCCTTCGCCAGCAACCGCACTCGGCCGCATAATCAGCGTTGCCTTGTACACGGCGTTGGACATACTATCTGCGGACTGTCTATTCGACATAGCACAGTCCGGTGCGGCGGCAGCTTCACTTCTATACACATCGCCTAGACACACTCGAGCTTGGAGACCTGCGTCAGTCGCGGCAGTGTACCTATTCAACCCCTACACCATTCTGGCATGCCTGGGACGACCGACGACAGCCTTCGCCAGCTTTTTCACGCTCTTGAGCATCAAGCATGCTTGTCAGGCGAAGATCACGACGGCAGCCTTCGCGCTGGCAATAGCGAGCTACACAAGTCTCAGTCCGATTCTCCTCCTGCCTCCAGTCGGTCTCTTCTGCTACGACCAGTTCTGTGTCCAGCTTGCTGGCAGTGCTACAAAGACCGATAGCGGGACATCAGGCACACTCACGGCAAAGAACACGAAGATTACTCATAATCCAGAGCTCCTCCCTTCAAAGCTGCCATTCGCAGCAGTCTTCATCACAACCTTCGCAGTGTCAACAGCATTCCTGCTCATCCTCTCAAGAACCCTCCTTCCATCCTGGTCCTTCCTCGAATCCGTCTACAAAACACCCCTCACCCTCCCGGACCTCACGCCAAACCCAGGACTCTGGTGGTACTTCTTCATCGAAATGTTCGATGCATTCCGAGAATTCTTCCTCGGAGTTTTCTGGCTCCACATGCTTTCCTACAGCATCCCATTCTGCCTACGTTTCCGAAAACAACCCCTAGCCGCCATCATCCTCATGATGGGCATCACCTCCGTCTTCCAACCTTACGCCAATGCCGGAGATGTCGGAGCGTGGCTTTCGAGTTTGTGTTTGCTAGGCCATGTATTCGACCTATGCTCGACGCATAGATATACATTCCCTGCACTCGCAGCTCTACTCTACGCGAGTCTGTTAGGTCCAGCTTTCCATCATCTTTGGATCTATGCTGGTTCGGGAAACGCAAACTTCTTTTACGCTATTACATTGGTGTGGAGTTTGGCATTGTTGATCCTGCTGACGGATACGCTGTATGCACTTTTAAGGGATGAGTGGGAGATGGAAAGACCTGAGGGGACGGGAAAGGAGATTAGACAGATATGATAGAATCCAGTCAGATTCACCTCACCTCTCGAATGCATTGCCGGTATACACTCCGTGAAATTGGGACATGACCTAGCGTCTTGGAATTCCTACCCAATGAAATGCTTGAGGAACGGCTTCAATCCCGTTGTTGAAACTCGTTGTGCAACTCGGCAGAAGAAGATGAGGAATGACTTGCAAGCATTAATTCGGTAGCCAATAGGATGGGTTTCTTTTGGGTGAGGTGACGAGGGGATCAGGAGATGGATCAGGGGATTTGTGGTGGTATTTACTACTACATGCCGACAACTCTTGGGGTTGGCGGATTCTCGTGCGGAATGATAGAAGTAGTAGATGTTGTCAATCGTGGTGATATAATAAGAGAGGTGGTCGGGCTCGTACTTCGTTCACGTCTTCTTCTCATGCCGGTTGAGATCTAGCTTGCAGGTCCAGGTCCAGATCCATTCTGTCTTCCTTGGTTATATATATAGGTAGTTCTCTCACCTCGAAGAACCCAAACAAAGCCTATGATCTCTATCCCGTGCCGCTTCTCATTTTCATCATCGATCAACATCAGCCTTTCGTAGAATACTGTAACCACCCAGAATTTTTCCGTCACGTACGCTTTTCACCGTTGTTTTTCCTCCTCCGCCGTTGCCGTATCTGAGGCTGTGATATGGCCAACGCACGCCTCAAATTTTCACAATCGATGCTTCTGCTCGCCAAACGCAAAAGCCACGGGCGTGAATCACATCTCAACGGAGTCGTTGGCGGAGCTATGCTGTTGTCGACAAGCTTGTTGGCAGATCTGAACATGTTATGATTGGTAGCCGTGGAAAGGAAGGGCCTGTGCCTACACTGTTTGCGAAGGTTTCCGCTCCTACATACCTCGCGAAAGAATGCGCGAGGCAAACGCGCGTGCACGGACATCCAGTTGCAGTTGCAGCATACCCTATACACAGATCATATCATACACCTCGGTCGCGATGCTCACGGTGCTCGAGTTACATTCAATCCCCACGACCACGACCTCCTCTCCCACGACCTCTGCCGCCCCCACCGCCTCCACCTCCACCTCCACCTCTCCCACGACCATCCCCCCTCCCACCTCTAGGTCTGCCCGCCCCACGCCGCTTAACAGAGAAATCAATCTTAATAAGCGGCCGTTCAACCCACTCAACACCCTCAAGCCCCAATTTCCTCTTCTCCTCAGCCGGAATCCTCCAGGCCTGGAAGACGCCCATCAAAGCTTCTAGACCATGCTGATCGCGGCCAACATGCCGAAGTTCCGGGATCCACGTGCGGCAATACTCGCCATTGCTATCATAATCCACCGCTTGCTTCACCGGATTGAAAACTCTCGCATCGCCCCTCGGATCATTGCCGACGCCTGCGACGTATTGCCAATTGCCCCAGTTGGAGGATACGTCGTAGTCGATGAGGTTTTGTTCATACCATTCCGCGCCGATTCGCCAGTCGATGCCAAGATGTTTGGAGAGGTAGGATGCGACGTTCTGACGCGCGCGATTCGATGTCCAGCCCGTGGTGAAGAGTTCTCGTTGCGAGGCATCGATGAGTCCTGTGCCTGTTCGGCCTTGGAGGAAGCGTTCTACTGTGATGCGCGTGTCTTTGTCATTGACGCCGTTCGTGTTCTTCTTGTTTGTAGAGGTCGTGTATGGTGAGCTGATGAATTTGTCTTTGGCCTGCTTGTCGCCTCGATAGCCGTCCAGGTAGAAGAGTCGGGTGCCAAACTTCCTTGTGCAAAGGCGCATGTAGTCTCGCCAGAGTAGCTCAAAGCGAACGCCGGCAGTGCCCTTTCATACACATTAAAAGTGATTGGTGAACGAGGAATGGGCCAAGACTTACTATGTTCTCGCCTTTGCCGTATCCATCTGCATTTTTTCCAACACTGCCTTTACCGTCCTCGAAGTCGATGAGCTGCCAGTGCACTTGGCGGGCAGACACACATCCGAGGGCCAGCCAGGCCGAGAGCTTAGTGCTAAAGTCCAATCCAAGCAAGCCATTTCGGGTGTCTTTGTAGGATGTCATGGACCCAGATTCGATCAAGTGCTGAACACGTTCGTGCCCAGCTTTCGACCCACCTGTGAAGGGATGCGCAGATTCCGCGCCCTGTGGTAGCTTGGGCATATCACTGATGCCCACTGAATCATCCAGTGGCTTGTGCAGCGCTGCTATAACTTCCTCCAGAGAGTTGGGAATCGCGAAAGGTGCGGCCTGCTCAGGAATGTGATCAGGCAGAGGCGGTAGACCGCTTGGCGCAGGGTGAGCCTTTCGTGGAGCATCTCGCAATGGTTCCACTGTCTTGCGGAAGGAAGTAAATACATCTGGCAGGTCCCGGGCGTCTTTAGTGGGTATGTCTCGGCTGTTTTACGTTAGCGATGCTCAATGATCCTTTGCGCCAGCTGTACGCACTCGTCCACAAAATATTTCTCGTCCGTCCACAGCTTGAACTCCTTATTTTCTTTAGTGAGGAGGGTCCTCACAGCTTCTTCTTCATTCTTCTCCTCCCAGCCCTCCTCAGCGGTCATCCATAGACCATGTATCTCTGCATCATCCCTGCCACGATAACCTTCCAGAATGGACTGAACAGCATCCTTCACCGATCCTACACGGACAATGAGATCGCTGGAAAGCTGATTAAGATCTTTCTTAACGTCCCATACAGACTCGGCTGTGAACTTGGCGCGACGCTTTCCACATCTCCAGAAGCCACCGACTCTACTTCGTGCTTCAGGATAGGGTGACTTTTCTCGTGGAGATTTCAGAAAACCGGATACTTCAACCTGTTCAGCAGGGAAGACGAACATCGGCAAGACATGGGTGAACGGCTTTTGTGGCTGTCCATTCAATCGCGACAGCTCATGCAGGACAGGGTTGTCTGCTAGTCGAAGATCCCGGCGTAAGAGGTAGATCAGAACGCGTTGCATTATCTTGAGAGTTGGAAGCTGAGTCCGAGGGAGCAGGAGTGGGATCCGAAGGGAAATTCGACCGGTCAAGGGTATATCAATCGTTCATGCCCGAGGAATGGGGCCGGATTCCAAAAGCACTAGCTCTAATGTCTGTCTTGGCGCTCATCGGTACAAACAGTAGAATTCCAGAAGGTCGAATAGTGGTCCTCAAGCCTTCTGCAGCTGCCGATCCTGGGCAAAGGGAAATTGCCTAGTCGTCAAGAGCTGCGAACAGACAGGAACAGTGGCAGGTCATGGCACTTGCGGAGGTGTTTTGCAGCAGCGGTGTGGTCCAGCGGCAGATCCATGCTGTAAACAAAAGGCATAGTGAAGAGCGTGTCATAGCTGGAGCAGTGGAGGCGAGCGCTAGCCGACCAAAGAGAGGGCACCACGAGTCTCCAGCGTGCTCTCGAGTGTGATATAGGCAGATATCTGAGATCTGGGCGACAAAGTAGCGTCTTGGACCAGGGAATAGAGATCGATGTGCATAAGAGATGCGGCAAGTGGCTAGTGGAGATCGCGCCGTGCATGTGGCCACTTTTACCGGTGCTTGATGACATGCGAGATCTGAAGATTGCAGCAAGGATGCCCGTGTCCGCCGGTCGTTTGCGTTCCTCTTCCGAATTCTTCGTGCATCAACATCGGATTCAAGTCCTGCGACTCTTGCTGCTTCCGTGACACAAAATGCTCCCGGTCTGGAGGTCAGCGCAGGAACACAGTCAGACCGTCATAGTAGTGCCACCACTGGAGACGTGCCTCAGTCCCAAGATGATGCGTGTGAGTGGTTGTCAATGACGACCTCGGTGGTGGACGTCGTCATGGAGAGCCCCTGCGTGTCCCTGGTTGCGGGTGGCCCCGAGCGTTCGCATCCGAACTCATGTGCGTCTTCTATAGGGTTCGGAATAGAGGCGCTGTGCTCGATGAACTACTACGCGCAAGATGTTGGAAAGACTGTACGATGGATTGAGAGTTGGGGAAGAGGCAAGCACTGTACTACATTCGGACCTTGTAACACAATCAACGCCACGACTTCCGACATGGCCTCAAGACGAAGCGTGTATGACGGATCGAAAGCAAATATACTTTATTTGAGCTTTTCCTGCTGATCCCTATCATACCATACATTCGTAACACGTCGTAGGCTACCTTGACCGCAGCTGCTCGATTTACTCCTCCAAATGATAGTCTTAAAGGTCGGTCTTGGGGACGAAGGGCTCAAGACGCTCCTTCAAATCCTCAACAGTGAGCTCGCTGCCGTCCCAATGCTCCTCGGCACCGGCCAATTGCTTTGGTGGGATCAAGACGTCGCCGACGACTTGAATGACGCCGTTTTCCACAACACCATCCTGGACTCTGACAGTAGCAAATCCATTCACCTTCATGCTGATGAAGCCACCGTAGCGGCCGACGTCGACACTGAGTTCACGGTCCTTGAGCATCGTTGGCAAATTGACATGGAACAGACCCTTCGGAATGGTCATGGCTTCAGTCTTTGGCTTGTAGTAAGCATCCGAGTAGAGAGTGTGGTATGGCACGACATGGTACTCAAGCAAGGCCTTGAGATACTTGCGACCATAATCCGAGAACAAGAAGGCGTTGATTCTTGGTCCCAATTTCTGGAAAGCAAAGTTGCTTGGGGCGAAGAATGTGCCACCACTACCCTCGCCTCTGGTTGTGTTGAGCTTTTCGAGCAGACCAGTCTTGCCAAGTCCGAGCTCAAGGGTGCTGAACTCTCCTGGGAACAAATCGATCGCCTTGATGGCAGATGGAGGTGGTAAGATCACGCTATCAACGCCGTGGATGACACCGTTAGTACCAAAAATGTTGACTGCCACAATGCGGCTGTAAAAATTGACAGATAGTCCATTAAGACCAATTCTGAACGTGAGGCGCTGTGGTTCCTCGTGGTCGCTCAGCTCCTTCGTCTTGAACAAACTCGGAGCAGTGTGGCTAACGAGGACACGTCCGGCAGGGTAAAAGTCCGGGATAACGTGGTATGCCAGAATCGCCTTGAGTACTTCCTTGCTCGGCTTCGGTGCGCCTTCCGGGACCTTGGCGAACGCTTTGTCCGTGGGAGCAAACACAGTAAAATTGCCAGCCGAGGTGGAGTTGAGAAGATCCACGATATCGTCGTATTCGGAAATGAGCTCTGCAAGCTTGGTGGTGTACTTGCTGCCAGCGATCATCTGATAGACAGTCTCATTTGGTTTGTGATGCGGTGGGTGGCTTGGCTTCTTGCCGTGGCCTGGCCTGTGATGACCGCCCTCGAGATTCTCAAGGATGTCGCTATCCTCCCACCAAGATCCGATGTCATGAGCAGCGTCTTCTACGCTCTTTCCAAATGAATAGACGTCGTCGGCTGCACGCTCGAAAGCGGCGTCCATAGTATTCTTGGCTTGCTTGCCACACCTATGAATCTTGCTCCAAGCATCCTTCCCGGCTTCGGAGACCTCTTCGAACTGCTCCTTGATATCTTTCAAGAGCTCATCCTTGGTGGCGGAAGCGGTTTCGAGCCAGCCATCGACACCGGTGTGCCCGTGGTGGTCCTCAATGGCAAGCTCTCCCAAGACCTGCTCGGAAGAGACGACGTAGGCGCTGGCGAGGGCCGCAAGCGGCAGGACGTTAGTGAACTTCATCTTCCAATAAGTCCTGGAGGTTAGGAGATGGAAAGACGAGGAGAAAGACAACTGGTAAAGAGATGCCTAGAGACCATACAGGTCCAGGAGCGAGTAGCAGTTTAAGGATGCAATGGCTTGTCAGCATGTACGTTTCGATGACGACGGGGGAGTTCTAAGCTTGCAAGACGTGCCAATAGAGCTTCATCGGTGCTCGGATTTCCGTTCTGCGAGTCGAATGCAGGAGTGCCGCAGGTGCACGTCGCAGGCAGGCTGCAGGCCTCGTAATCCAACGTCGACCGTCCCATGCTTTGTCAGTGAACTTTGGTGTGATTCTGTTGAGCACGATTCTCGAAAGGGGCAGGGGGTTTGCAGGAATCTGAGCAGCTCATCATTGGTCGCTCTTTCCTTCTCCGGAGAACTAGCGGGTAGTAAAACGTCAGAGCCTCGTTCTTGGCAAAGAGCTTGTGAAGTCGAAGGGCAGAGTCGCTGTATTTTCAGACGCTGAGACGAGCCGGCAGTCAGACTAGCATCGTAAGGCAAGTATTCCACAATTCTGGATGGCTGCGAGACAACGGAAGTCTTGTTGGAAGTCTGCGAAGATTGTGTGCAATGGTAGCGAAACAGAGACAACAGCATATTGCTGTAGCACTCCGCGGAGAGGGAGGAATACGGATTTCTGCGAGCGACGACGATCTCAGAATGCCTTGATACAGTATTCTAGGACCCGTATGAACTCCTCCTCTCCAAGATCAAGACATGCACATTCACTCACTTCTCACCCCATTGCAGCGTCGTGTGCATAATGCTGCACCCAGCATCTCTGTCTATATGATTCATCGTACTGCTCGCCGTCAGCACTGTCTGGAGAATGTCGCATTGTACAAGCGAGGACAATTGTGGTCGAAAGGGACTAGAACACAGTAATGCACTTTCTATCCCATATCAGCCATCGCCACAGGACTGCTGAAGCGGGACGAGAAGTGATTGTCTCATCGTTCGTTACGTCCGCTATGACCGGCTCGAGGTTGTGTATGGCTTGATTGTTTCATGCGCTGCAGGAACACATCCCCTGCGTTTGTGATTCGTGTCAGCGAGGCAGAGACATCCCGGTAAGATGTGTTGACGTCTGAGTCCAATGCCGGAAATTTACCTATTGAAGATAACCCAGGCCTCCAAATCTTCGCAAAGGTAAAGACGGCTTTTATAGCAGGTCAGAAGGTACAAAACGCGAGCAGAATTCGCATACAGGGTATTGTGTTTGCCGTGAGGCTTGCCAATCTTGAAGAACGCCGCCGCCCACCGCCAATAGTGTCGAATGTAATCAATGATGAACGATGTTTGGCAACAAAGGCGCAAACGATCCTTATCCAATTCTTCTCTCCAAATGCTCAACACGAGCACGAAATCCACGAACGATTTCTCTGATTCTCTTAATCTTGTCAAATTCCATTTCAAGCTCGTCGATTTGCTGTAGTATGGCTCGGAAACGGGCTATCTCAGCATCTGCCATTTGTATCGCATTGCCCGATCGATCGTATTGCGCTTGTGTAGCTCTTTCGGTGGCTTCGTTGAGCTAATGAACACCGACAAGTCAATACAAGACAAGTCACGGTTTCAGGATGTCCCAATGTTCACATACCTGCTCTAGTCTTTGCGCGATAGCCTGCATGACCCGATCGAAGTGTCGAGACAGCAATTGTAGACTTCCTGGATCGAGCAATAGCCGGCCCTGACTGCTGGCCTGAGATCCAGCTGAAGACCTGGAATCTTGATGGGCGCGCTGCTGGTGCTGGCGAAGCGTTGCAACATCTTGCGGCGAAAGACCCAAACGATTGTCGGCAATATATGCGGGAGGCGTGGCTGCTGCTGGCGGAGGGGAGCGGTGTTGAGATGGAGGCATCGATCATTACGGCAGCCAGCGCCATCTCACTACAGCTCATGTTTCGCGAGCAGGTGCATTGACGACGTCGCGCATGTGGTACCTACAGGAGAGGAGAGGAGTGTTTGTGGGCCACGAAGGGAAGTTGTGCTCGATGATGCGGTGGTGTCTGAGACAACAAGCTTGCCCATCTTTGTTTCTGCGACAGCCCGGGTTGCACAGAGGCTTGTGGGAGAGGAGTCAGTGCGGCATGCCTTGACTGAGAGGAGCGTGCGAAAGCAAGCCGCACAGTTCTATGCACGGCACGCCTGGTGTCGTCTCGTCTCGCCTCTCGACTCTCGAACAAGGCGAGAGTTTGACCGAGTGAGAATACCGCGCGCCAACCTGGCGCTGGCGCTTACAGTACGATGCTCCCCGTCCACGCACAACGCATGCCATCGTATCATCACCGTCTCTGCCTTTGCCTTTGCCGACCCTCCATCCCACCACACCCTGATAGCACAGCACGTGCCTGTCAAAGCGATGGGGTGCAGAGCCGATGCAGAGCGCATCCTGGTCGCCCAGCAAGGTTCTCCTCCCGCCTGCGAACACGAGCTCTCTGTCGCCGCCACGAGTCAGCGGGAAATATTGAGCGACTCATTATTGTCGAGAACGGTGCGGTGCGGCCGGGATGCCCTTCCCCACGGCACGTTGATAGGAGTCAAATATGATTGATATTGATTTGATGAGCGCACCGGACAAGCTCGGGAGGGAGGCAGGAATCCCTGAGCCCGCTCGTTGTGCTCTGGTGGCAGACAATAGTTATGCCCGGCGGATGTACGCAGCGCTAGAGCACCACAGCCTTACGCGGAGATGCGCGTACCAGCCAGCAACAATACCGGATGACAGGCTAATGTTGTGGTCCGACACGGCAGAGGAGAAGGCTCAACCGCTATGCCAAGGCCCGCCAGTGTGCGCCAGCATCATCATGCACCTGACTCTAGAGCAGTGAGCATGCTCTTCACGCTCGAATGCACTTGGAGCACAGCTGCGAGGCCCGAAGCAGGTCTCAAGAGCCTCTTGCAAGTCAGGATGGCACCCACGCTTCCCACCAGAGCGACTGAAATTGTCCGAGGACATCATCTCACAGCATGCACTAAGACTATGACAGGCTATGTATTCACACTATGCTGGAGCTGTTGTGAGTAGCTCAGTCAGAGGTGAGTGGCTAGTCGGGCATCACCCCGTTCATGCTCGGGTAGGGTCAGTGTCGCGTACATCATTGCCCAGATGATTACGAGCATGGAAGCAATGGTCCTTCGGAGCTGCTGTGAGTACTTTCATCGTACGTGGACCTTTAAAGAGGCCTCACAGTGCAGTGCTCAGCGCCCACATGATGAAAGTCTCCCTACGTTGCTTCAGTACCCGCTGGCGCGACACTGGGGAAGATCCAGAGCTGCTGCAATGAACTTGATCGTGCGTGCGGCGCAATCATGGGCTCACCGCGACACTCTCAAAACGAATAAGGAAGGCTATATTGCGCTCCTTGGACCTTCGTAAGCAGGATACGCGTCGTGCTTCGGAGCTAATTGAATTCCAGCAGTCATACATGAACTTCTCCACTTCACCTTGAACATCGGATCTCTCGTCCAGAGATGGAATCAATTGAGGCCAACGTCGAAAGAGGTTGCCTGGACCTCATGCTCAATCGGACGCGTTTCATGCCGTTCAATCATCTTCCACGATGCAAGAGCATGTTCCTTCTTCGTCGTCGTACAGCACACCGCACTACACACTAATCAGTGACTTGCTGGACGTGGAGGACACGCTAGTACTCACTAGATAGCAGAACTCAGCACCACATGTGCAGCTAAGGGTATCTCGTCAGCCCAGGCACGCGACAACGCTTTCATGCAACTTACGATATATGGTCACATCCGTCGTCTTTTTCAACAAGCACTCCGCAGCGCGGACAAATCTGCCAACCCTCCTTTCTGGCCCGTTCGCGCAGCTTCCTCTCATCGGGATCTTCTGTACATTCGTCTGGATGCGCCGCTTTCCTACACTCAACGCATGTCCTCGTGCCTGGACAGCTCGGACAGGAAGCGAAAGGGTACGTCCGCCGGGACTCATCGATGTAGTGGCTGCAGGCGTGGCAATAGACCGGGTCATAGTCTTTCATCTCAGGCTCCTTCTCTTCGAACTTTTGCGCCAGATCCTGTGGTAATAAGTGGCGAATTCCTTCAAATGGTATGTGTATTTCGCAGCATTCTGGTGGATAGTGGCGCTTGTCGATAAGTAAGTCTGCGCCCATGGAGCGGACAATGACCGTTGCTAGGCAATCGAGGCAGTAGTCGTGTTTGCAAGGCGCTCTATAACAGCGCTTGGTCTCGGAGCAGGCGCAACACTCCTGCCATTGCAATCCGACATGCTCATTCTCGGCGTCGAGGTCGTCCTCCTCATACTCTCCGAAGTTCACGCCGTCGAGCTCATCTTCGCTCATACTAGCCTCCTGCTGGTTGGAAAGTTCGCGATTGACGTCCGCCATTTCCTCGATCGGCTCGCGATGACTGAAAAGAAACCAAGTCCTCGAGACATCTCAAAAGGCCAACCGGAAAAAAAGCCAGAAACTTCCGGACTTTGAAGCTGCGTCAACGCACAAACAGGCTCAGCCGTTCCGCCTTTCACTGACCGAAACACTCCATGGCGAATCTTGAAGACAGAGACATCTTAAAGCGAGACAAACGCCGACATTATCAAAGAAAAGACACGCTCCACGAGCGAAACAGATATGTCTTGGCAGCCTGCCCAAATTGCAGTGGTGGGAACATTGACATAGTGTGGGAGTGACGGGTAGGTCGTGGGTATAGGTACATATGTAGGGAACTGTGTGTCGAAGGCCTTGTATTTGCCACATCATACTTAAACTGCGAGAGGGTCTGCATGTCATTGTATGTATATGAAGGGCGCTGGTATAAGTATAGACAAGAAGTGAAATGAACAACGAGGAGCTACTTTTCAGCGGGATTGAGTTGTCATTCTGGTATGTATCTACCTACCGCTGTGTTGTTGTCTGTAGTCGCATGTGTGCTGTTGTGTGTGTGTGTGTGTCGGAGATCAGAAAAGAATACTAAGTACATGCTTCAGCCAAGCCCAGTTTCACCACTACATTATCAAAGACAAGACACCGAGTGTAGATGTTGACAGCCACTCCAGTGACATGTACGAGTGAAACAAATGTCTTGGCAGTCTGCCCAAATTGAAACAACTATATAAAGAATAAACATTCCAGCTTTCCAACAGACCAATCAGAGGTCGCTGCCATGGTTGAATGGTACAATTCGCGCTTGCCAAAAGCATCTTGTGCGAGGTCCGCGTTCGATTCGCGGTGGTAGCAGCATGTGTTTGTCTTTTTTTATGCCCTTGAGTATCTACCTCCGACTTACGCTCACAGAGAGAAAAACTGGTCTGGTCTGGTCCGTTTGGTTCCGCGATGCTGTGAAGCAGCAACAAGCTGCACCTCACTTTTGTGAACCCCAGGTAGCCGCAGACAAATTCTGAACAACTTCATATGAAATGAATGGGCGACCAAGCAGTTCGTGGGAAAAGAAAAACCGCTTTTCCCGTGCACATATTTTTGACCTGATTAAATTCCAGAAACACGAAGCAAAAATCGGGTTGAAGTGGACGGGTAGGTACTTTAAGCAAGGTGATAAATAATCATTCATAGCATACTGTACGCTAAAACGAGAGAACCCAAAAACACTTCACTTCACGCGGTCCTCATCACCGAATCTCCTTATGCGCACTCCCCTGCCCCTCCTCAATCTTCTTCTCACTCTCCCTCTCCCCCAAACCCTTCCCACTTCCCATCCCCTCCTCAGCACTAACCACCGAATTCCTCTTACTCCGATTATGCAACACCGCCAAACCCGCCGCTCTAGGATTAACACTACTAAGCCTCCTAACATTCCTCTCCTCCCTCTCGACAAACTCCAGCGGCCGTGCACTCTTCGTCGCCACCTGATCCCGAAAAACCAGCACATCACTTTTCTGGTTATGCGTGCGGAAATACTCATCGATATCCTCCAGCGTCCTGCCCGCAGTTTCCGGAAAGAAAAGGTAGACGATGGGGACGAAAGAGAAATTCAGGACGGTCCAGATGATGTAGAATTTCCAGCCGAGAGTGTCGATGCCGATGGGTGTGATTTCTACGACCATGAAGTTGAAAATCCAGTTCGTGGCGGTGCCGAGCGCGGCGCCTTTGGAGCGCATGGAGAGGGAGTTGATTTCGGCGGGGTACAGCCAGGGGACGCCTTGCATGCCGATGCCGAAGAAGACGTAGTAGAGGAAGAACTGGAGGGAGTGTTAGTTGGGGATATTCTACTACTTTCCTGATTAGGGTTTGGGGTGCTTACGAAAGCTACACTAGCGCTCGCGACTTCCTTTTGAGAACCGTATCCTGGCATAGCTGCGTAGCGGAGAAGGATGGTTATGATCATGTAGCAGAAACATTGTCCTGCGGCTGCGTACATGAGCATTTTGCGGCGGCCCCAGCGTTCGACGTTGGGGATTCCTATGAGGGAGAAGAGGAGGTATGAGACGCTGTTGACTGCGGCTAGCAGGCGGGCCATACGGTTGTCGAACCCGACGGAGGTGATGAGGACGGTTGGAAGGTAGTACGAAGTGACGTTAATTCCAGACAGCTGTTGCACTGCCTGTGCAAGCATTCCCAAGATGAGACGGCGAAGGGTGCATGTTCCAGCATTTTCCCCTTTCTTGCCTCTCACGAGATCGCGGATTCGAACGGCATGATCACGTTCATATTGGGTTGAGAATTTGATATCTGCAAGTTCGGTTTGGACGTAGGGATCTTCGATTTCTGTTCCTTCAATGTCCGCCAGAATTTGTTCGGCTTCTTCGTGACGGTCTTTCTGCACAAGCCAGCGGGGAGATTCTGGGAGCCAGGGAACTGTGGCGAAGAGGGTTGCGATGAAGATGAATTGCAGGGCGAGAGGGACGCGCCAAGCGATTGCGCCTCCGGCGTAGGAGAAACCGAAGGTCACCCAGTTCGAGAGGGAGAAGCCGGCGATGTTGAGGATGAGTTCGATGACGATGAGTTTGCCGCGCCAGGCTGCTTTGGAGGTTTCGGCTTGCCAGGGAGGAGCGGTCGATGTGTTGAGACCATTTCCAATGCCACCGACGATTCGTCCGACGCTGTTGATTCAGAGTGGTCAGATTGAGTTATTCTCAACTGCTGGAGGGATTGTTCACCTACATCATCTGAGGAACTCCGTAAGCTGTGATTTGCAAAATAGCACCGATACTCATGATGGTCGTTCCAAGCAGAATGGTCTTCTTTCGACCTATCAAGTCGCCAATGAAGTATGCCAAAATGGCACCAAAGAAGCACCCGATATCGTAGATGGCGGTGACGGTTCCAAGGAGTGAGCTGTTCCCTTCGAGATCGAGAGTCTGGAGGAAGTCTTCAGTGACCACGACTCCACCGAAGACGCCTTGATCGTAGCTGTCAACAAAACGATTAGCCAATTTTTCTTGTATCTTTGTAGCCATTCCATTCTTACCCAAACAGTGTCATATCCGTTCCGCAGGCCACAGTGACCCAGAACGTCAGCCATCCTCCTCGAAGGCCAAAATATCTATCATCGCCGCCGAGACCGAACATGGCGGCAGTGAGTATAGCCTCGAAAATATGTCGATGCTGGTGCTGTACTACATCGACGAAGCGGTCAGGGTAAGGCTACTATATATCCAAGCTCTTGGCTCGATGTCAAACACGCAAAGCATGGTCTTCGAGAAATGATCAGCATCATTTTTGTACTGCATACACCCATACCCATGCCGCGGCCGCAACAGATCAAAGCACAGACGCGACAGACTACAGTAGCACCGCGCTGCCAATCAAGAACGTCGTCTGCAACGTCTTTGGATCTGTCAAACGAATGGCAGTGACATGATGGCACACTAAAGACGCAGGATGGCGTGCACTGCATGATTGCCCGTAGACACTCCAAGCGCCAGTACGCGGGGCGAGTGGTTCCCATACAGCTCGACGACGGAGAATTGCTCGGGGGCGTCTCGGTGGTATTGTGCGTGCCGTGCGCAAGGAACATCGTCATTGCTAGTTGCACGGACGTTCGCTTGTTTCCAAGATCCACAGCTCAATCACAGCCCAAAGCATTCCGAGAATGGAGGCATTTAGACGCGGTAGTCTAAATGCCTCACTGTGTGAATTCTCGCATTGACGGTGAACGTGCTATGCTATCAACAATCTGTCGAGTGGTGGTAATGCAGAGCTCTCATACATTTGTTGGATCTGTAGGATTCAAGATCGTGGGTGTAGGCGTCTTCCCCGCGAAGATCGGCGGATGGCGTTTCTCATCACACTACTTTTTCTTCTGGGACACTGCGGCATCAGTACATTAATTTGTCGCGTGGACAGAAGCACGAGTATGTTGCTCAATGAAAGAATCATCGTCTGCGGTAACCATCAGTCCGGCAAGTGTCGGTAGTAATCCTGCAACTCCTACGGACGACGGTGCCGCTAAAAAAGCCGGAATTGAGGCCGAGTTGCTTGTCCTGTATGCTTCATGCGACTCAAGCACTGGTCTCAGGCGTGGCGCCAGGCTTGCTTGCCTTGCCCAGCCGCATCTCCTTGCAAAGGGAGCAATGGGTGGCACACAGGCACAAGACATGCCCATCACTCATTTCATCTCCAATGCGGGTATTGCACGGCATGTGTGGAGTATCCAGAATTGATACCATGTCGGCGAGCAACGGCGACATCGATGCTCGTGAATTCGTCGATTACGGCCCGGAGATTCCAAGCGCATGGGTCTTCCACGTTCAAACATTCAACGCTGCGGTGCACTCGGGCGACTAATGAAGTTGACACCGGCCAGTGCTGCTCCAAGGTGTCCCAAATCCGACATCCGTCTCCTACCAAAGATATGAACCTCTTCACCTCTCGGCCAGAGCAGCAAGCCCGTAGAGACCGACAGATAACCAGCCAAAGCAAGCAAAGTTGTCGTGGAAAGCAGGAGAAATGTGAGATTGCTTTGCAAGAATGGGAGCTTCTTTGCGTGCCATAATTGGAGCTTGTTCGGGTCTCCAAGTAATGGGATCTGATCCCAGATGCCTGTGCAAAGAGTTTGGAGGGCTTCAGATGCATTGGATGTATGCGGTGAGCTCCATGGGAGCACGGTCTTGGATGCCTCTCTCTTGGCAAGCACGGCTGCGTGAGATTCGCATTTGCTCAAATCCATCACTGCCTCAACATTGGTGTTCAGCGAAAATTTCGCGTGTATACGCTCGACATACGCAACCAAACTTTTGTACTTCCTCTTCATGGTCGCCGACAGCCAGTCCTGCGGAAGCTCTGGATAGAGCATGAGACTGAGGTATCCATACACCAGACAATCAACAGCCGCAAGCTCTCCCCCAACCGCGTAGACATTATCACCCAGAATCTCCTGCAACGGCTCAAAGAAATTGTCCGCCAAAGCGTTCAGCTTGAAGATAGCTGCGTGTTCAGGTCTCTGCAGCAAAGACCGCACCGTCTCCTTTCGCGGCAACAGCAGACTCGCCCTCTTCTGCGTCTCAGCCTCGAATTGTGGCTGCTTGCCAACACCATCAAAGCCTTCGGGCCTATTACTCATATCTTCATGCACATCATCCACATCGATGCTAGAAATTCCGAGATGTTCGGTTCGACTTCGTGCGGCAGAGCGTCGGGTAGGCGGTAAGATGTAATTTGCGTGCCAAGGTAAAATCTTGCTAAAGGCAGGTCGTGTTGCGAGACGATAGTTTTCGAAGCCGACGTAGAGCGAGATGTCTAAGAGTGTCTGGGCTTGTGATTCCACCAGTGATGCGATAGCGGTGCATAGTGCCCGTTGACCTTTGTCTAGACTGGTTTCTGATATGGCGATCCTCTTATCGACGAGGTGTCGCACGATATTATTGAAGCCAAAAATTCTTGCGGTCCCATCGATCAAACGAGGGAGCGGCGTTCGCGTGTCGTGAGTGGGAATGATTTCGTATTTTCCGCGCGCGTATAATTGCAACAGAGCGACAGCTGCCGAACATTCTGCATCAATGGACGGCAGCCCAAAGGCCGGTCCCAGTGTGTAGAGTTGCATTGGTGTTGATGCATTGTGAGTGTTTGTAGACGTCCAAGGACCTCGGAGAGTCGGAGCTCTGGCACGCGAAAGCTGCTAACTAAATATTTGATTGAAGATTTGATTAATAGCAGCGACCCAAGATCGACCGCGAGTTAGGTTACCACTACGTTAAGACTCTCGCTCGATTACTGTGGGACAAAGACTGCAGGGCTTGAACGATATTTTCTATTTAAGAGAGGGCTTGAGCATTCATGTCGAAAGCCTTTCTTCATTCGTTAGAATCTAGGCACTCCCTTCACGATTCAACCTTGCCAAAATCGCCTTCCCAGCACTCGAAGCATTCTCCTTCCCAATCTCCGCCGTAATCCAAGCCCCAATCCTACTCAACTCATCCAAATCCAGCCCCGTATCCGCGCCGAGACTATGAAGATAATACACAAGGTCCTCCGTCGCAACATTGCCCGTAGCGCCCGGACTATACGGACAACCCCCCAAACCCCCCACCGCACTGTCAAACGTCCTGACGCCGTGGTCAAGCGACACCATGGTATTAATCAAAGCTTGCCCAAACGTATCGTGAAAATGCATCGCGATGTCCTCGTTCTGTACACCGGCTTCTTTCAGCGTTTGTAAAAGTTTCCTCGTCCGCGGTGCTGTGCCCATGCCCGTTGTATCTGCGACGCTAATCTCATCTGCGCCGATTTCGAGGAGCGAGGCAGCGAGTTCTGCGACACGATGAGGGTCTACATTCGGGCCTTCGAAAGGACAGCCTAAAGCCACGGATATGTAAGCTCGGACGGGAAATCCTGCTTCGCTGCTCTCTTGAATGAGAGGAGCGAATCTATCCAGACTTTCTTGTATTGAGCAGTTTGTGTTTTTCTGGCTGAAAGTTTCCGTCGCGGCCATGAAAATCGAGACTTCGTGCCGTTGTCCTCCGTTCTTTCTTGACATTGCGTCGACACCGGATGTTGCTGATGGCATGGCGTTTGGATCTGAGCTTGAGGTATTCGAGGCTGGCCCGCTGTCATGTGAGGGCGAAGGAGGCGGCGTCGGATAGCCGTCTGCAGCTTGAGACGTACGGTTCATCACTTTGAAGTAGTTCTGCAAGCCCTTCATATTGGGCAGAAGCCATTGATACGTCACGTCGCCAGCTGGAGGGTTTTCGAGGACGGAGGAGAGGACCTTATCTGAGGCAGCCATTTGAGGGACCCATTTCGGATGTACGAAGGAGCCGGCTTCAATTGTTTGTAGGCCTGTTCTCGCTAGCCTCTTTACGAGCTCTATCTTGGTTTCTGGTGATATTGCCGTCTTCTCGTTCTGCAGTCCATCTCTTGGCCCAACTTCGACTATTCTGACGTGATCGGCTAGGGTGCGTGTCGTGTTCGAGAAGTTGCGGGTAGAAATCTGGTGGTTTGTCCGACTGCATAATAGTCGACGCGATATTGGGCGAGACATCAGTGGTGGAGTTCGGAGCTCAGTGAGCTCGAGTTGGACAGTTGCGACAGTTGCTATTTCTTACAAATCAGTCGCACGCGTGCTGCTGGAGCTTTGCTATTGTGGAGAAAGATGTGATTGCACCGGACTACACAGGACGAGATGCTCATGTGTGTTTGTTACAGAAGACTATACCGTGCCAATGCGTTCATGTCGCACTTGCGGAGAGAGCTCTGCGCCTTGAGCCGAGCAGCCCTGAGACGGAGCTCTATACACACCAGATTGTCAATAAAGAATTCACAACGCAATCTTTGCCCCTACAAGTTCTTTTTAATATATCTTTTTATCTAGAGGAGTTATAGCTTAATAATATAGGACAAAGATACTCTAATTTATGTATATTTTTAGAAAATATTAAAATTTCTAGTCGTTGCCTCCTAAATTAATAAGCTATATAGCTTAAAACTCTAAGTTAGAGATTTTAGAATTTTAGCGTTTTCTTGAGTCTTAATATACTATTTTTAGTAATCTAAAAACTAGGCCTTATAGTTTTACTTAATAAAAATCTATTTTGAGATTTGTCTCGTAATATAGCTACTATTAGTTCTATAATCTAGAATTTAAAACTTAAATTCTTCATAGGTTCCCTTTCGTATATCTTTTTCTTTAGACGAGTTATAGCTTAGTAATATAAGACAAAAATAATCTATTTTTAATCTAGTATTAGAAAATTACTAAAATTGTTATAGCTATCTACTAGGATTAGCCTAAAATTCTAGAATAAAGATTTTAAGACTTTTGCTTTTTTTAAGCCTTAGTATACTATTTTTAGTAATCTAAAACCTAAACCTAATAGTTTCACCTAGTAGGAATCTATATTAAAGCTTTTACTTTAAATAAGCTATAAATAGTCTTATAACTTAGAAAAGAATATTCTTAAGAATTGTAAACTTTAAATTGCTAAGCCTACAATTGTTAAGAATATTCGCTTTAGGATTTTAAGACTAATAGTAAGCGTATTAAAATAAGAATCTCAAAATATATTTATACTAGGTAAAACTTTTAGGTCTAGGTTTTAGATTACTAAAAATAGTATACTAAGGCTTAGTAAATACTAAAATCTTAAAATCTTTACCTAAGAGTTTTAGGCTAATCTTAGTATATAGCTATAATAGTTTTAGTTATTTTCTAAAAATACATAAAAGTTAAAGTATATTTGTCTTATATTACTAAGCTATAGCTCTTCTAAATAAAAAGATAAACTAACGAGAATATAGTAAGAAAATAATATTCCTTTCTAGATTATATTACTAATAGTTTATATAATAATATATAAATTTAGATTTAGATTTTTATAAGATGAAACTATAAGATCTAGATTTTAGATTACTAAAAATAGTATGCTAAGGCCTAAAAAATGCTAAAATTGTTAAACTTCTAAATTAGACTTTTAGGCTATATAGCCTATAAATTCAATAGGTAACGACTAGAAATTTTATTATTTTCTAAAAATAGATACAAATTAGAGTATTTTTGTCCTACATTGTTAAGCTATAACTCCTCTATATAAAAAGATATATTAAAAAGAACTTGAAGGAGCAAAGATTGCGTTGTTGTCGCTACGGTCAGAAGTGCTGTATTGACAATCTGGTACGTATGGGCCTCCCTACCCTGAGCCGACATCGGGAAGCTTGGCATCTGGCAGCGACATGCATTTCCATAGAGCAAATCTGAGCTCTAAACATGCCTCAAATTCTTGCGGGCGAATGCATTATCGCTCTCGAGAAGACCATTGGGCAATCTACTGAAACGACAGGCGTGGATGTCACTGCCCATGACCCGCCCGATCCGTCAAAGGCCTAGCTTTCCACAAAGTCGTTCTCCCAAACGTCCACAAAGCATCCTGCCACGTATTCCAAGCATGGAAACCAAACGGCGCGACTCGCGAAACATATTTCGATCCGATTCCATCCAGTGCTTCTTGCAGCAGCCTAGTATCATCAAATGCAATATCAAACAGTCCATATGCGACCGTGAGACCACGATCTAGTAAAGCGGGATTCTGCGCCGCCATGCTGGTATTCACATAATCATCCAATGGATGGCCGGGTGCTAGAGCTCCGGAGAAGAGTCCATAATAACCAAAGTACGATGTCGCGTTGATGTACATCTCATACGTGAGTGCGCTTCCCAGAGAAAGGCCCGCGAACGCTCGGCGTCCTGGGTCTGTGGAAACGTGGTAATGCGATTCGATGTATGGAAACAAGTACTGCTGATACAGGGGTCGGACGATTTGAGCTGAAGGATTGGACGTATTGAGGAGTCCGTTGAAAGTTGGCATCACCACGACCGTTGGCTCGATGTGTCCTTCGAGAATGAGTCGGTCCAGGATGTTGCTGACCTGCCCTTGATTCTGCCAATCACCTGCGGCGCCACCACCTCCGTGAGAGAGGTAGAGAAGCGGATAAGCTGCGTGTGCTGAGTTGTTATCGTAGCCTGGCGGCAAGTACACAGCGAAGTCGTGCAGGTCTGCAGATGGGCTGACAGCGCCAGGCGAAGGGTAGAAATCGGCCACTATTTTGCCTTGAGGGCCGCTGACAGGGAGAGCATAGTCGAAGTTCAAGTTGACGTCTGCGTAGGATTGGTATCCGGGGTGGTATGGAACCTGGAACGGCGAGCCTGCTTCGGTGCCTTGAACGGTCTCGAAAGGCGGATTGTCAGGATCGGTGATCCCCTGGTCCATAGATACGCAAAGTGTGACATTCTGACAGTCAGGCAGAAAGTAGTATTGATATGTGCCAGAAGGCAATGGCCTGGTGAAGGTGAATGCGCCATCGCCTTTCGCCTCCATAGAGTAGACTGAGACATCGGTGAAAGCAGGAAAGTCGCCTGGTTTGTAATCGGTTGGATCGAATGATGCAGCAGAAGTGATAGTCGTCTGATATTGATTCGTGAAGTGTGGAATTCCTGCAATCTGTACCTCTTGAGCACTTGAGTTGTGGTATTTGATGGTAACCTTGTATCCTGTAGGTGACCCATTCGATGGTACGACAGAGACCGCGGCCAGTGCTGAGCTGACGCAGGCAAGAAGCCAAAGACCTCGGGAACTCATCGTGGAGGCAAGAAGGTTTGCTCAAGATTTCTGTTCATCCATTTTGATAAAGCAAAAGGCTCGTATAAGCTTGTCCATGATGAGATCCCATATTCGACTGCCGAATAGTGCATCATCGCCTTAGCCGCAGCCCACTCCTGCCAGCAAGTCCAACGTGACTCCGAAGAGATCCTTTGAGCGGGGCATGTTCATCACACTAACGCGGCCGACTGCATCGATGGCAATGCAGAGGCAGGAGCGGAGAGAAGTGGTGAACTAATATATCTCGGCTATGCCAGACCCGAAGCCGTCATTGCACCGGCTTGGCAGGCTCGTTTCTGTCCTGATCTCGGCCAGCAATATAGACGCTGGCAGATGTGATGCACAGGAGAGCCGGGCCAGTATTGATCGTTATCGACATTAATGCCAGAGAGGAGCATCAATCTGGGTTGAGACTGGTACCTGGCGCGGACGATGTTGTAAAGTCGCTTTTTTCCAGCCTGTAGCGTGCATTATAGATTTTGGAAAGGCTCGAGTAGCCTTCGAACTGTCCGTGCATGAAGTGGTAGTGAAGTACATGTACATGTAACGTCCTTGTGACGTAGTTGCGCGAAAGATCTAGTATCATTTTCAATCTCAATGAAGTATCGCATTGCGTCTTGAAACACATCCTTGAAAGTCTTGTCGCAAGATGGCCTTAACAAGTCTGGGATCCTGGCATCCGGGTATAGCAGGCCTACATATAGGAGACCAAAGACTCGGTCGCGTGGATCCGAGGCATGAACCTCATTGGAACGTGATAGCATGTCTGGCATGGTCGACGAAATAGCACATCAAGACAAAATGTACTCAAATCCAGCGTAAGTCGCTTCGAAGTCCGAGTCTTCCCTGCAAGAGCTACGCATTGGAGAGCTAGCTTTGTACTGATAGGCACAAGGACTGTCTGACCATTTACCACAAGCCTGTGGCAAGGTGTAGGATGTCCCGAGGTGTAGGAGATGGTCTCATTCTTAGACCTTGGTACGCTCTTGAGCGCTACGACTTGCAAACTTCAGACCAACGTTGCATTCTTTTCCTCACTTTTAGGTAGTATCTCGAGCACCTGATCTCCCGATTGCTCTCGTTCAAAGCCTGAGAGCGCAGGTCAGCAGTGAATGGCTTCAGAGCCGGAGCCTTGATGATTGATAGCAGTCCTATATCAGTTCTCCGGCAGTCTGGAGAGAACGTGCGGCCTGGTTCTCGTTGTGCTTCGATCGCAGAGAAACAGGTTGACGTCTGGCAGGTCCTGGTCGAGGTTGGAGATGTCCTCCCGATCAATTGGACATAGATTTGGTGCTTCGTCCAGCATTGAAAGCCGTCATTCGACAGCGACCACTTTCACGACACATTGGATGATAGATTGTGGTGCAACTCAGCTGCCACAAAGCCTGCATGCAAGCGTCGCGCTTGACAGTTACGACCTCGCATCCAATATTCGTGCCAGTACGTAAAGCGGAAGTTGCTCAGCAAATCGTGAGCACGTTCATCCGAGGATAGCATGCCCGAAAATCTTGTCAATAGCATGCCATATGCATTCGAGGGGCAATTTGTAACATGATTCTCGCATTCATCAAAGGCAAAGATGTGCCAAAAATTTGACGCAGGGCAGGCGGAAGGAATGGATGGAGCTGCAAGATAACAGAATGCATTTTGCAGACGTGTCCAAAATCAGGTCCAATAGTCGTACAATGGCATCTCGTTCTCTCCAGTATCGGCCGTTCACCATCCAAAGATATTATTGACCGTGCCTTGAGCAAGCCAAGCAGTCACTCATTCCACGCGCAGCGACTAGGCCATATTATCATTGCCCTTGTTGAGACTCATTCAGCTCCACCAGCATTTCCCTTGTAGCAGACAGCGACTGCGAGTCACCATACAATGCTGCGATCAAAGAGCCATCGATCTTCGGAAATTCATGCTGTAACTGCGCAACGTCCTTGTCGGTCTGCGACTCTGGTTTCGAGCGGTTCATCTCGAAGGCTTCCATTGCTTCGCGCTGCTCGCCGCGCTCGTTCGCAGGAATGAATCTTTCCTCGTTGAAAGTGTCTGTTCTTCGCGGAGGCGGCCCTGGCGGCGGCTCGAAGCCTCCTTGACTCTGCTGCTGCGGTTGCGGTTGCTGCTGGTGTTGATATTGGTATTGCTGTTGCTGCGGCTGCTGCGACACCTCGTTCGCCCATGGATTGTTTGACGGGATGTGCTGATCTTGCGGCGCTTGGCCGCCGTACCAGCCTTGGTTTGACATCTGAGTAGGATCTCTTGTGCTTTCTCCGGGAGTATTTGCAGAGTAAAGGTCGACACAGGTCATACCAAAGCAGAAGAGCAGTCGTGAATAATGTGGTAGCCTGCAGGCAAGCAAGCTGTGATGACGAAGCGAGCAGGGAAGTTGCGAACCAAGATCGGGCCGAGGGGTGCCGACGACGATGACAAACACTTTTCACACGATCTTGCCGCTTGTCTAAACAAAGTACAAGTACAAGTACAACGAATGCGTGAGACTCACCAAGACGCTGCAGGCCAAGATCTTGGTAAGCAGCTTACTTACTGTAAGCCAGTCATGTCACCGGTAGGCTGAAATGGCATCCCGCCCTCAACGAAAACATCGAGCCTTTCTCGTACCACCACAGCAGGCATGAAGACGGTGTGTATCGTAGGCGCCGGTCCAGCTGGTCTTGCAGGAGCAAAAGTACTGCTCAAGACAGGCAAGTTCCATATCAGAATCTTCGAGAAAGCAAACAGAATCGGAGGCATTTGGGCTCTGGACGAGACCTCCACAGAAGAAGCCTTCCTGCACCCAGACACGCCCACGAATCTCTCAAAGTTTACAGTTGCCTTCTCAGACCTCGACTGGAACTCGGTAGGCCTGCGTTCCACTCAACAAAATGCATCATTGGCCAACGGAGCAACTTCAAAGAGTCCAGCCCCCATGTTCCCGAAAGCCTGGCAGGTGAATAGATATCTGGAGGCGTACAGACAGAAATACATTCCAGACGATGTGCTACAGCTCGAGCACGAAGTAGTGACGACCAGGAGATCGACGGAATCTGGCAAAGCAATATGGCACGTTACAATCCGACACCCACACGGACAAGAGGCCGAGCACGACTTCGACCATCTCATGCTCGGATCCGGATTTTTCTCAACTCCACGCCCACTCTCCCAGAACGTGGATAAGATCGCACCAAATCTCGGAGTGAAAGCCATCCACAGCTCAAAATTCCGCACGCTCTCCCAGATTTTCGACCAGCCTGAAGATGCAATCGACAAAAAGATCTTGCTGATAGGCGGTGGCAACTCTGCAGGCGAAGCAGCAGCAGCAGTCGCCCAGCAACTATCGGATGCGTGGTATTCACCCAAGACGGGAAAACATCAAGACTTGTTGTACAAAGGCTGCAAAATTCTGCACGTAACGCCTCGTCCACTTTACGCTCTGCCACCGTACACGCCCGTAGACGAAAACTGCAAAGCATACGTGCCCATCGACCTCCAACTCTATGATCTGAAACGCAGACCCAAAGGTCCGATTATAGCAGGTGCAGGACGAGTACCGAGAGCAGTCAAAAATTTCGTTCACGGCGCAATGCAGGGTATAGTCGGAGGAGATCAATCAGATCTCGGCAGTCAAGCTTTGAAGATACCTCCAGAAGAGCCTAGATCAGCAGTATATGTCGCACTGTCCGAAAGCTATGCAGAATTCGTCAGAAGTGGTGTAATCGAAGTGCGAGCCGGAAGAGTCAAAAGTCTGAACGGAAAAGAAGGAGTCATAGAAGCAGAAATCGAGCGAGACTCTGGCGATACTACTGAGGTGGAGGAGGACATCGGTGCCATAATTTACGCGACAGGCTACTCACCGGCTTCAGCCATAAATTTCTTGCCGCAAGACGTGAAAGATGAATTACATTACGATCCCAGCAGTCTGCGCCTACCTCTAATTTTGTCCGGATGGCAAACAACAAGTCCTCAAGTGCCCGATCTCGCGCTTCTAGGCTTCTACGAAGGACCATACTGGCCCATGATCGAAATGCAAGCGCGCTACACAGCTCATCGCTGGCTGTCCCCGGATTCCTCAGCTCCAGAGATACGTGCATACGAAGAAGCCTCAAAGCTTCTCGACCTGCGCAAAACCATGAAAGCTCGCGGTAACGATGTCCCACAATACTGGTTCGGCGATTATGCCGGGTACATGGAAGAGATATCCTCCTTCCTAAACCTGGAAAGAAACAACGCCCCCTTCACCTCCGACCGCGAAGGCTGTGCTTCACCAGCACGCTACCTATCCCCAGATTCCTCCTCCTCCTCCTCCGACAGACCTCAAGCCCAAGCCATAATGTCCGATCTCCATAAAACCTGGACAGCATGCATTCAAACCGGCCTCTACACAGCGCGCGCAGCATTCCGAGCATTACAAGGAACCTGGACCATCTCTCGCACGATTTCTAGCAAACTCCCCACCTTCCCCTCAGGAGTTTTGAAAGGCACAGCATCTTTCCATCCCCGGAAAGTCACAGCACCGGACTTCGATTTCGAATACCTCTACATCGAAACCGGAACGCTACATCTCTCCAACGGCGCGGAAATGACCGCGAGAAAACGTTATGTGTATCGATACTCCGAACTACGAGATGAATTGAGCGTGTGGTTCGTGAAGCCGGAGAAAGATTTGGAAGTAGATTATCTATTCCATAACCTCGAATTCCAGCCCGCCGCTAAAGGACTGCTTGCCACAGCCGACCATCTGTGCGTGAAGGATATGTATTGGAGCGAATATTCGTTTCCAATGCAAGGAATTTCGCTGCATGGATTCGAGACGAAACATACAGTACAAGGTCCGGAGAAAGATTACGTGGCTCGGACGGAATTTCTCAGACCGGAGTTGAAGATGAAGTGAGAAAGAGTCTTTTTATTTTATGATTCGTCCATGCCGATGCCAAAATCCGCAAAGGGGAAGGAATCTAGAGATAAGAACAAATCCGGATCTAGCGGGAGTTCTGTCGCGAAGGCTTCGACGAAATCATTCGTTTCCATCGCATTATTCGTAGAATTTTCCATCATCGTCATCGTTTTCTCGGGAGTCTCAGTATTCGCGAATCCATCCGTAGGCGTTGTTGTCTCCACGATGGCGCTGAGATGAGGTGGTCGTTGAGTTTTCGAAGTCATGGCTCTCTGAACCTCTTGCTGTAACTCCTCCAGAACGATACTATATCTCAAACTCGGAGCATTGCCTTGACTCGCCTCCATGAGATCCTTTTGGACAGTTTCGGCCAAACGGAGAAGTTCGTCTTCATGGAACGGGCCGCTGGTTGTTATGGAAGCTGGTAGACGTCCGTGTTTGCGTTGGATGAGCCAGATGTAGATTACGGTCAAGGCATTGAAAGAGACGAATTGAGTGTACCAGAAGGATTGGAAGGTGTGTTTGCTGAAACCTGCAGCGAGGGTGCTGTCCAATGTGGATTTGGCTGCGGAGAGGCAGGTGTTGATTTGAGATTCTTTCAGGGCTGTGTGGGAGGAGTCCAAGAGGAGCGCGGGGCGGTTTATCATCATTTGGGCGTGGCAGTGGGCTAGCTGGAGGACTGTGATCTGGCGGCGGAAGATGGGGATCAGACTGGATGGGTGAATGGCGCCTGAGAGGACGACGGGTAGAGAGGCGTGCCATGCTGCAGTGTCGGCGTTGAGTTTTGCTGCGGTCTCGAGCTTTTGTTGTGATCGTTTCCTTTCGACGGAATGATGTTCGTGGACAGCCTTCTTGACGATTCTCGTGATTTCGGCGTGGAGAATTGATGCTTTGATGACGCTGTCACGAGGTGCATGGTCTTGAACGATGCCCTGAGCAGTCAGGTCTTCGTCTTCGACAGGATCTGGCATCGTTTGGTCGATGTCTTCCAAGTGGAGCAATGCAGGGCGGCCAAGAATCACGCTAAGATACGTATCGAGGGTGGACGCGGCCCACAGGCATCGTTTCCTGCATTCTCTCGCGATGTGGTCTTGCTGATTTGTGGGGATATTCGAGGCTCTATGGAGGCCGAGAGCCATGATGAGTTGAATGGTTGTGCCGAACTCGTACCACGCGCGATTTGGCCGAGAGGTGTGGAGCAGGAAAAGGCACTTGGCCAGCCTGGCCTGGATTGACTCCAATCGAGGCTTGCCAGTCTCGATGGTCATTCTTGCTTGAGCGGCGTTGAAGAAGCGTTCACTCTCCTTTCGCGACGTGTCATCTGGTCCGAATATATGCTGTGATTCATCTGCATTGATTAGTCGAGCTGAAGCCAGCACGAGCAGAACTACAGCCTGACGGATTGGAAGAAGTGTTGCACCCTGCACACCTGCTTCGACCTGATGATACGTCGCCAACCACTGTGCTATGGTTGGCTTGTGCAAGAACCTGTACGTGGGCATTGCGAGGTCGAAATACTGTGCCAGGAGCAGTGAAGTGGTGGCGACATCTGGCAGGCGGAAATGGTCTTCTGGTTCCACGTGCGGTGCCTGGCGATCGCCGTACGAAAAGACCGAATCGGATTGCCCAAGATCGTCCTGAGCTGCACTGGCGGACAGCAGTTTTGCACCATCCCTCTCAAAGCGCTTCCAAGCGCGGCGGAGAAAGGTGTAAGGCGACGTGGGACCCAGATACTGCCCGAGATTCGTCGAGCCAGCTTCTGGAGAGGCCGCTCTCGATGTCCTTGCATTACTCTCGACGCCATTGTGCTGTGCAACAGGCTCGAATGCAAGCGGAGGAGCAAATTGCTGTCGGGGGATCGGGGTATGTAGGGCGGGAGACGAGGTGTCATGGTGTGCCGAAGGCAGTGGCTGGACCAGCCTTCCTCGTGTGTAGGAAGCCAGATATGTGCAGTGCGAGCCATTGGTACGACAAGCAGAACATGGCAGCTCTCCGGAGCAACGTCGCTTGCGGGACTTGCAGCTATCGCAAGCTGGTGAACGATTAATATGGCGAGCGATGAGAACGAGGCGTCCGTGTCACGAGCATCCGCATCCTTACCTCTGGTCACCTTCTGCCTCTTCGCAGCCCGTGGAGAGTCCGCTCCCGCTGCATTTCCATTTCCATTTCCATTTCCATTTCCATTTCCATCTCCATTTCCATTTCCGCCAGCGTTGGGCTGTGTCGGAGAGGCGTGAGTGCTCGTTGGTGTGTTGGAGTCGACGACCGGGCTGAGAGCAGCCATTGCATGTTGCTGACCGTGGCCGTGGCCGTGGCCCGAGAGTGGATGGCAGGAAAAGGATGGGCCTTTTCCGCTCGCCTCTCGGGGAAATGCCTTGCCTGACCGAGGTCTTCCCGGCGAACGATCTGGCCTTTTCGCATTCGACGATGGATGTTTTCGGGTGGCTAGTCACGTTGTCCTGCCGTCTCCAAAACGCGGAGATGAGATGCATCATGCGTGTCCATTAGAACTGTTGGAATGCCCAGCCAGCCTCTGTGCTTGTTTGTTTCTCCGCGAAGCCACATGGCCAACCAGCGGACAAGGGTCCACTGCACATGACTCGCGGCAGCTGGAATACACCTCGCCTTCTCCATGTTCTGCACTGCCACCTGGTGAATTGAACGTTATATCGCCGCCAAAAGTCCGACTGGCCAAATGTCGCGCTTCGTGTCTGCTGGAGCCGAGGACAATCCCGCCGAGCAGGATGAAGAATGGCAGAAAGCGTATGCCGCCATAGAGGCGACGCGTCAAAACAAGAACACGTCTGCTATGGCTGGTGGCAGCCAGGAAGGCGGCAAGTCACTGTATGAGACGCTGCAGGCTAACAAAGGTGACTAGGTCGAGGTCTCACGCTTTGCAGACATACCCAGCTGACGAGTCAGGTTGATGAGCCGCCAAACAGGAAGCATTCGAGGAATCACTCAAACTGTCCAACCAATTCCAGTCGCTCAACGAAGATGAAGTCGAGTTCCTCGATTCCGTCATGGAGTCAACCCGCGCTCAGGAAGCCGCGCTCAGGAAAGAGACGACTGAACAGCTAGATGCCTTTCGAAGACAGCAAGAAGAAGCCGAGCGCGCAGCGAAGCAAGCAGCTTCACCCGGCCCGCCAGAGACAGCCGAGCAGGAGTCGTGGTCGGTGGGGAAGAAGAGAAAGAAGGGCAAAGAGTCTCTGTTTGGTGCTGTAAAGCTGCGACGGTCGTCGACGACAGATAAGTCCGAGCAGCCTGCAGCCGAGCCACCGGAAACGACAGAGTCTTCGAAAACGCGAGCTGCAGGAAACGCCTCGGCTCAGCATGCCGTGAAAGCAGAGTCCGCTGAGAAGAGCAGCGACAGCGCCTCGCCTGTGGTATCAGACGGTAAGGCGGCTGTCAAGCCTGCTTCGTCGGGTGTTGGTCTGGGCTTAGCAGCATACTCCTCAGATGAGGACGACTGAGCCAGTCCATAGCACTTCGGCGCCCGGGCTCTGCGCTGTCCAAGTCTCCAGCATTCTCTATACAATCCTTTGTCCTGTGAGAATCACAGAGTGGCACTACGATAAAACAAGGCCACACCAAGGACCGGGACGAACAATACCATTGTAATAACACCACTCTAGCACTTTCTCTGTCTCAATCTCTCAACTTTCCCTCGCAATTGATTTCTCAATCCCTAACTCTCCCCACTTCCCACGCCTTCTGAACCTAACCCCATTCCACATCCACACCCCAACACAACCACCCCTCTCCAAGATCCACTCCGGCCGCATCTCGCGTCCAATCCCACCCCGCAAACCTCGCAGTCAGCGAATCCGCTCCCACAACTTGAACCTGAACAAGATAAAAGAAGAAGCCTCAACCGAGCTCTTCACGAGTCCAGCCTTTTCCATCAGCACTGAAGCCGCTGAAATCGCATTGCCGGAAAGTGACAGTGAGGATGATGACCTTGCCGAAGAGCCACAGGATCTAGATCTAGGTATAGACGGGCCTGGTCTTGGAAGTTATGCTTATGAGGATACGGCTGCTGCTGCTGGGAGAGTAGAGTAGAATAGAATAGCGATGACTCTGCATCGAGCGAGGGAGATGACACGGCATCAGACGTTGATCAAGAGATCGCTGACAAGGAGACAGAGGACCTTATAAGTGAAGCTGCGAACCCGATACCTCGACCGACATCATGATTCCAGATCGATCGTTCTGTTTGAGTGGGCGTTGTTGTTGACGAGCTGTGGCTAATAAGTGAGTTGTCCTTTCCTTTCGCCTCACCTGAACTCTGCGCGCCAAATCAACGCGAAAGTCTTAATAAATAGCTCAGCTGATCGATCATTTCCTAGATACCTGGCGAACCTGACAATCTGGTCAAGCTTTTTCGAAATATGCAGTATTCTACATCAACCCGACCCCAAACTCTTTGAAAAAAAAATAACAATTTCCTTGCCCGCTATCCATCAAGCACCATCACAAAAAAACCCCCACCCATCCCCCCCCCCCCCCCCCTCCCCGCGCCCCCCCTCCCTTCACTGTCTGTCCTTAATCAAAATTAATCCTCCACAACTCCCTCTCACACCCCGCCGTAAAATCACTCCGCGTATGATGCGCCAAAACATTATCACTCACCAAAAGATCCCCCTTCTCCCACGCATGATAATAACAAACCCTACGATCGTGCAAAAGCTCCGTCAAAGCCCCCAAAACTTCCCGATTCTCCTCCTCACTCACATTCTCAATTTCCACATCGGTAGGCTGAAATGCCGTTTTGGACTGAGGCCAGGGTTCATGGAATCTCAGACAGGGTTTGCCGGTGACGGGGTGGGTGGTGATGAGGGGGAGGGTGCGGAGGACGGTGGCGTCGAAGGAGGAGGTGGAGACGTTCCAGGTGAGGGGGCGGAGTCTCTCGAGGGAGAGGGAAGGGGGGAGGTAGCGGAAGACCATGGTGGAGGTGGAGAAGAGGGTGAAGCCGGTGTCTTTGGGGGAAGTGGTGACGGAAGTGAAGAATTGGAAACCCGGGGGAGTGGAGATGAGGTGTTCGGAGCCGTCTTCGCGGACGTGTTTTTCGGTTTTGAAGAGGCCGTCGTAGTGGAAAGGCATCCATTCGGCGGAGAGGACGTTGTTGAGGCCGCGGGTGTTGGCGCCTTGGTCTTTGACTTCGAGCACGAGACCGAATTTCCAGCCCGTGGGTTTTCCGAGATCATAGGACTTTTTGGTGAAGAGGTCGCGGTCTGTGGTTTTTGCGAAGCCGCGCATGATGACTGGGGAGTTGATTTGGGCTAGTGCTCGGACCTTGGCGCCATCGATGTCCTCGATCGATAGGGCGTCAGGACCGGCAGCTGGTCTGATCAGAAGTCCGGCAGGATACAGATGGTCGCAGAGGACGCCGCCCTTTTCTTGGCCCCAGGAGAGGAGGTCGGTCTTCTCGCGGTAGAAGCTGGGATGACCATTTCTGTATATCAGCTCGTATCGATCATCGGCATCGAATTGCGCGTGGTGGCCAGTCGTGGTGGTGCCGTCGAGGCTGATCGCTATCGAGCAGTGCCATGGAGTAGTGAAAGATGTGTCCGTTGGCAATAGGCTAATGGGGATCTTGTTCTCCATGTGCGACGAAGGGTGGATCGACAATCTGATAAAGTCGGAGAAGGTCTCTCGCACAGCCCTCGCGAATGCCTGGAAAGAGACCATGTCAGTATCGAATCTTCGATGAGGCTCGTTCAAGTTTCTGCTTGGCCAACTCACATCACCTCGGAACAGCATCTGCTTTGCAATGTATTCGATGCCCTTCTTGAATTGCGACTTCGACCTCTCTGGACCGATAGGATAGATGTCTTCCAAGTCGGTCATCAAAAACTTGATATAGCCTCTGTAAGTAAGGCAAGTATCCTCATCCTCTTGAATCTTCAATGAAGCATCGAAGTTTTCATCGCCGTAGTTCGAGAGTAGTCCATGTCGGAAGTTGGTTGCATTCGCCACATACTTGACTTCATCCATCTCATCCGGGATTTTCTTCACTTTAGACAGATCCTTCAGTCGGGAAAATAGTATGTGCTTGAAGCCTTGTTCGGAAGCGATGGTTCGAAGTCCTTCGCCGTAAGCCCAGACATTCTTGTCAGGAACGCCGAGAAGGTCTTTGACGGTCAGTCAAACGGAACTTGATTGCTAGACGTTCTCCTTTGATACTTACCATTATATACCAATCCATCAGAAATGATCATGAGATACGCGCCAGGCTTGTATATGTGCGCGATTGCAGCACACATGCCATTCAGATGCGCCAGAGCGAACTCTTCAGCCTTATCGGGAAGATATCCCAATACTTTAGAGCTGGTGTTTGGTGACTTGAACGGAAACGCCGGCAGACACATCCGAATAGGCTGTGACTTGGAGATCTGCGAGGAGATCTGGTCCATGAACTTGGTGTTGGACTTTTGCGTTGCGCCATCTCGTGTTGGGAGCTTGTACCGGCTGATGACGGCGAGAATGCGGGAAGCCAATGCAAGATCCTCGGCGCTGGCAGTGGTGAGGTGCTCCTCTGTTGTGGCCGAATGCCTCTCTGCTGATGGTGACGGTTGAGCTGAGTCGCGAGGTTCGCTCAAAACATCCTTTGGGATTTCGAGTGAGGGAGGCTGAAATTCATCGATGCTGGTCGCATGGGGCGTGGTCGTTGGAGCCGCCATCTTGCGGAGCAATGACTGCGCTACAGTGAATAGAGTTCAGAAGGAGTGCGTGAAGAATGAGTGCGAGCTTTCAGCGAGTAATGGTTGAGTGCTTATGAAGCCTTATACTTGCGCCGGAACACTCCCGCTCCTGCTTTATCATTAGATCATAAGGGTGTGTGAGGGCTTCCATGGACGAAGGACGGTCTGGCGAGAGGTTTTGCAACGATCCACGGACCTCCAGCCTCTTCTGTCGCAACATTCATATGGCAATATCTCGCTACTGATGTCGTCTCGAAATGGCTTCATGTTGAGGGGCGCTACGGCAGAGCGATCTCGACGGCTTTGCGAGGCATTTGACGTTGCACGGCATTGCATCCAGTTCCGTCAAGATCGGCTGTACATTTGCAGCTTTTCCTCACGATGTCAAGACCTGCTCGGCATCGATCCATAAATGATAAATTGCAACACAGCGCAGGGGAGGAACCCGGACACGTATATCGGCAGTTCGTAAGGCTGGCCTGTTGCGTCTGTCGTTGCAGAGCGGTGGCTTCTCCGTCGTATTGTCTGTTCCGCTCGCTATCTGAAGAGCTTTCCAGAGCTTGCTCAATGCACGCTTCGCTCGCCCTGCCGGCACGTGCAGTTGATCCTCCCATTGCATACAATGCTGTCGATGCTGCAGCCATGTGACGTTACACTATTTTCGATGTCGAGAAGCGAACCCTCCACTTTCCGCCCCTCCCCGAGAGACGTGAGAATTAGCAAGGCTGGCTCTTGGACCGTGCACCACTGCAGAGCATGAACGATGTGCTGCATGGTTCATCTCAATCGGCTAAGGTAGGGCGCGGATATTGCCTCACTCGCATCAAACTTCCGATGCGTCTTGGGACACATAGCATGTCATGCGTTAGAACTTCCATTCAAGCCGAAGCAGGGCCAGGACGGAGAATTTTTGCAATCACGAACTGTTGATAGTCGCTTCAATCGCGCATGTCTATTATACTTCAAAAGTCCGCTTCGTCCTGCTATTGCTTCAGTCAAAGGTCTCAGCATTAATTATCGTTTTCAAAGCAGCAACATGGGTAGCCTTCCAGCTGTAAACGACGAAATCGTCGATGTCGCGGTGATTGGAGGTCAGTCGTTCAGAATCCTCTCTTCCGGAGAAGTTGCTAACGAACTTAGGTGGCCCAACTGGACTGCTGTCAGCGCTACTGATGCGCTCACTCGGAGCAACAGTGAGCGTCTTGGGTAAGTTTGGACAGATATCCAAAACGGACCTCATGATTAATGACGAGACGACAAGATGCCAAGCCTGGACCGCTACAGCTAGGTCGTGCGGATGCTCTCAATGCACGGACTCAACAATACCTTGAAGTTGTCGGCGTACTCAAAGAGCTCCGTGCCAAAGGCATCGAGTGCAACACAAGCTCGACCTTTGGAGACGGCGAATTCAAAACGCGTCAAAGTCACTGGTGGACGGGTCTGGAGCATTGCTTGCACAAGCACTTCCTGATGATCGGACAGCCCGAAGTCGAAGCTGTTCTGCTCAACCGGTTGGACACACCAGTGCATTATGGCGAGGAGGCAGCCTCCATCTCCGAAGATGGAGAAGGCGTCACAGTCGTCACCAGCCTCGGCAGAACAATTCGGAGCAAATATGCCGTTGGAGCAGACGGAGCTCGATCGACGGTCCGCAATGCCCTTGGAATTAGCTTCACCGGTACCAAGCCAGAAATGATCTGGGCTGTACTGGATACATTCATCGACACAGACTTCCCTGTCTGTTCTGAAATCATAACATTCCAGCTAAACGAGCAGGCCAGAGTGTCATGGATTCCGCGGGAGCGAGGTATGGCACGATTCTATGTCCTTCTGGACGGCGAGGTCACCCAAGAAAAGGCCGAGGCGTCGATCCGAGAGCACATGAGCCCGCACCGGGTAGACTTCCAGAAGACGGAATGGTTCAGCACCTTTGAGAGTACGTATGGCCCTGTCACCAAGTGTTACATGGTGCTATGCTAACAAGCCCTTCTAGTCAAGGAGCGTATTGCATCGACGTTCGTCTCGAAAGAAGGCCGGGGTCGCATCCTGCTTGCGGGAGACGCCGCCCATGTCCACTCGGTAAATGGCGGGCAAGGCTTAAATACTGGGATAGCGGATGCCTTTGCGTTGGCGTGGCGGCTCGCCTTGGCAGTTGATGCTTACGGACACGGCTCCAAGGCGGCAGACCCGCTCGTCCAAAGCTACGATATCGAGCGCAGGACTGTCGCAGCCGATGTGATCAATGTTGCTGCTCGACTTGTGCGGGACACCATGCGTACAGCTAAGCAGTATGTGGGCACGATAGAGAGAAACGCTGGATATATCACCGGAATGGGAGTCGCCTACGATGAGTGCGGCTCCCCTCTGGTGACCGAGTCGCAGAACGGCATCTGGAAAGCAGGCCGAAGGTGTCCGGACATCATCTTGCACTCCTCTAGCCTAGAGTCAAGAAGATTGTATTCGACAGTGACGTATGGCCAATTCTTGGTGCTGGCCTGTGGCGCTCCCCTCACGGAAAAGTGGTCAGAGCTGGAAGACATATGCACCAGGTATACACTGCTTCCCTCGAGGGACGAAGAGGCCGATTCTTCACCAAGCGCCGATGGAAAGGCGTTGACTTTCGTTTCGGAAGTCATTGACCCGCAGGAGCAATTCGTGGTCATCGCAAGGCCGGACATGTACATCGGGTATGTTGGGACGGAAAGGCAGGCGCTGGAGTACCTGTCGAAAACAGTCAAGCGTGCGTAGCCGATTGTTGAAGCACGAATTTGCGTGTATTTCTTGGTCATTTCTTGGTCATAGTAGCCCCGTCTGAAGAGGCAGCTTCTCCAGCCGAGCGGGCGCTACTTTGCATGTCTCGCCGAGCGAGACGCGAAGCCGCCCGTCCGCCGTGCCTACGGACTTTATTCTGGCGACCGATTGATGTCGAACGCTTTTAGGCCGTGTTTATGCGCTATCCCGGCAAGAATAGATGAAGTGCTCCACTTAATACTTCTGCGGGCGTTTGAATACGCTGCAAACGCACGAGCAGCGTTCGGCAGCAAATTGCTCAGCCTTGACGACAGGACTGAAGCAGGCGGCTGGAAGATGTCACCTCCGCGATGGGTCGAAAAATGTTAGGACCAATGCCTTTGTTTGCACACTAGTCTATGGCGTGTACCGCGGACCTTGTTGAGCATTGCGTTGAATTTAGTGTTGGTCTCGCGAAAGTAATGAAGCCTGCTGGGGCCCCGGAAGAATTTCACGCCGCTTGTTGTCTGGTCGTCATTTCGATGTGTATCGCATGAGTTGACAATGGTAGCTCATTGGAAGACGTAGTGTCGGCGAGAAAGCTGTATGGCCCGTGGGTAGTATGGCTTATGTATCATGTGATCATCTTCGGCTCGCAGATGCGGCAGCACGAGCGGGGCGGGCAGTGTCCTACTAGCTGTCGATCCGACCAGGACATTGTCTGCATGAGAAAAGCTCTGCTTGTTCTAGGTGTTGCTACGGCTTACCAACAATCAAGAACCATGACCATTGGCTCATCGTATGTCGCGATGTGAAGTTGTTTGCTTTCCTGCGACTAAGGTAAGAGGCCTGGTAGCTAAAAGCAAGACAAGGCTGTGGACCGTAGAAAGGCTTGGCTGAGAACACTGTCGAGAAAGCTGCGGTGCAGAATTTTGAATGACATTGCGTGCCATAATCGCAGAAGATGACGGCTTCGGAGCAGGCAGGAGAGAAGAGTGCGACTGCTGTCCAAAGTCGATCGGTCGAAGTGCAGAAAGACTCTGGCGTGAAAGCGTGGTCTCAAGTCGTGGGCGCTTTCTGCCTGTACTTCAACACATGGGGTGCGTCGTGGATCACAGTATCTTGGAGAAATGTAGTGTGCGCTGACACAATGCCCGCAGGACTTCTCTCCAGTTACGGAAGTTTTCAATCTTTCTATGAGGAAGATCTGTTGAAGTCGAATAGCTCTTTCCAGATCTCGACGATTGGCTCTCTGCAAAGCTTTCTGCTTGTCTTCCTGGGGTTCCTGGCTGGACCTCTCTACGATGCTGGATACAGCCGACATCTGCTTTCGTGTGGCTCGGTATTGATTGTTGTGGGAACCATCGCTCAGAGTTTCTGCACGCAGCTGTGGCAGCTGCTGCTCGCACAAGGCCTGTGCATTGGCCTCGGATGTGGATGTCTGGCAGTCTTGAGTGTCGCGATCCCAAGTCTCTGGTTCACGCACCGCCTCCCGCTCGCAAATGGCATCGCTGCGTCAGGTAGCGGTCTAGGAGGGTATGCGAATCAGTCTCGATCGGTGGTTGATGGATTGCTGATTTTTGCTCAGTATTATTTTGCCCATTGTCGTCAGGAACCTGCTTGGCCAAGTTGGCTTTGGCTGGACGGTTCGCGCGATCGCACTCATCGTGTTGGCGCTTCTCGTGTGTGCCAACCTACTCCTCCGTGTGCCTCAGCCGGCCAAGCAGAGACGGCGTCTCATTGATGTGGATTCGTTGACGGACTGGCCTTATGTCTGCTTCGTGATGGGGTGCTTCTGCGTATTCCTGGGAATGTATACGCCGTTCTACTACGTGGCGAGCTTTGCGCTCCGGACTGGCCTTGCCTCCGAAAGGGCGGCTCTATACATTGTTACGGCAATGAACGGTGGCTCGATCCCGGGGCGTATCATTCCCGCTTTTTTTGCTCAGCGTTTTGGCCCCTTGAACATGATCATCCTGACCACGATTGCGCTGGCAGCTTGCGGGCTGGGCTTTCTTGGTGTGGGAAGCACGGCAAGTGTCTATGTCGTGGCTGTGTTGTATGGCTTCTTGAGCGGCACTTTCTTCGCTCTACAACCGACTGTATTCACGCGCCTGACCTCGAATATGGCTGTGCTTGGAACCCGCTTTGGCATGGCGTTTACTGTTCTTTCAGTTGCTCTGCTTTTCGGAACACCCATCGCCGGCGCTTTACAGGGTCCAGGTGGCTATGACGCGTCGTGGATATGGGGAGGAGCCACGCTGTTCGCCGGAAGCTTGTTCATATGTCTCGGAAGAATGTTGAAGGCGGATTGGAAGCCTTGGAAACGGTTGTGACGATATCGTGAAATTGAAATTGAAGGAATAGTTGATGTCTGAAGTTGGGAGCAAGCCAGGAAGGTTCCCATGGAAGCTCAGTCCAGAACTCAAATTTGAGAGAAGATCGTGAGTCAGCATAAGCACCCGCCCGCCAATCCTTGTCACATATTGGCCGACTTCGAGAGAAAGGCTGTGTTCAGAATGCCCGGACGCTTCACAGAGGATGAACTGGTGATATAGATCCCTATTCACTCAAAATGCCAATTCAGACATTAATTCTGGTACTATGTACAAGGCGCGGAACCCCCACTCTCTTCTTTCTTGCTAACAGACATACAGTAAAACGCACAGACTTGTGGTATCTCGTTTTCCTTCCCATCCATCATCAAAAACGACAAGCAAATGCGAAAAAAGGAGGAAGAAGAGGAGCTACGCGTGGCATTGGCCCAGAAAAAAAAGTCGCGTCTCGCCCGCTTGCCTTGCCAAAGAAGGCTCACATGCCTCAGTTCTCGAGCATAGATCTTCCATCTGGTGATTCCCATCACGGGTGCAAGCGGGTGGGTATCGACGATATGAGGCCGTATCATGCGTCGAAAATGGTTGCGTGACTCTGTTGTGAGAAAAAAAGGCGTCGCTTGCGCGCTCGATGCAAAAAGATATTGACATTTAAGCTGATGTTGCGTCAGATGCATATCAAGGAAGAGAAAGAAGCTGTCGATTTCAGCTTTAGGTCGTAAGATGCGCTTCGCCGAGCGTCTACTGCGGCGTCGGGGTCTTGTTCAGTCCAAGATTAAGCCAGCTCATATCTGTGTTGCCCGGGTTCGGGTGCTGCTGTTCTGATGACTGCGCGCCGGGCGCTACTTGCTCGTTGCCTTTGGCGGTAAGGTAGTCCATACCCGGGAAGACTGTCACAGTACTACTGCGATCCAGCTCTGCAGGCTTGTTCGTAAGGGCTGGGGCTTTCGGCGGAAGTGCCCATTCTGTTTGCTGAGCTTTGGGCGAAGCCCATTCTGACGTGGGTCCGGCAGCATGGCTGAGCTTGACCTTGGAAGGTTTGTAGGTGGTGCCAGCGCCTGGGAAGAAGCCAGCCGACTTGCCTCGGGAAGGAACTCGTAGGCCTGGGTCGTGCACGCTGTTTGTGTAGACGCTACTGGTCGCACGTCCCCGGTTCACAATGTCTCCGCTCATTGGAGTCCAGGCTGTCTGCGCAGACTCGTTATACAAGTCGCTCGTTAGATTGCTACTCAGCGTTGAACGATTGTCGAATGAGCCAACACTGGTCGCTTGGGAGCTGCGAGGATCCACAATCTGGCCCTTTTGAGCACTACTTTGCTGGCCAGCACTGCCTGTCCTCGACAAGTCCTCCCGCGAATCCATAAATCTGGGAGAGCCCCTAGCCACATGTGATAATCGCTGGCCATCGACTGTCTTACTGAAGTCGATGTCAAGAGGCGGCACGAGTGCTGATGACGGTATTGTCGACATTTGCGACGGTCGTCGTTCATCTTGTGAGTATTCCGAGGCGGCATCGCTGGTCATGCTTTGCGCGCTCAATGTCTTCGGCTTTGCATAGGCGGCTGGCAAGTGTGAGAGCCCATTAGGCCCTGTCGGCTGGCTGGTAGCGAAATACTTCGACCAGCCTGAGCTTCTTTTCCTCTCGATCCTTGTGTCCTTGTCGAGCGCAGTGCTGCTAGCCACTCCTCCAGGAACGGGCAAGTTCGACTTTGGCACTGGGACCTTATCGCCAATGTCCATCATCTCGTGGTTCTCGGTCGGGACGAAGTTGCCATGCTTGTCCTTAACAAGCTGAGCAGTACTCTCAAAGCTAGCCTTCGGTTCCTGACCTCGCGTGCGACTGCCACCATTGCCCCACTTGTTGGTCATGATAGCAAGCGAGCTGTGCGAGCCATTGTTGCGATCGAACCTATCCTGCCTGGGCGGCGGTGCAAGCTCGTGGGACGAAAGTCCGGCTTCTTTCATGAACGATGCACCCCGATCCGCAAAGCTTAGCCGCCCAGCACCATCCTCACCAGCGCCATCCTTCTCTTGAAGATAGCCATCCCTCTTCTTCGCCTTCATCTTTCGCCATCTCAGGAACAGAAGCACTAGTATGAACAAGGCCGCGATACCACAAAGCACGCCTAGTGTAATGCCAAGAGTTCGCATCATTTTGTCGTGAGCAGATGGGCCACCTGCACTGGCAGCGGCTGTGGTTGATGACGGCGTTGCCGATTCTGTCGGGGTTGCTGTGGCAGACGGTTTACTGGTCGAGCTAGCTTGAAGAGGCTGCTGCTGCTTCGAGCTGAAGAACTTGTTTGCGTCGATCCAGGAGTTCTCGCTTTGATCATACATAATGAGAGGGTCGTTGTCATTGCCTCCTGCCATGACAATGACTCCGTCGGAATTTCTCGCAATTGAGCAATCCTCCCTTGTAGACGTCGGTGCGTTCGTGCTGTTGTATGTCGGCCAACTTGAGATTGAGAGATCTCGTTTTTGCGGATTTGATGATGAAGCAGCACCAACCGTTTCACCGGTATGTGCGGGTCGACCACCCTCGCCAAGCAGCACAATTCCTTGTGCGGTGTTGGGTGAGGTGTGCATGTCAAAGACTTGTAGTACTTTGCTGCCGTCGATCCCATCAACAACTACAGCTCGTGAAGCAGGGTTCAATGGCTCAGCGAGCCCACTTGAGAGGTTGGTCCATCCTTCGCTTGGTCCGAACAGCCAGATCTCATTCCTCAGTGTCTGGCCGCCAACGAGGACCGCATGGCTGCTATTCCAGGGTTGAAGGATTGGATTATTCGCCGGTGGGGCGTATGAAAGGTACCCTTGTATGTCGTAAGGGTATTGTGTCGAGAGGAGGAAGGTTTGCGATGAAAGATCGGCCGGTTGGTCTTCTGGTGCTCCGGCATAGATCAAGATGGATTGCGAATCTTCCAGGTAGGCGATGCTATGGTTCATGCGATTTTGTAACACATCGGCAAGCGGCGTTATGGCTTCCCACCTTTTGTCATTGAACAAATATCGCTGCACACCCATGAAAGTTCCATCATCAGATCCTCCACCGATCACATATAGCGCACCATCCGCATCGTCCTTGACACAGGCCGGCGCTTTCACTTTGTAGTCCGTCTTCGTCTCCTCCGTCCAGGTAGCGTTCTTTTTGAGAGGCAATGACTGCAGTCCGCCATCGTTGTCGAGTACGTAAAGTGTGTCGCGGTCGATGGCTGCGCAATGTCCGCTCAGCGACGACTCCGGTAGAGGGACAGACATTCGCTGTTGGCCAGCGCCGCGTCGCCCGGCAGCTCAGCGCCGAAAATGACGAGGTGTGTGTATGCTGCCAACAGTGGTGGGTGTGGGCGAGGCTCAGCTCGGCAGGGTGGTGGAGTGTAGGGAGCGCTCGCTAAGCATGTGTCCCGGCGAGGGGTGAGTGAGTAGTCGGCGGTGCTATGCCAGCCGCGACTGCGTGTACCTGCGTTCGAATGTGGTTTCCGGCGCCTGTCGTGCCCGCAAGGCGTGCCTTCTGTGCTCGATGCGTCCTCGGGACGACTGTACAATCCGAGCACTGCCACCTTTTGCTCTTTCCAATTCTGGTCGCGTGAATGTATTAGCTAAGTTCCAATGAGCGAATTCGATGTCTCCTGTCGGGCAAGGGCAGCGGCAGTGGCAGGTGGCCGAGATCCGTTTGGTATAAGCAGTCCAGTGCAGTCCGGCGGTGGTGAACGAATGAAAGTTTGCGGTCGGAGCCAGCGAGGGTGTGTGTTCTGCGGGCAGGCGGGCAGGCAGTGTAGAGGGTGTCAGACGTGATAGACAGGTCTCAGGTAGAAGGAGCGAGCGAGCGAGCAGGGATGTGGATCCAAGACTGTTTCGACTTGGACGCGACTCGATAAATGATCGTCCAGAACGGCGCGCAACTCCAAATAATGGCAGCAGCAGCGAAGAGCAGAGTAACGAGGGTGGTTCAGGCCAGCGAGCCGTGGGGAATTACATTACACCGCGAGTCTGCGCACCGCGACGACAACGACAGCAATGTGCTGCGAGAGGATGCAGAGGGCGGATGCACGATGGGCGGCGCGGCGCAGGTACAGGCGCAGGAACCGGGGACAGCCTTGGCGCTCCTCCCTCCTCCTCTTCTATTGGCGGCAGGAAAAGGAGACGCAGAAGAACTTTCCACCGAACGTCAAATCGTCTTCCGTCTGCGCTCCCTGGCCCGATTGACTCGACCGCATGGCTTGTATTCTAACACTAACATGGCATGGCCTCACGAGACAGCCATGTTCATGGTTATCGATGCAAAACACAACCTCTACGACCACCTTTTGCCCTTCGCCTCGTCCTCCGAAACACGCGCACGATCGAGCCGTCGGCACGTTGCCAGCCCTATCGGGAAGCTTGGAGTACTTCCTCGACACGACGAGAAGGACGGTATCCACCATCACGAGCTGCATCGTTATTCGAGAGCGCAGACAGCACCAAAGGAGTTGCTGCAACGCGTCCTGACTCCCGACGAATACAAATAACGCGGTAATGTGTGAATGCACCTCTGCAAATCCCTGCCAAACGCTATCGGCAAAGAAAACACCCTGGTACAGGGTGTCCACTGCATACAAGAAGCCGATCCGAGACTAGATTGCTCTGCTCCCCTTTGAATCTACTATATGAATCTGTGGAGTGTTTACCACGTATGCGTTGGCTGAATTTGAATTCCGAACGAATCTTGCTCTATGCAGGATGCAGGCGAGAACGGCTTCCTGTACGTCGATGACACGCTGTACTGTAGCGTCGTAATGAAGCATAGCGGTTCAAAATCATCCGGCGTGCTTCAGTCGCATGTCGAAGGCAACTTCACGGAAACTGTGCTACTAAATTTACATTTGGACTCGGAAGATAGCTGCTGACGAGTACGAATTCGTTCTTCGTAATATAGCAAGCATAGCATCTCATGGCTTCGCTGTGGAATTGCGTAATGTGCATCTCCATCATTGCGTGCAGGATTGTGCCTGTGACAGGGGAGCGCGAGAGTTTCTTCTAGAATTGGACCAGTCAGGGTTCGAAGTTGGGTTCGAGCGTGTCACGCACGTCCAGAGCCGCCTTGACGAGCTTCATCACGCGAAAGAGATAATCTCCGCGAAAGTAAGATATAAGAGCGCTTGATCTCAACTTGAAACGGGGACGTTGTTCCAGTAGAGGAGCACGACTTGGCGCTCGATGATACTAAAGGCTTTGGACAAGGAGGATCGTGGAGGTGTATCTCACGCATTCGCTTGTTGACATGGCTACTTGCTCTAAATGCGACCAAATGCTGTGCTGAAGTCATGACGGTACCTCATTCGAGCTCCCTTCCATCTCACATCGACACCGAATTTGTCACCTCAACGAATTCCTCCCACTGCCTCAATGCCTCACCGCTCTTAATACACCACCTCGCTCTTCTCAAGCCTTCCTTCCATCTCAACCCACCAGGACCTCTTTCCTTGATCACTTGACCGTCATCACCCTCTCCCATACGACTCTCATCCGCGTCACAAACTCCACTCGAAGTGAGCAACGCAGCAGTATTCAACAGCACGAAATGCAATACCGGGTCGTCATCTGGCCTTTCATTTCTCAGAATCTGCATCAGAATCTCCGCATTCTCGTCCGGACCTTTACCTCCAAGAACTGTATCGAGGGAATGTCGTGGTAGACCAAAGTCTTCGGGCGAGATTGTGAACTTGGTGATTTCTACTGGTGGCCTCCCTTCACCGTTTATGGGTTGAGTTTGAGGTTGGTGAATGTACCAGCAATGTGTAATTCCAGCGCAGGAAATCTCGTCGAGGTTTTCGTCTCCACAGACGATCAACGCCTTTCTGGATCCGCTGAGTTTGAGTGCGTCTGCGAAGTTCTGCCCAATGTCTTTTCGTGCAACGCCAAGAATCCTGCATTCGACTAGACCAGTGTCATGAACTGGATTTGCGAGAGGGCCGAGAAGATTGAAAACTGTGCGAACCGGTACCTCTCGTCTCGTTGCCGCAGCGTGCTTCATTCCTGGATGCCATTCACGTGCGTAGAGAAAGGCGTAATTTGTCCGCTCGTAGATTTTGGGCAAGTTTCCTGCCGTGGTTGCGGCGATGATGGGTGGCTTGGGTGCATGCTGGAGGAGATCTGCAGAGCCTGAGAGCGATGTTGAGGAGTTGTTGCCGTGCTTTGCCATGAGGAGGATCGCCGAAGCTATGATGGAAGAAGTCGTAGAGACGTTGAATGTGTTATGTCCATCGCCACCGGTTCCAACGATGTCACACTAGGAGCGAGCGTTAGTTGAGGCAAGGAAGTGAAGAATGGAAGTTGACTTACAAAGCCGCCACCGTACGTCCCTTCAGGCTTTCGTCGCTTCTCCCAGACGCTTTGCAATGCCGACTCATCCACTTGAGCGGCCGCTTCCCGCATTGAAGTCGCACATGCTGCCAGAACTTCGGCTTGGTGGTCGAGATTCGTGGTATGCAAAGCCCAGAGCAGCACGCCGAATTGCACAGGTGACAGACTGTCGGTGAAGATCAAGGATATAGCGGCCGCGATCTCTTCTGCCGACACTTTTCTTGCCGACTCTAGCGTTGCGAGTTTCTTGAGGAGGCTCGATATTGAGACGTATCCTGTATTGTCGTGGACGGCCATGTTGGGCCAGTTGGAGTATGTGTCGCAGTGGATATGCTTACTTTGTGGTTATGCGACTTATCTGGCTTGTTTTGGTGCTCAATGGCAGTTTGTGAGTCAGCGGCATTGGTTTGTGGGTTCCATGTGTCTTTGCTTGGGCTTTTGAAGCTTTGAAGCGTTGCTCCAAAACTTTGTTCTGATGCACTTCACATGAACCATCACTAGTACTGTAGCATCCGCCGCGTACCGCACCCATCATTGCGACGATTGCCGTTCCCTGCGCTGCTTCCATTACGTTGTGAAGAAGTATTCCTCGGTTCCATATCCCGATCATGCCGCCGCGCCTAAGAGTTCCATCGAACGCACTACGGCCGTCGTCAGGAGCACAGTATGTCTGCTGGCAGTGCAGAAGACATGCATCACTGGCTGCTGCTGCTGCGACAACACCAGCGCCGCCCATCGACCGGATGACGAAGCCTGCCAGACCAGTCGCCAGATATCCCGCGACGCAACCTCCATCCTACAAGCCCCCAGAGTTCCGCAAGACTCAGCTTCATCGGCAGTATCAGTCATTACTGCGCGCATCGCCCCTGATGCTGATCTTCCAGCATAACAATCTGAAAGCGACAGAATTCATGAGCATACGAAGAGAGCTCGCGCAGGCATTGAGAAAAGTCGATGAGGAATTGGCTAGGAATGGAAATAATGATTACATGGGAGATCAGGTCAAGCTGTCAGTGGTGCAGACTGGCATTTTTGCGTCAGCTTTGAAGGTCGTCGAGTTCTGGGATCCTAAATTCGAGTTAGAGGTGGAAGGAGCGCGCGGCAGCAAAGGGAAACCATTGAAGCAGGTACACGGCCTCTCCAAAGAAGCATGGATGACAGCAAAGATGGCCAAGACGAAGCACGGTCTGGAGGCACTGCTGTCAGGCCCGCTGTGTGTTTTATCAGTCCCCACCGTCTCACCACAGCATCTCAAGGCAGCTCTTACCATACTGGCCCCAAGCAGTGACTTCCCGGCGCCGAAGCGGAAGTCGAACCCCAGCTACCACGAGCCTGCCGTGCAAAGTGGCCTGCAAAAGCTCATGCTTCTCGGAGCACGGATCGAGGGCGAGGCGATGGACACAGAAGGTGCGAGATGGGTTGGTAGCATTGAAGGTGGTCTGGAAGGACTTCGCGGACAGCTTGTGGCCATGTTGCAAGGTATTGGTGCGGGTGTTACAAATTCACTAACAGCTGCATCTACCAACCTTTACTTGACCATGGAAGGCAGGAAGATGATGATGGAAGAGGAAGGCAAGAGTGATACATCGACTGAGCAGGCATAAGACGTCCATGTCGCTCCCGTCAGTTGACTTCAAACCAATCAAGACACATTCCAGTAGTACTTACGAGCGCCAGCGATGGCCTCGCCTGCATACTCAATCATTGCATTCTCAAACACCGAATTGACGTATGGAACACGACGCTGCAACTCGTACCACCCTGCTAATGCTTAGAAGGTACGGCAGGATAGCTTGCATCCATTTCCAGATTGCGGGTACTGTGTACTGTTCTGACATCGCGAGGTTCACATTGGACATGGACACGAACATTTTCTCGATACTTTTACCTTTCGATCCATCTTACACCCCGATCCCGAACGATCATCTGCATTTGGGCGAGATCGTAAATCGCTACATTCTAGATCAGGACAAGGTCCACGGGAAAACGTGGGCACACTTGGCGTGTTGGATGACAACCGGATACTTGGAGCAGGTAACCGGGCCTCGATTCGAAACCTTTGAAGAAGTCATTCAATTGTTGAGCGATGCCTACCGACTCATGGTCCACCAGCAGATCTCTGGACATCATTTCGAGAATTCAATCATTGACCATGCCATCGGGATATTGACCGATGATATACATTGGCTCAATCCTTGGAACTGCATCACCACTTTATTGGATCACCTCAAAGGCAGATATCACGTCGGCCTGGGCAAGTTTCTGATCGATTGGATTGTTCACGGCCCTCGAAAAGACTGGCGTGTCTTCGAGGCACTTCTCAGTTTGTTCGCTCGTCCCGAGAAGGATCCAGAGATGGCCACTGCATTGATGGTACTTAATGGAGCGATAACGAAGGCTTTGTTGGTCGACAAAGCTCGACCGGATCCTGTATACCCAGATCTAAGTTCAAAGTGGATATTCGACCTTTGTCGATACCATGTGAGGTGTAACAGAAAGGAATGTTTGTACCAGAGGGCGATAGGAGACCCAATTACAAGGTGGAAGCTTAGAGGTTGGCAAGAACCGGAAGAGAAGTGGACGGCGCCTTACAGGTCATATAATCGTTGGCAGCGGCAGGGCAATTGATTGATGTTAATGGATGTTTGACGGGGACTGTGCTGTCAATACAGCGGCACTGCTTTGGCTAGATGTATCATGCTTCGATCTGCATGATAGGCTCAAGATGCACAAGCACTAAGGACCACATGATTGAAATGTATGTGCTTCGTAGAGTCTTTCATTCCCCATACCACTATTACTACTATATCGGATCGGCATGCTTGCATTTGCATGCGTCGGGTGCAGCATTGCCGTGGACCCCTATGACCTGTCCCTGTGCTCACGGTGGAGTTGTGGAGCGACTCCGAGCGAGATCCGGAACCTTGGTCAAGAAGCTTATTCAATAGAATAGAATACCTGTTTGCGATCAGACGCAGCCCATTATTATTCCATTCCTTCACCACTGCACCATTTCACCTCTTCGCGTACACTCAGTCCCGCGCTTTCACTCGCTCAGCGCGCGGCTCCGACATCCGCCAAAATGCCCAAGACCGCATCTCCCGCGCCGTCTGGCCACAATCCCTTTGATGACCCAGCTGGCTCTGAGGCATCGCTGGAATCCAATAACGTACTCACAGTTGACCGCAACGCAACGCTCACCCTGGGAACCGATTCGCTGATTCTGCTGGATGATGGGTTGAGACATCGGAGAAAATTCTGTGGACTACTGCCATCATTATCCAAGACGACTCGCGCCATACCATTTCACAGCATTCTTTGGGCTGGACTCAGTGACTTCGAAGTAACCGTACATTACGTGCAGCCAGTTGGGAGGAAGAGCAAGGCGTGCAAAGTGTCGTATATTCACTACACGATCACGGACAAGACCTTACATTCCCACGCGAAGCAATGGGTGGAACAGCTCTTGAATCGAGCGTATCCGCCGAACACGCGCAGGAAGAAGAGGATAAAGGTGCTGGTGAATCCGTTTGGTGGGCAGGGATACGCGCAGAAGATATGGACGAGAGATGTGGAACCTATATTAGCTGCAGCGCAGTGTGAGATTGACGTGGAAAGGACGGCATACAGAGGACACGCTGTAGAGATTGCGGAAAAATTGGACATTGATGCATTTGACGTTGTAGCATGTGCTTCTGGGGACGGTCTGCCTCATGAGGTATTCAATGGACTGGCCAAGCGACCAGATGCGAGACGAGCACTTCGCAAGATCGCTCTCTGCCAGATCCCTTGCGGGAGCGGTAACGCGATGAGCTTGAATTGCAATGGCACGGACTCAGCTTCGCTAGCTGCTGTGGAGATTGTGAAAGGCATCCGAACACCCCTAGATTTGGTCGCAATAACTCAAGGAGACAGGAGAATGTGGTCCTTCCTCTCTCAAGCCGTAGGCATCATCGCCGAAACAGACCTGGGCACAGAATCTCTCCGCTGGATGGGCTCATTCCGCTTCACATGGGGCCTCCTGGTCAGGATGCTGGGCAAAACCATCTACCCGGCCGAAATTTCAGTCGTCACAGAAACCGACGACAAACGCGCAGTACGAGAACTCTACCGCAGGGCAGCCGAAGAACACGAAGCAGCAAATTCCAAGAACCTTCACACCGATGAGGAAGAAGACGAACACCCAGACCCCTCAGACCAACAACTCCCAACCCTAAAATACGGCACAATCCTCGACCGCCTCCACCCAGACTTCCTCACAACCGACCACCCAAACCTAGGAAACTTCTACGCAGGAAACATGTGCTACATGTCCCCCGACGCCCCATTCTTCGCCGCCGCCTTGCCCTCCGACGGTCGTCTGGACTTAGTCAACATTCCCGGAGACATAAGTCGGCTATCGGCCCTACAAATGCTCGTAAAAGTAGAAAATGGAACCCTCATAGACTTCCCTCAAGTCCAGTATTCCAAAATTCTGGCTTTTCGAATCAAACCACGAAAAGCTGCTCCAGAAGCGGGACGCAGGTTGAGGGCGAGGTTTAGGCAGTGGTTGGGAGGGACGGCAGGGCAGACGGAGGGTTTGATTGCGATTGATGGGGAGAGAATACCGTTTGAACCGTTCCAGGCAGAGGTGGTGCCTCGATTGGGAACTGTTTTGAGTAAAGATGGGAAATATGAGTTTGCGGGACCGAAGGCTCCGTAGAAGGAAGGAGAGAAGAGATGTGGCGTTTTTTTGTTGTTTGGGATTTTTGAGTGGATGGATGATACCCGGTTTCATGGAATGGAAAGATTTTTCATTCATGGGAAGAGTAAGAAAAGCACTGCAAGCAAGGTGCATTAGTATTGTTTGCTTCATAGGAAGGTGTAGAACAGTGTTGATGACAGACGGGCTTTTCAGCTGGATCACGTTTCAGAACTCATGCTCATTCGTGCATATGATAAAGTATGCTGAAGTATTACAGGTACACCCAATTGACAGCGGAGAACTCTGATTATGCATGAAACCGACAGCTGAAGATGTTTCAGTGCTTCATTATAATCAGGCTTATCGAAATACTCTTGCCGCGCCAGCCCTCCTGATCACTTGAAAACGCAGAGTCCAGCGACTCCTATGCCCACGAGATTTTCCTTCAGCAACAGCACGATTATCACCAGTTCCAAGTATTGACATTGCCACCCGAACGGCTCGCCAACAAAACTCCCTCGATCGCCTTAGCTTCGAACATTTAGTTCCAGGAGGAACTTTCTCGAGAGATTGATCACTTTCACTACCTGAAGCTGGCACACATAGGGGTAGCCGGGTTAAAGCGACGTGCTTCTCTTCTAGAATATGAATGTTCAAGAAGCGCGTGATGGAGTCCAGCGTACGGTGGTCGCACAGAGTGGCTGGCTGATGAATTTCAATAGCGGCCATAGTCGATCGGCTTCTGGGACCTCTTTGTGGCGCAAAAGAAGAGCAGATTGAGCGTTGTGCTGCAGCCTTTCGAGCACTCTTGAGATTCTCGTCGCAGATGGAGGGTGGTAGAAGCTTAGTGTGTTTCGGAGCGATTTTGGAATCCCCGTGATTGTAAGACTCATTCCCTCTTGCGTGTGTTGGTGGGCAGATTCGATGGCGGTGAATGGAGTGCGCGATAGGGGTATGCATGTGCGTCTAGTAGTATAGCCCACGAGCTCGACGTCGAGTAGTTTGCTGAGCGGAGGAAGGAAATGCGGACTGCGTGGAGCATTTATGATCGAAGAAGGTAAAGGAGTTTCTGAATTACGGTATAGCTTCGTTGATTGGTATCCGGATCGATAAGAGCAAGAGGGAATTTTGAGACGTATAACAGACACCGACTGCCCACTTGCAGGCTGTAGCTGCCTCAAGCACCGATTTGAGAAGCAGCGTCCGTCCACCAGCATTGAAGGAGCGATTGGCAAGACACGGACCGTGAGCGCATCAGGAGAGTGTTCAGAAGAGAAGATATTCAGAGGTACCACACCACTCCGCTTACTGCAGGAATACCGCCGAGGAGAGCTGTGGGTCGAGGAGAGCTGTGGGTCGAGGAGCGGTGTTCATGAGCGTTGATGGAGCGATCGAAAAGAAGCAAGACTCCGCCGACCGTTGGCACGCTGCTGACGAGAGCTACGAGCCAAGAGGCAGCGGTCAACGACGCTCGGGGAGAGAAGCTGGCAGCTTTTTTACGGGGAGAAGCAGAGATGTCAGAGGCTTGGTGAATGGAGCAGCATGTCCTCGACAGCAGGATGGAGATGCATCACTCCACCGACTACGTGCTGCTAGCTGGCGTGAGAAGCGACATCAGAAGCGAAGTCTACAGAAGTTCGAGGAGCGGTGTACAATGGCACTGTCAGCGTGAGAGACGAATGGAAGCAGGCAAAACAGAAACACAGTGAATGGAGCACTATCTACAGAAATCGCTATTTACAAAAGGATCAGATTTGGCTTCACTCCAAAGAGCTACTGACATCTTGCACCACGAGAAGGTACTGATCCATTAGCAAGACGGCACGCCCACCCATGCCCCTGACACGTCGTATGGTTGAGCTTTGGCTGCACAGCGGAGCGATCACAGCCCATATGCCTCACACCTTAGCTTTCCCATACGAACGTGCGGCTCAAGTATGGCCAGGAAACAAAAGAAATATATGGCGCAGGCATTTCGCCCTAATAGAGCTCCAAGGCCTGGAAGCAGCGTTAGCAGAAGTCAAGATGATGGCGGGAAGGGGAAGAGGTGATGGGGTCTAGAGGCGATGATGTTTGCTCACATATTCGCCCCGGTAGACTCTCCATCTCGTCATCTCCGGGTCGACCTGGGCCTCCGAGCCAGGGCGGAGGATGACAGTTGGTGCTTCAGTGGCCCAAGGCTCACTGAACATCTTGGGACGAAGCCCGAAGAGGTCCCGAAGGAGCAACCGCAGAGGCAGACACATGTTGACTTCGTAATGTCTCAATGTCCCTTTAAGTTATGTGTGTGGTATGTGCAAAGCTCTGTAGCAGTTTGTGTATGTGGGAGAAAGAGAAGAGGAATTCAGAGGGGGGAAAGGGATACTTATAGTCTGTCTGTACTGAGATGTTCTCCCGTGCTGATAGGTTTTGGTAGACGTCGGGAGTTCGTGTGGACACGCTTGAGCTGGGAGGGCGTGTGCAGAGGCCGATGTGAGTGACTAAGCTTAGCATTGTGCACAGCGTTGGTTCCCGCTGCTTGAAGTATCACTTGTATCGGGGCAGCACGTCCACAACCCGAAGAAAGATGCTGATTAACGCGTGATTTCCAGAGCGAACACGTAGCTGGCTCTTACGTGCTGGCTTTAAGAGTGTCGTCACAGTTACAGCAGCATACACAACTCGGGTTGTGGAGAGGAGTGGGGGGGGGGGGGGGGGGGGGGGGGGTTCAGGTTGCAGTTCCTCCAAGTGCGGTCTTGAACCCGGACTGCAGAATCTCACAACGCCATCAAGAGGGATCCTGACAGTAGCGTCTGGTGCTCGCCGGCTGAAGGTAGGATCGTGTCTTGCCATGAATGAGTAGCTGCATTTGCATTGTTGGATGTAAGTCTCGCTCGCTGGAGTGCACCATCGTAGCTGTCGTAGGCTGGACTGATTGCGGAATGAGCTTTCCGCCTTCACGCCTTCCTTGGATGCAAGCACAGGATATCGTGCACCAGGCTCAAAAGGACCGTTTGGACAGCATTGGTGGGCAGCGACAAAGACCTGTCCGAGTGGGCTATTGCGCGATCATAGATTCCTGCTTCTCCATTCCCCCTATGGATTTTCTCTGAAGGAGGTCTGCAATCGTCCACGGCATTTTTCAGCGCAAGATATTGCTCGCTTTATTCTCGCGACTTAGGATCGAGTAGGCCATCGAAGATGTATTGGTATATTCTACGCCGAAGTTGATGAAGGATCAGTCTGGTGAATCGGACGAAGAGTGAGGGATTATCGTGGATGGTAAGTCTTCACCGGAGCGCTCAAAAAGCACGTGGAGGAAGAGAAAGAATTGGCAAGCAGTCGCGAATACTCAAAGGCGATGAGGGAGTGAAGTCAAGAGATCGGCAAGGAGCAGATTGTTTCAGGCTCGAAGAACTTGATGCCTTATACGAGACCATTGAAATCGTCCCACTCCTCTCTTGTCCCAAAACACGCGTGATCCTCGACGCGTGTTAAGTCTGCAATGGCATTAAAGGGCGTTCGGGGAACTCACGCTGCTTCTGCAACACCTCTGAGCAGGACAGGTGCCTCAATCCACTCGGTGTGAAAGAAGACCTGTGCTGACCTCAGGTCTTGCTCGACGAGATAATCGAGATTTCGACAAGCATCAGCTCTAGAATACCCATGCCAGTCTGCCGCAATCGCCCGACCTCACGCCCAGCGGAAGAGACGACGCAGGAACCGCACCACTTCTCTGCGTGGATTGATGTGTGCAAAGCGACAATTAGCCAGCAGGGAATAGATTTGTAGCCTTTCATCGACCTGTGGTAGCCCTACCTGACTCTACGGAATTGATTCCAGACGCAGCCTGGCTGGCCTACGAGAACCGTGAGACAAACCGATAAAAGGAGCAGGCCGAACATGGCACAACACGCTCCAAACTCGTCGAGTAAGCGGCGATCCAGATCTGCCAGGAGACTCCAGCACAAGATGTTCAAATCGCAGTTTTCAGAATCCCATCCTTTCGTACTTGCCATTTTCGGCTGCCAATACCACGACGAAGAACCAGATGCGTCGAAATCTGCACTCATCGCTCGATTCCAGAGCCTCCTTTCACAGAGTCCAGCCAAGCACGTAGAGACACTGGAGAGTGACGACATCAATAAGGATCGAGGTTCGTCTAGAGTCTGGATGAGCTACTGGTTCTCTCCGCCGCAATATGAATCATGGTGGCAGAGTCCAAATGTGGCAGACTTCTGGTCCGTCGAGCACCAAAGCTGATCTCATGAAAAAAATAAAACTTAGAATACTTGCTGACTCTCAATCTCAGGAGAAATCTCCCCAATGCTGCAGGTTTCTGGAGAGAAAGGTTTCAATTCACCTCCAAGAACTCCATGTTCGAGTCCAACCACGCGCGACCAAATGGATTCTCGCACCTCGGCTCCTTCGCGCCTCTCGTCGACAACACGGGATACTGGGGCGCGTACCGAGATCGTCTGGATCCAAACGATCATCTGGCATCACCATTGCAATCCGTTTCGACACCGGCTCAAATCTCCGGCCCGAAGATCCACCCCGATCGAGTGAAAATCAACACCTTTCCCGAAAACATCTGCTGCGTAATCGAAGGCCAAGACTTCAGTGCCATGCAGGAAAAAGAATTGCAATACTGGAGTGAGAATTTCAACGAACTTACAAACGAATGGGTGACAATTTGTCTCGAGGCTGATGGTCTTGACGGTACGCCACGCTTCTTAAAAACTCCTCCTGCTCTATCCTCAGCTCAAGTTTCCCAGGTATCCTCTCCTCCTGCCTTTGTCACGATCCCACAAGCCCTCTCATCCCACCTACGACATCTCGTCGTTGGGCTCGTGGTCTGAAGCATACTCGTCGTTTGCAGATCTTTTACTTCCAAGACCTGTCTTTCATGGAGCGTTTGGGGAAGAAGTATCAAGCACATCGAGATTTGCGAAAGGGTTTTTCGAAAGCTTATGGGCCTAAGGGAGCGATGTTTGGTGGAGAGCTTTTGCTTTGGGTTGATTTGGGGGTATTGAAAGCTGGAGATATTGAGGCGGAGTATGTCGGGTGTTATGAAGGGACTGGCTTTATGGGATTTGCTGGGCATGAGGCTTTTGGGGGTGGGGTTGGGGGAGTGAGGTGTCAGTTGTGATGACCAGTCAATCAAGAAAGTCTTTTAATGACCTCGACCGTGTAAGTGTCATTGTCCGGAGACTAATAAGCGAAAAGCGTTCATTTTGGCATGGAAATACCATGACTCCATACCTCCTCATACATCAAATCATAATCATCATACCTGACACATCCATACATGCTCCACTTCATTACGCCTTACCCGCCAACCGGTCCGCCTGATAAGCGATCCACTCCTTCGAATTAATGCCCTCCTCATCCGCATCATCCGCATGCGGCACACCCTCACCCTTCAAAGTCTTCAACTTACAAGCATCAATCGGTCTCACAAAATACACAATACTGTACCGAGGCCACTTCCCTTGCTCACCAGGCGAAGGGATCACCCGATGTCTTCCAGAACACAGCACGCCGTTTGTGAATTTCACCGCCGCATCTCCTAAATTCACGATCGCGCAGCCAGGCTTGGGCTTCACCCACATCCATTGCGCACCTTCGTCGTCGAAATCCAAGTTTCCGAGCACGCGGTTCGGAGAGCCGTAGACTTGCAGTCCACCGAGCCAGTTCATGAGGATGGTAATGGTTCCAAAATCTGTGTGCGAGGGCGTTTGAATTTCTGGCATTTCGGCCGTTTTTCTGGGAGGACCTCGCGTGATGCGAACATGGTCGCCAGCGGGTTCTTCAATCGTGTGTCTCGAGCGAAGTTCCTGAGGATCAATCCCCAGTTTCTTCGCCAAGACATCCATGATTTGCATGCCGGTGGAATGCGCGGCTTTGCAGTACTTCGCAAACAGCTCCTTGTTGTCCATGACAGGTTTGGGCCACGTGCGCGTCATTTGGGCGTCGGGCACGATCATGTCGTCTTTGGCCACGTTGAAAAATTCGGCGGTGTCGGGTGTCTTGTTTTTGTCTACGATGGTTTGTCCGACTTTCTTGTAGCCGAGGATCTCGCCTGGAGGGGGCAAATATTTCATCTTCTCTTCGACTGGCATTGCCATGATCTTTTCGCCCACTCGAGCGATTTCGTCGGCGCCTTTGTGGATGATCTGGCCTTCTTGGGAGTCGCTGAGGTCCAGGTAGAAGAATCCCCAGCTTTTGCATGCTTCGAACATGCGATTTTGTTCGGCTTGATCGCCATTTTGAATGTTGTGAAGAGAAATTGTTTGGAGATCTATGGTGTTTAGACCTTCTGGAAACGGCGGATACTGCTCGGGGGTGAACTCGGTATATTCTTCTGCGTGCGGCATATTTGGTTGGTTTGATGGTTGACGGTTTAGGAAAGAGGGATTCTCGTAGGAATGGTTTCTTGAAGGAAACGGGTTACCCTCACTTTCGATCTACATGCAGGAAGGAAGGATTGATGCAGAGAGGCAAAGCTCGAGATCTTGTTTATATAAGTAATCCGGCGGCTGTCCGGGCTTGATATCCTTGCGCTGACGGTAGTGTGTCGCGTGCCGGACGAGCGCTGTATATGTTTGGCCAAATGGGAGCAGTTCCGCGATAGAGCACTGCCGTTTCCGCAACTCCATCTACGAGAGATGATGTCAAACCCCCTCCTCATCCTTGCCCGCCTTGCCCGTCGGAACAATGTACAATACATCGCTGGCGGCTAACCGAGGACCCTTGGTAAGCAGCAGCTGCGATCACCACGTATAGTCCTGGGGAGAACACGTGCAGTCGAAAGGTCGGAAGATTGCCGAGATGGCTGACAGAGAAGCGAGAGAAGCCTTCTTACCACCGCATCTTACACGAAACAATCTCAGAGCAGGCCTCGCTGCTATATATGTAGGACATGGCAGCCGAAGTACTCTAGTGCCTCACCCTGCCTCGTCGAGGACGAGACGGGGAGTGCTTAAGTGGACACTGACCTCACTCACTATGGCAACATCGGGCAATAACCACGGCCTTTTGTATGCACGATCATCAATCTATGAAGCCAAGCAGGGTTGTATGGCGACAATTCTCCACAGACAATACGAAGTGGTTGTAGTTGTTGTTAACAGCGTACTCTAAGTTAGCACTCAGGAGCACTGGTCCTATATACAGGACGATTAACCGAGATAGCGGACGGGGGTGATCCCCGTACTGTGCTTTTCCGGAAGGTTGAGAATGCCAAGAACTAGAGGAACCCTACCGACTTTTTACTAGTAAATCGGGCATTTCGTCCTCCTCTCGACCTATTGCAATACTACGCTTAAAATAGTATCTATATTAATAGTATAGCCGTTAAATATATAGTCTAAGGTGTTATTATTATTATTCTAGCTCTTCTACGCTATTTACGCCCTTCTTATACCCCTACCTAACTATACCGCTCGACTCGCTAAAACCTATTTTAATAGCGGTTATAAGGTAATTAATATCGTACTAAAGATAGATACAAGCTAGTCGACCGTATATCGATAGAAGTACTACTATAATCTCTTTAGTAAGGTATTCTTACCGTCTAAGCGGTTTAAGTCGAGTCGTAAAAGGAAGATAACGAAGGAGATAGAAATCTACCTACTTAAGTACTTGTCGACGAGGCTAGAGGCATATCTCGAGGAAATATATACTACGCTATATAATCGCTTCGAGGTTAAGTTAGATCCGTCTATAGTATAGCGCTACCTATATCGACTTAATTAGACTTATAAAGCGGCTCGTAAGATTGCGAAGGAACGTAGTACGCTAGCGAGAGCCGCCTAGTATATAAAGAGCTAGAAATAGCCGGTAGATAAGTTAGTATTTATCGACGAGACTGCTTCTAATAAGAAGAGTAGACATCGCAAGTTTAGATAGTCTCCGAAGGGTATAGATTGCTACGATTATTAGTACGCGTAACGGTAAGAGCGAATGTTAGTACTTCTAGCACTTACAATCTATAGATATTTACCGTATACGCTCTATATCTAAGGCGCTATTAATTAAGTTATATTCGACGACTAGCTCGAGAATAAAGTACTACCGCTTCTTAGTAAGAATATAATTATTATAATAGATAACGCTTCTATCTATTATAGTAAGAAGGTTAAGGCTATAATCTCGTTAGCTAGATACACTCTCGAGTACCTACCGCCGTACTTACCTAACTTAAATCCTATCGAATAGACCTTCGCACTACTTAAGAAATAGCTTAAGAAGAATAGAGATCTTATAGCTAACTTCGAGACCTTCTAAGACTTCCTTATATAGGCTCTTAATTACGTTAGAAAGATAGATATAACCGGATTGTTTAAGTATAGTAGATATAATGTATACGGCTTCGAAGTTAACGCTTAAGCTAAGACCGAGTCGGAAGAAAGCTAGCTTACTAGCAATTTCTAGTCGCTTCAGATTTAACTACTATAATATTAATAATATACCTTAAGACTTACAGAATAGCTGTTACGGAGTAGTTGCTAAGTAGCAGGCTTGATGCCTTAGGCAGCTACGGCTTAGCGAGGATACTTCCTCGCACGCTTCCTTCTACCTCTAGATAGAACCGTACGACAACTCGTTTATCTCCTATACCTTACTGTCTCGTAACATTTTGTCGTACTACCCGTTAAGTCTATTATAGAAGGTTTTAGGGCTACCGAAAACGTGTCGGTACGGCATACTATCGTTAGGAAGAATTTTTATCTTTAAGCAACGCCGAACGGGCGCGTATATATCTAGTTAGAACGACTAGCTAGCTATAGAGTCGTATCTACAGTTACGAAGAGACGACAGATTATTAGGATAACCGTCTTATAAACATTTAGTTACGCTAGTCTAGAAGCGGCGCCTACCGAGGGTCGCGCGCAGAACTAGTTAAGTTAGGATATCAATCCGAAACACGTTAAGAGAAAGTTACACGGCAGCAATACGGCAGCTGCAGGACTATTTAACAATATTTACCGCTCGAGCGAGAGCGTAGGGAAGAGGGACAATTAGATCCCTAAGTTAGGTTAAGTTAGATACTAACTAAACAGTTGGTCTATACTCCGTACTTAGTTTCTATATACTATAGTCTTAGTCTTATTTCAGGTCTTACAGTTCAGTTTCTATATACTGCTTCTGTTTTATTATCCTATGTCTAGTATACTAGAGTCGCAATAGTCGGCTCCTACCGATCCTAATAAGTAGAGAAAGCTTCTTTAGGATATCGCTAAAATTAAAGCTAAAGGCAGTTAGGCGCTACGAGAACACTAAGCAGCTCAATCCGCGCGTAGACAATAATAAGAAGAAGACTCGGAAGATAGGGCCTTCCTCGAAGGCACCGATCTCTCGCCTTCTTCTCTACTACCGCTAATTTCGCGACGTACCTTCCCTACCTACGACGGTATCGATACTAAGCCGAGTACTACTATTGCTATACCTGCAACTACCTCCGCTATGTCTAAGGGCGGAGAAGACCCGCCGATACCTCCCGAGAAACCTTTTCTTAATCTATTAGTATTATTACGACTACCTTAGTAGCGGAGAGAGCCTAAGCTCTCGCTAACTAACCTATTTAGGAAGGATTATACTAGCTTAGCCGCAACTAGAGGTTCAGCCGCGACCGGAGCTAGATTCTCTAGATTTAAGGGAAAGAGCTTCGGAAGTTTAGCAACTAGAAGGGACCTCCTATCGGAGAGGAGACCTAGGTATTAAGCAAGGATTGAGGATAAGGATAAGTCGGATATTTAGGCACTAGAAGCTAAGAATAGCTATATGTATAACAACGGTGCTCGAGCCCGAGTGCGACGCAGGCAGATTAATAACCTTCGCGAGGCCTCCGCTAAACGTATATCCCCGGTACGTATAGTAAATATACTAACAAACTTTAACGACGACTCTTAGACCTAAGGGCGCTCGTAGCGGCTAGTATAACTTCTATTACGAGCCTCTCTAAAATCCCCGAGGATACCTTAAACACCCGGTATATTTCTAGACGACCGGTCCGAAGCTAACAAGTTATACGCATTAGGAGTCGCTACCTCTATAGCCGGGGAGAACGGCGAAGAAGAGGACGTTATTAATACCGCCTTTATCGAGAAGATTGAAGCTATCCTACCCGAGGACTAGCGCATCTATTAGGTATCTAAAGTTGTACGTAAATACTAAAAGGACCCGATATTAGACCCCGATTAGCACTCCGACGATAACGAAGAGGATTTAGACACCTAGCGTCTTATTAACCTGAATCCACTCTTTACTAAACCTCTAGTATTCGATCCTATTAACTAAGATATAGCGCGCGCTACTTTTTAGGCTAAAAACTATATCGCGAAGAGTACGCGAGATTTTTAGAACAAAGTGATCGCACGACCTCGTACCTAGTTCTACGGTCTAGCGTACGCCCTTAACAACTATACTAAGCTCCGAAAAAGCTAGTCGAATGCTACCTTCGAGGCTAAGAAGTAGATAAGTGAAGCAGTCTTATAGAAGATAAGGCACGATAACTTAGAAGCTAAGCTATAAGAAGCTAAGAAGCATAGAAAGTAGTCTATCCTTCCTATAGATCTAACGTAGTCGAAGGCCTACTAGGAGCTTAGGAGCCTCGCAAACTATCGTTTAAAGACCTCGAATAACTAGAAGATCTAGTTAGAGGACTAAATAGCATTACTCGAAGCACAACTATAGCAGAAGACGGATGTATAAGCGGCAATGCAGGCTTAACTCGAGGAATTCTCTTATACTAATCCTAAGACGTAGGCTAAACGCGACTTGATCGATATTATAGTACTACGCTAACGAGACCCTACTTAGGTAACGACAACGGGAGACCTATTATAGCAAGTATACTAACAAGCTTTTACACGACCCTAATCCGCTCGTATACAGTCTCTCCGCCTATAGCTTAACTCGGTAAGAATAGTACCGGCAGCTATCCTCGTACCTCGTAGAGCTAGTGCAGCTCCCTCTAATACAGTGCCTTATTACGTTCCTCGCAATCGAGTTAAATAGCTAGATCTACCTGCTTTCGAAGGCAACCGAACGGACTATAAGTCGTAGAAGATTAAATACTAAGCTAAGCTGTTAAATACCTTCGATATAGATAAAGTTAAGTAGGCTTTCGACTATATACTAAGTGTTACGAAAGAGGAACCCTTTACGTTAGTCGTTAAGAACACCCGGAAGAACGATATCTAGCAATCCCTTAAAGAAATGTAGGATGCCTTCGATACCGACTAGGGAGAGAACGAAGAAGAGCAAATAGTAAAGGCTCAAACTAAACTTAGTACGATGCAACAACTAGAGGGTAAAAACACCTTTAATAATTGGATTATAGAGTATCGCAAGCTTCTTACGCAATCTAAAGAGGTACCGAATTCATTTAAGCTATAGAACAAGCTTAATTCGAAATATAAGAACGAGTTAAAGAACAAGTAGCGATTACCCTTTAACGAGTTCTATAAGGAAGCGCGAGCATTATAAGAAGCTTAGGGAATGATTATAGATTAAGCGAAAGCGCGTAATAACAACAACAAGAAGAGCCGCTCGAATAACAATAAAGCTAGTAGTTTATCCAAACTAGCCCGTACGCCTCCTCGATCTACTACCTACGCCGCCGTCGGATTCGACAACCGCAAAGCCGTCCGTATAATTCCTATAAAGTATAGTAAGATTACCCCTGCCTCCGATGCCGAAAAGGAGAAGTTTAAGCGGGAGAATCGTTACTATCGCTATCGGGAGATTAAACACGGCTTACGCGATATAGTATATATTATACGCTTTAGTAAAGGACCTTTTACCTTTAGCTACGTCGACTATAGTACTCCTATTAACGAATACAGCCGCAACGTACGATTAGCAATAATAGGTAACGAAGGATCCGAACCGGAACTAGAGCTAGAGGAAGAGGCCGAAGAAGACAACGAAGACTCCGACCCCTCGGGAAACGACGAACCTTAGGAGTAAGTCGCAAGCCTAAGGATGCTACTAAGCGTAACGAAGAAACTTTATATTCTCTAAACGATGAAAATGAAAGCTTCTCTAGTGCTAACCTAGAGTCCCCTAGTATATTAAAGATAGGCTCTATATATATAGCACCCTAATATAGCCGATATATAGTATACTCTACTCGTATACTCTCTCCCCGCCTCTAGAGGCGCCGTTTCCGCAACCCTCGAAAGACTCTAGCTAAACCTATTACGAACAAAGCTCGCTTACTAATCGACTATAGCGCTACTGCTCA